GGGGGGGGGGGGACGGACGTCGCGCGCGTTCGCTCGTTCCTCCTGCGGATTTGAAGGAACGGTAGCGTTGAACTTGACGGCGAGAGCCGGACAAGACGCAAGACCTCGTCAAGAAAGAGAGAAGGTGGGAGGGGAGGGAGAGACGGTAGAGGAGAATCTGACGCTGTCAGAAAACGAAGAACCGGCGACCGGTCCGAGAGCAGGTTTCGGTGGCCTCCTCTCTTCGTGTACATTCGAACGAACGCGAACAGGAACGCGGGGGACCCCCAACGGATGGACGCGCGGCGAGATCGACGCCCGAGAGACGATAAATCCTTCTTCGTCTCGTTCTCCGGCCGGCTTTCCCGTCCTTCCATCGCGCCTCCTCCGAGTCTCCTACGACCTTTTAGCTCTCGACCGCGCGAGCGAACACGCGGCTCCCGAGCCGCTTCCGGTTCCTGATCAACTGATCGCGCCTATACGTATCATCGTCCGCGCGAGGACTCTTATCAGATCCTATTCTCCCCCTCCTCCCCCCCTCCCGAATGCCCGCCCACTCTCTCAGCTCTTGCGAGCGAGAGCAGGGAAAGGATCGCGCGGAGCGCGCGAGTGGGAAGCGGCGACTTTCGACGACGGCATCGCGCGCGCGCGCCGCTTCCGACCTCGTCCTTCGACCTCGGCTGCGCTTTCTCACCTCGAGCGCGCAAATCTCAGCCGACCCGAATCGTTATTATCCCCGGAGTCGGGAAACTGGCCCAAGGCGAGACGCGAGATATCGCTCTTTTGGAAAAAGTCGAAGCCGAGCCGAGCTTCGATTTCGGGAGCGATCGCGATCGTCGCTTCGCCCGAGCGGAACCGATTATTAAGCGGTGAGACTTCGGTACCTTCTCCGATCTTCTCGTTATCTACTTGTCCTCGTCAAAATCGATCGGTGTTTCTTTTTTTTTTTTTTGTCTCTCCTTTTCCATCGCGTCGTGTTCCTTCCGCCACGGCTGACGGGTGTGGTGACACGCGACGTCCGTGACATAACTGCGAGAGAAAGAGAACTCGCGGACGTAACGAGGAACATAATCGCGAGCGGCTGATCGGCCGGTCGCGACTACTCGGAGACAAGCCGCATTGGTCGAGCAGATAGGTCAGCTTGGCGCCATCGGGACGAGGCGAGGCGTGTGAAGGTCGATCGGTCGGTCGGTCGGTTGCTCGCTCGCTTGCTTGCTTGCTTGCTTGCTTGGTCGATCGGTCGGTCGCTTGATTTCTCAGCCTGCCGACTACCGCTTTTCTACCGTGCGGAAAGCCGAAATCACCGGCATCCTTCGCCTTTTGTGACTTTGCGCGCTCGCATTCGCCCAAAAACTCGTCTGTATCACGAATGTATCGTGCCGAGCCCGTTCCCCGAGAGTTTGCGGATATCCCCGGCGAAAACAGCTATCCGCGTCTTTTCATTTCTCCGGACCGCCGATTGCGTCTCGGGCGATCTCGCTCCTCTCTTTTCCCCTTTGTTTTACTGATATTTGTTTCGTCGAGGGGGAAATATCGCGTGCGGAAAGTTAGATATCTCTTAGGTAAACACCGCCGGATGAAGTGGAAGATTAAGGATATATAAGAAAATAATGAAAGAGGGGGTGAGAGAGAGAGAGAGAGAGAGGAGCGAGACGCGCAGGAAATATCAAATATACGTCAAATACCGTAAATTGTACGGAAATGGGAGACAGGAATTATTGCGTCTCCCGCAATAGCGCTTCCATATTCGATTCATTAATAAGAGCGAATAGTTTGAAAATAAACGCTGAAGTGCGACGAGCGACGCGCGGGAAGATCGATAATATTGGGATTTTCAGCAAATTGAAGTTTTCCATCAGAAGCGCGTTGTAACGCGAGTTGAGAGAAGCGCGCGTATGAGCGAAGGATTTCTAAAAATATTCGCGCAAAGGAGCCGGCGGAACTCCCGCGCTCCTCCTACTCCGTGAAAATACAAAGAAATCCAAACTCGAAGCGGGAAAACGGCGAGATCGTGTTAGAGAGAAGCCGAGAGTTAGAGAAAATATCGACGAGCGAGAGAGAGAGAGAGAGAGAGAGTGAGAGAGTATCGCCGCGTGACGAATGCCGTTATCGGAAGGGGCTTTGACGTGTAGATAATTCGATCGAATTTTATGATGCGTCCGCGATTATCAGCCCTCTGTAGCTTAACGTAAGCTTTAATTTCAGTTGTTTGGCTCGCACTATCTGCGTGATGACGATTATCATATGTTCTCTCTCTCTCTCTCTCTCTCTCTCTCTCTCTCTCCCGCCTCCCCCTCTCTGTCTGTCTTTTTCGCGATCTCTCGCGATCTCTTTCTCCGTCGCAGTCGACAAGCGGCGAAAGCGAGCAACGTTCTCGCGAGAACGAGTCGAATCGAAAGTTTAAGCCGGATTCTCACTTATTCGACTGCGGTAGGCGGGAAATCCGTCGGTCTGCTAACAAATTATTTTTTTTTTCTTTTTCTTTATAGAAATATAGCATCGAAGAATGTTTCGAGATGGAGGATTGACCGAGTCTCTCTCTCTCTTTCTCTCTCTCTCTCTCTCTCTCTCTCTCTCCCTCTGCCGCCGCCTAATAAGAACCCAGCCTTATTCGTTAGGATTACGGTACGTGCAGCGTGAAATAAAAACGAAGAATACTTGCGTGCAAGGAGTCTCTCTCTCTCTCTCTCTCTCTCTCTCTCTCTCTCTCTCTCTTTCTCCATCGTACATCGTGGCAGCGTGCGGCAAACGGAAGCTGCGCAAAACCTCGTGATAATATCCTTTGTTTCCTTCCAAACGTGCGGTCGCTTTACAGTTCGACTGGCTCTCTTCTGACGCACATACGACATATGTATAACGGGTGTTAAGATGCGCGGCGCGCTCGCACACGCGGTGTGTCGCCCCATACGATCGGTAACTTGGCTAAACGAGCCATCGATATTCAGCGCGCGTTTAAGAATCGAGAGAAGTTTGAAATTACTAGTAACAACAGCGCGAGGGCGGAGAGAGAGAGAGAGAGGGTGAGGCGCGGAAGTATGAAGGAATGTTGGAACATCGGCCCACCCACGCGTACCACCGCGTCGTTCCGCCGTGAATCGGGCTTGAATCCCCCCTCCCTCCCTCCCTCCTCCCCGTGCCGAAGGAAAATTTTCCTACCTAGAAACCCAATGTACAAAGCAATTTTTCCCACAAAGGAAAACGTGTGTCGTTTGAATCAATTTGAATGTGATGAATCGTCCGGGGCGGGGAGGGAGAGCACACATGCAGAGTATTGCATTATTCCCGAGCAGAAATTCTCGCAGAGATTCCTTTCCTGCAAAATGAACCGAACAGAGTTGCGTACAATGCGGGAGAAAAGGTCTCTCTCTCTCTCTCTCTCTCTCTCGAGTGTCGTCGAGTCTCTGTCTTCGAGTCGCGACGTTCGATCGTTTCGAAACGTCCGCGAAACCACACGCGGACGTTTATATTCGCGCTCGGGCTCAAGGCGACAAGGCGCAAGGAGAAACGCGCGAACGGCGCGTAAATTTTCATCTGTAAATAATCGAGCGACACAGGCATCGAGAGAGCATCGGGGAGGATGAGAAAGTAAGGAAGAAGGCGAGGAAGAAAGAACGCGGCGGGAAGAAAAATCCGCAGGACGATATCCCCGCGACAACCCGATATATCAGCGCGTCGTCGAAAAAGCTAATGTTCTACGTGACTACTCCGCTCTAGTCGATTATCGCGGCGACATCCGTGCGCAGTCGACCAGCCTGTAGTCCGTAATCGACGGATCGAATGAGCCAGGACCAACGCGACGCGGCTAACTCATCCGTGAAGAGAGGAGCCGCGCGCTCCTCCCGTAGGAAATTTACCCGGTAACTTGTGTCGTGTCGCGCTTCGTGTTTTTCCACGGATTTCGATTACACGTACACCTCGCGCCCCCGTCGTCGCCCGGTCGCGCGCGCGCGCGCGCGGGTTCGCCCGTGTTTTCCGTCACGAGCGCTCGCGATTTTCCCGCATCGGTGTCCCCGAGAGATGCTGCCCCCCGCGAGAAAGAAGAAGAAGAAGAGCACGGAGGAGACGGAGGAAAAGATGCTTGCTGTCGATCGGCGATTGTCTCACCTCGTGTGTCTCACGTGTACGTTATATTATTAATGATCGATGATCGAGACAGTCTCGAGAGCGTCGCGTCGCGTCGGAGCGACCGGTCTCCTCCGTCGCGCGCGCACTGCCGGGAAATCCCGCGCCGCGGGGGAGTTCTCGCGTCTCGGGATAAACGATCCACCGCGCGAAATCGTGCACGATGATGCAATCACTCGCGGAACAGAGACTCTCGTCTACCGCTGCTGCTGCTGCTGCTGCTGCTGCTGCTGCTGCTGTTGTGGCGGTGGCACGCGCGGCGAATAAAATATGAGCCAGCCTTACACTTTGAACGCGGCGACGAGCGCGCGTAACGCCGTTCTCGTCGTTACCGTACTCTCTACCGCGGTGCGGGGAAGCGCGAGGTGAGACGGTGACGTTATGTGGTTTTCCTTTGATGTGCAATATCCGCTCTCGCGGTATACGCGCGATGTCGACCGTCCTGCTGTGTCGCTCGCTTGCGTGCATGACGGAATCGCTACGTCGTCGTCGTCGTCGTCGTCGTCGTCGTCGTCGTTGTCGCATCAGACGAGAACCACGCGCGCATAAATAAATACCTCGACAGGCTCGATGTCGCGCGCGCGTCATTCTTTTTCTTTTCTTTTCTTTTCCTCTTCCTTTCCGCGGACACGCTCGTCTAATTTTTCAAGAGGGGACACTTTTGCCCGCGCGCGACCGCGTTCCGCTCTCTTATTTTAAAACCCGGAGGAAAAGCTGTAAAACCCCCCTGTAAGCGCCGCGTTGCGAAACGGAATCTCCCGAGACGCGACTGACATCTCTCTCTCTCTCTCTCTCTCTCTCTCTCTCTCTCCCTCCCTCTCCTTCTCCCTCTCCCTCTCTTTCTGTTTTGTTTAACGCGATGCGATCATCTTTTTTTTTCTCTCTTTCATGAAACCCAGGCCTGCACTTGCGGAGCATCGAGGAGCCGAGGATGACGGCGGAAACGGCGGCTCCCTGTGTGCAGGCGGTTCAAGGGGCGCAAGGCGCCATGGCGAGCCAAAGCATGCTGCAACAAGTGCAGGATGGAAGCGGTGGCAGCGGCAGCGGCAGCGGCGGCGTCAGCGCTTACTATTCCTCCACGTCTACCTCGACGGTGTATGACCCGGAGTACGCACGTATGGAGGCCTGGCTCGACGAGCACCCCGACTTCGTCAACGATTACTTTCTTAGGTATCGTTCTCTTCGAGTAGAGCCGATTAGCATCGACACATCGAGAAACGAGCAGATTCGCAGAGTCTTCACGACTCTAAATATGTTGTTTCCACTCCGGGAAGATCTCTCAAGATGTCTCTTTTGTGCGAGCCAGGAAAGCGACACGACAGACCGTGGACATGTGGCTGGTATCGCACGCGACGCCGACGTCATCGTCCAGCAGCTGCGTGGAGCTGTCGAGTCCGACCCACGGCGGAGCGCCTGGTAACACGTCCTCCGGTCGAGGCGGTACCGGCGGCTCGGGTGCCACGACACCGGTGCGCAAGATCTCGGCGCACGAGTTCGAACGAGGCGGCCTGCTGAAGCCGATCGTCAACACGATCGACGGCACACCGACCTTCCTGAGCGTGTCGCCGGGCGACACCGGTCAGCCGGCCGGGCCGCAAGTCGGATCTGGCAACTCGAGCCGGCCGCAGAGGCGTTCGAGACACGAGCTCAGGCACCTCGACGAGAAGGATCTCATCTTCGAGTTGGTGAGTCTCTCTGATTGTGTTTACTTTAGCCTTTCGCTCTAAGAGAGTCGGTCTCGCAGGTTAAAGACATCTGTCACGAGCTGGACGTAAGATCGTTGTGCCACAAGATCCTGCAGAACGTGAGCACGTTGCTACACGCGGATCGCGGCTCGCTGTTCCTCGTTCAGGGCGAGAGGAGCGGCGCTGCCGCGAACGCGCCCGCGTCCTCGCCGAATCACGAGGTCGCCGCCACCGCCGCCGCCGCCGCCGCCGCCGCCGCTGCCAACAATTCCGACAGCGAGAACTCGCGATGCAACGACCAGCAGTGCTACTCGAGGAGCAGGTGCCTGGTGTCGAAGCTCTTCGACGTTTGCTCGAGGTCTACATTGCTGGAGATGGAGAAGAAGGACGAAATCAAGATCCCCTGGGGCACCGGCATCGTCGGCTACGTCGCTGAGAGCGGCGAACCCGTCAACATACCGGACGCTTACAAGGCAAGACTCGCAAGAATTACCGTTTCCCGTAAATCACTTTGATAAGCGCGCACCTTCGCCCGGCTGGCAGCAGCCACCCTCTTGTCTCGATCGATCTCTCTGTCCTCTATCTAACGAGAGCGCGCGACGCTTCACGGCCGATCGATCGTCTTGAGCATCGCCAATTCGCCAAGTGAATCATAATGTTCGCTCGTATCAGAGAATATCATCGTTTCTGACATTCATAAATAAGAGACACAACGAATATCTCTTATCTTTTATTTATCTCGGTCACTCGTAGTGTCCGCGCTCTTAAGTCGGTAAGCATTACCTAATTATGTCGCGCGCGCGCGTATTACGACGCGGAGAATTCCTCTTTATCGGGAAATTCGAGCCAGGAATATCTCTCGACCGATCGATCGTTCGAACTTGTAACTTTGGCGTATCGGCTCGTATGAGCTCAGAAAGAACTCGAATATATTTTCCAGGATGCGAGGTTTAATCGCGAAATTGACGCGTTAACGGGATACCGTACGCGAGCCTTACTGTGCATGCCGATAAAGGACTGCAACGGCGACGTGATCGGGGTGGCGCAGGTGATAAACAAACTCGGCGGCGAAGGGCAATTCACCGCGCAGGACGAGAAGGTCTTCGCCGGTTATTTGCAGTTCTGCGGTATCGGCCTGAGAAACGCGCAACTTTACGAGAAGAGCCAATTGGAAGTGAAGAGGAATCAGGTAAGCTTCGCGATTTCCTCTAAGCTCTAAACGATTGAAAACGAGAGGGAGAATTATTGTATATTATTCTGACAAATTCTGACCGTTAGGTTCTACTGGATCTGGCTAGAATGATCTTTGAGGAGCAAAGCACGATAGAGCACATGGTTTTCAGGATCCTCACGCATACGCAATCGTTGATTCAGTGCCAACGTGTTCAGGTAATTAGACCGGAAAATATGTTTACCGAACATACGCCCGACCTGTGCGAGCGGAAGAGAAGAAGATACATTCGCGTAATGTCATAATCATTGTCTCTTCTCAGGTGCTACTGGTGCACAAAGCTTCGAAGGGAAGTTTCTCGCGAGTCTTTGACTTCGAGGCGAACGATCTCGCTGGTGAGGATTCCGATTCTCGCACTAGGTGAATCAAGTTTGTAATTATACGTATCTGGTCGTCGTCGTCGTCGTCTCTCTCTCTCCCTCCCTCCCTCTCTCTCTCTCTCTCTCTCTCTCTCTCTCTCTCACTCACTCACTCACTCACTCACTCACTCACTCACTCACTCACTCACTCACTCTCACTCTCACTCTCCGATGAGTTTACGAAATTTCACACAGCCCGTTCTCTTCTTCCTTCTTTTTCAGTCCGTTCGAGAGTAGATTTCCTATTAACGTCGGCATCACGGGTTACGTAGCGACGACCGGTGAAGTGAGTATTGTTCGGATTACAATGCGTACCGCTAGCGCGCGTAGAGCACGCGAAAACATTAGCGCTCGAGACGATGTCGAAAAGTGATTTTCAGACTGTTAACATACCGAACGCTTATGAAGACCCGCGATTCGACCCAATGGTGGACGATGGTACCGGCTTCAAGCATCGTACGATTCTCTGCATGGCCATAAAAAATTCCTCCGGTCAGATAATCGGCGTCATTCAACTGATCAACAAGTTCGACGATCTGCCGTTCACGAAGAACGACGAAAACTTCGTCGAGGCATTCGCGATATTCTGCGGTATGGGAATTCACAATACACACATGTAAGTGCAGTTGAGTCTCGGTTTCTCGCACACAGTGGCTCGTCGGTCGACTTGGCTTATCGAGCATCTATTTCCCAGGTATGAAAAGGCTGTGATAGCAATGGCGAAACAGAGCGTCACTCTGGAAGTACTGAGTTACCATGCGTCGGCGTCGCTGGAAGACGCGCAGAGACTGAAGGTTGGTACGCTTCTGATTTTTCCATTCCAGTTTTACCGTCGACAGCTGTCACGCATTTCCGACGCTCCAATGTGCCACACTCTCTGCTCAACAGACCATAAGAGTTCCGTCGTCGGCGCATTTTCAACTGCACGATTTCAAGTTCGACGACAAATACATGACAGACGACGATACCCTCTCCGCGTGTCTCAGGATGTTCCTCGACTTGGACTTCGTCGAGCGGTTTCACATCGATTACATGGTGCTTTGTCGTTGGCTGCTCAGCGTGAAGAAGAACTATCGGAATGTTACCTATCATAACTGGCGGCACGCCTTCAACGTCGCCCAAATGATGTTCGCCATTTTAACAGTGAGAGAAAGAGAGAGAGAGAGAGAGAGAGAGAGACTCTTTCAAATAATCATTTGATAATCGAGATTTTGGTACAATTTTCGCGCAACTCTAATCACTCTTTCCTCCGTCAGGCTACGCAGTGGTGGAAGATCTTCGGTGAGATCGAGTGTCTCGCGCTCATCATTGCCTGCCTGTGTCACGATCTCGACCATCGAGGAACGAACAATTCCTTCCAGATTAAGTGAGTATCGCGAGTAATCAATCTCAAATTAACTTCCCATTTGTATTTAAGGCAAATTTATCACGTGGAACTTTGTCTCGAAGTTATTTTCTAACGATACATTATTAAACAAGTATTATATATATATATATATAAATTAAATAAATATTAAATATTTATTATTATTTTCTCGTCTCCAGGGCCTCTTCGCCACTGGCGCAGCTGTACTCGACGTCGACGATGGAACACCATCATTTCGATCAGTGCCTCATGATCCTGAGCAGCCAGGGCAATCAAATCCTATCGAATCTTTCGCCCGAGGAGTATTCACGCGTGGTGAAGGTACTTGAGGAAGCGATACTCTCCACTGATCTGGCCGTTTACTTTCGGAAACGCGGCGCCTTCCTCACTATGGCGCGCAACGGCGCCTACAACTGGGCATACACCGATCACCGAGAGCTCCTACGCGGTATGCTGATGACGGTTTGCGACTTGGCTGCCATCACGAAACCCTGGGACGTTGAAAAAAGAGTAGCCGAACTCGTTAGCAGGGAATTCTTTGAACAGGGTGATATAGAGAGGAAAACGCTCAACATTACACCCATCGTGAGTAACTGATAGTCGTAGTCCACCGTTGTGAGTGCTGTCGAAAGTGCTGTCTAATATCGCAAATATTCTGATGTAGGACATAATGAATCGAGAGAAACAAGACCAGTTACCGATGATGCAAGTCGGTTTCATCGACTCGATCTGTCTGCCCATCTACGAGGTACGCTGAAATGGTTACTTTCTCAAGTGAAATACAACCCAGCTCTTTGAAACTTACTCCAGTCATTTTCTGCTTCCTTTATCTCAGGCATTCGCCCTGCTGTCGGACAAGCTGGTGCCGCTCGTCGATGGAGTTGCAGAGAACAAGCGACAATGGCTGGAGATCGCCAAGACCAAGTGTCAGGCGGAGAACTGTACAAACCACGACAGGACGCCATCGCCGTCCGTGTCCGAGAACGAGGAGATCATCGAACAAGCGGACCAATAGTCGTCGTGCGATCGACGTCACTGGCTACTACTATTGAACGCACAAAATTGCAGCTGTGTAGTGCTACCCGCCAGTCTCGTCGGAAAGGGAAACACGAGGAATAGTTGAAGTTGTTACGGAGCGTCTTTCTCCGTAGGAAATACACTTTCGCTTTCCTCATCTCGATCGTCACTGTCTCTGTGTGCGCTGCGAAGCCGCACATTGCATAACGAACGTACTCTACTGCTACTTCACTTCCGTCAATTAGACATTTTTACGGATTCTACAGATCTGCTCTGATCAAATAGACCAAATATACATACAAGCTTCTCGAGTCGAATCGTACATGTTCAAAATCGTTCTGTAAATTTGATATACGTTGAAAAAAAAAAAAGCGAAACGTCGAGCAGACGATCTCACGACTGTGAAGAGAAAAGATCCTCGTTCGTTCTTTTTCTCTCTCTCTCTCTCTCTCTCCCTCTCCCTCTCCCTCTCTCTCCCCCTCTCCCTCCCTCCTCTCTTACTCTCTCTTTTTTTCTCTTACCTTATTCCTGCATCTTCTTCCTCTCTCTTTATGCGCCCATCTACCTGTTTTCCTAGATGCTAAACCAATCAACCTCTATATGCTACTATTGTACCTGATTGTATTGTACATATATTTACTATGACAGCCTCTCGATGTCAAGAGAGGTGGAAACAGAGAAAAAGAGAGAGAGAGAGAGAGAAAGAGAGAATGAAGATGTACGTGGTGATTCTATAAAACGTGTATTGCACAATAGTTTTTAACGCGACGCGGCACAGCTCAGCTCGGCTCGTCGAAGGACGCAATGGCGCTACGCGTAATTAGGTTATATGTATTTGTATACCAAAGTGTAAATTTATATCAGGATCGATCGCGCGGCTGCAATTAGTCGCCGATATAGTGATTTGAACGGTCTGTAACGCGCGTGCTAATTAATTAGCTGATTGATTAGCAGAGGAACGCCGCGACAGACATAGTACCTGCAAGCTTCTCAGTTGCTTTCTGTCTTTGCTTTCCTGTTCCCAAGATGTCGTAGATTCTTCGGATCGATCGCGACCCGAACGTCGGTCGTTTTCGTCTTCGCGTGGAGCTGTTGTATCGCTCAAGATATATAAGAAATAATCGCGTTAACATGTTCTCAGCAACGAGAGAGAAAGAGAAGGGCCACCGTCTACATTACCTTGCCTTTAACACGCAGAGATTGCAGAAAGCTATACACATACATACATACACACACACACACACACACACACACACACACACATACAATACATACAGAGGTTTAGGATATCTCTTCTCTTTGTTTCTTTGTGTCTGTGTAATAACTACTTTCGCTGATTTTCGCTAACAATTCGCGTACATAACGCAATCGTGTACGTTAAAGCCCATATTCAATAACGAGAGAAACAAGCATATCATTAGGTAGTCGCCGCAAACGAGGTAGTAGTGTTCTCGTATCTCCAATATCATATCATATGCGAAAAGTGAAATCGACGCGCTCGTTCGCTCGAGGACACTCAGTAGATTCACCCTAAGGGAGTGTGTGTGTGTGTGCGTATACCGCGGCTTCTGAGAAGACGAAGACAGTTAAGCATTTAGTGATCGCACGTGTGATCGTTACTTATAATTATATAAAGCGCGTGACTTTCTCTATGTTCCTTTTAATCTTGCAACCTTCGAAGTGATCTTTCGTTTTTTCCTCTTTTAATCTTAATGTCGATTCTCTCCGAGCTGTACTTGGTCTCGCGTCGCGACGCGCGTCAGGACGCGGGACCAAGTGTAGCGAGGATGTTGACGAGTGTGATAAAAGTTTTTTGACGTATGCGTGCGCGTGTGAATGTAGCGCGACTATGTGTGTGTATGTGTGTGCGCGTGTGCGTGTGCGTGTGCGTGCGTGCGTGCATGTGAATATCCGAAAAGGGAACGCGAGAATGATCATTGTACAGTTATTTCTCTTTTCCTTTTTTGTGTATAAATTATATCGCAAAACGGTGTACGTGTGGCGTATTCATCGTTTATGACGATGACAGCGAGAGTCATATTCTACGAATAATATCTAATATATTAAAGCGAAAATAAATTATGTAAATATGAGGATGTGAAATCGTAATTCCCCGAAGCTTATCCTTTTACTTACCCACGATTAAATCACGCGACTGATTAAGAGAAAAAAAAAGGAAAGAGATATAGAGAAGGAAAAGCTCTCGCGCTCGCTTGACCACCTTATTGCTCAATCTAAAGATGAGACTTGCGGACGCGACCGACGCTTCTCTTTCCCCCCGCCGCGCGTCTGACCGATAGTCAAGATATTACGTTTGATGATGTGGGTCGATCGGCGACACGATTTCGCAACTTTGTACCAATAGACCTTGATCGTCACGGCTGCTGCCAGACACGAGCGAAGGGGCTGGTTGAGGCGTGATGTCTATCAATTTTCAGACGGCTGACGCGGCATGCTCAAGGGTCAACGTTGACGTTTTTCATGACTTTATTCTAACTTCTCGTTACAACGTAATTCGTCTTTCGTCTCGCTTCTTCGTACCGCGCGATAACTTTCGCTCACAGGCGCTCTCTCTCTCTCTCTCTCTCTCTCTCTCTCTCTCTCTCTCTCTCTCTCATTTGAAGTCGCGAAGATTAATCGGCGATCGACAATATAGGCACTATCATTGTTATTATTATTATTATTGTTGTTGTTGTTTTCGCACAATCTCGTGATCTCGTATGACAGACAGAACGAAATCGTTACCGGCGCTGACGAGCTTATCGTGGGCCTGCGCATGTGTGAGTTGGCTTATCGGCTCCCCGTTCAGCTTGACGATCACATCACCCGCTTGCAAGCCAGCTGTATAAGCTAGACCCCCGATCGCCACCTTGTCGAACAAACGTCAACAGACTTAACGATAATACGTGCGACGCGCTCGGATGGATACACATCGCGTGTTACTTAGCGGACGTAACGCGAGCTAATATAACAGCAGAGCACCTTACCCTGACGACGATTAGCGGGAAAGTGTAGTCGACGCCACCGGAGAGCCGAAAGCCCCACGACTGGCCGTTACTTCGTGATAACTGAACGTCGCTGGTGGTCGTCATGGTGAAGTTGTCGCGCGAGAACAGCTCGGCTTAGTCTGGAAACAGGCAAGTTCAGGCGAGTTCCTCCTGCTTCGCTCATTCGCGCGAGCGACGAAAGATCATTCGCGGTTGTCCTTGATAGACACAATCGTAGAGACGACCCCGTCTCCGCTCTCTTCCTTCCAATGAGGAGAGCGAAAGAGCTTCTTCTCTCTGCACTCACCACGTCGACTGCACAGCCCTCTCGACTCGATCGCGATCGATCGGCCAGCGCACACAGACAGCGTCGTCGGCGACGAGCACGCGTCTCTCCTCATCGACCGATTTGAATTTCGATCAACTATAGCTGCGCCCGTGCGCGCGCTGCTCCTACATACTATTTCCAATCTCTCGGCAGGGGGGAGGCATGCGCGAGGAGTGCGATCGCGCTTCTCTCGCGCGGCACAACCTGACGAGAGGAAGAAGCTGAGCGCGCGCGACGCTCTCGAGTCGGTGGTACCGGCGGTGGATCTCCCAGCGCGTCCGGGATTCCCTCTTCGACCTCGCGCACAACACGTCGCGCCGCGTTGCGTCGCGGACGTGTGCTTTGACGACGAGTTCCTCTCGCGCGTTGATCGGCCGCGAGGAGTCGGCCAAGTTTGATTTCGCGAAGGGCGCACGCCCCAACGCGCGACCCCGGTCCCGGCCTGGTCCCGGCCACGGCAGCTAAATCCTCTTCGGGCATCGGAGTCATGAGCGAGCCTTCGTCCGGAGAAGGTCCTCTCCTTCGCTCGTGAGCCAGCGTCGTCGCACCGCGCGCGCGCGCGCGCGCTACCGGCTCTCTCGACGCCGATTAATCGCGCGCGACGTCGTTCGCCGCAGTTCGTTAGCTATTAGCTCGTTTCCAGATCGTCCTCCAGCCACCGCCGCCGCCGCCGCCGCCGCCGCTCGTCGACGTCGCAGCGCTCTCGCACGCGTCCACGCGGGAAGCGAGGCGTTAAATGTCGAGGGTAAGTGGGTGATTATTCACTGTCCGCTGGACGTAGCAACGGTGATACTTGGAGACGCGCGTAGACCGGATACTTTTTACGACGGTAACGATCGTTGCTTCCTTCTTGCTCGTTCCGTGCGCGTATGTCGGCGATGTTTTTTATTAAATATATATTAAATTTATTATTATATTAAATCGTGAAGTACGAAGAAATATATCTTCGTGCTTTCACGTCGGTACGATCGTAGTCGATCGCAAGTTGCGACACGTCCGCGTTATGTAATATCCCGAATAGCACAAGACATCCTGGTAGCTCGTCGTGGTAAACGCGCCGAAAATGCGCCGGAGGATCTCCACATCCGGAACAATCGGTCGGGATACAGGATGTTGCAGGATGCGCGACGTAGCAAATGCGTGCGGTTGGCCTTTTCTAAAACTAGCCGGAACGCCGCGCCGCGCCGCGCCGCGCCGCGCCGCAGGATTCCGCTCGATGCCCGAAGCTCTCCTTCTTGCATTTCTTTTTTGGCGCGCGCCATTTGTTCGCACGCGATGCGCTCTTCCCGCTCAGCCCGCCTCGCGCGCGTTTCGCTCGGATATCTCGCGCTGGAGAACGCGACGATCTTTTCCCCGCGCCCTCTTTGCCTCGCGAACGCTGACACCGCTGAGCGGTGACTTTTCTAAATCGCGTAATGACAGACGAGAAATCGGCATATCTCGAGGACGTCGAGTAGGACGCACTTAAGGGCGCGCGCGCGTAAGGGCGACGCGTGACATTGTCGATGCCCTTCCGAGCCGCCGCCGCTCCAAGATGGTGCGATAGTGTTTTTCTTTTTTACTATTCCAGTGATCGGTAGAGTGTCATGGTTCCGGTGATTGGAAATATCCGCCGCTTACAGGTAGCCCCGACTTGCGTACGGATACGCCTCCGCGCAACCTTTCTACGTAAGTTCAACGAGCACTCCACGCACGCTGTACGTAAATAAAACTCTGATTTTTCTCTTGGCCCGAGACCGAAGCTGCACGCTTCGCGGACCGAGCTGAGAGATCGATCCGCGTAAGAGTCTGAGAGAGCGATTAGAAACGATAAAAGCCGAAATCGACGACGAGGACGAGCGTGTGTGTACATGAACCTCGGCTGCGTCGTGAAAGACCGAGCCATTTTGTAACCGTTTGCTCTTTCCCAGGAGAATAGAAGAGAGAATCAAGCGTGACATCAAAATGACGTCGAAATGACGAGGAAATGATTGAATCATCATGAAAAAATGAGTTTTCCTCATCATTTTGACGTCATCCTGATGTCATCGTGATTTTCTGTCCCGCCTGGCTGCTTGCTTTTTTCCTTCTCCGACTGGACCAAACGTGAGAGACCGCGCGCGCGTCTTCCAGCCGATCCGTCGATCCGGACGCGACCGGATTCGCCGGCGTGCGTCGTGCTTGTCCAAAACGACTCCGCCACGTCTGGTCCAGCGCGTGTCTCGTGAAATAATGTTAAGGGAGCGACGTGAAGGAAGGGGAGATGCGATGAGCGTACTCGAAGAGAGGGGCGAGAGGACGCGGCGAGCTCTGGGGATGGCTTGTGCCGTGCCGCCGCTGGCTGCATCGATCGTTTTCCACGGGCGCTATAGCGCCTGTTTCCTACGGACAGGCGGACGATGCGACCTCGCCGCGGCAGAAAAACATTGTAAATCGCGATCGCACGGCAACTACCGAGTCCGATCGCCGACGAGAGGAGAAGGAAATTAGCGAGCACACATTCGGTGGCCCCGAAGTCGTCGTCGTCGTCGTCGTCGGGGCTGCTCGACGATGCAACCGAGAGCCTCTCTCTCTCTCTCTCTCGAGAGAGAGAGAGAGAGAGAGAGAGAGAGAGAAATCGCTCGCTCCGCTGATTGGCGCAATTAGCCAGCGGTATGCCGCGAGATGCGATCTGCGGCGCGATTCGAGCCGCAAATCGCATCACGTGCGTCGCGTGTTACGTCGTTAATATTTCAGCGATCGATAGCGCGCGTCGCGGACTCGCGGCTTCCGACGTGAAGGGAAACGCACACACGCAGCACACACACATACACGAGGAGGGTGCTCTTCCGAAGGGGTTTGGCCGAATCGACTCGTCGTGCGCCATCCGCACGTTATCGATCTCGCGCCGATTAAAGAGCGATTCACCGGCGATAGCCCTCGCAGCCGTCGCGCGCGCCCGATTTCCCCTCCGATCGTCGTCGTCCTATATCGATTTAATGTCGCGCTCTTCCGCGCGACTTATTGCGCGCTTCCTTGTCGTCGAGGGGAGAGCAGGGGGAAGGGAAGTTAATTAACAATCCCCGACGGCTGATTGCCGAGAGCCGACCTCGAACCGATTCCGGATGAAGAATACTCTCCGTTAACTGCGTTAACTCTATCTATCTCTCCCTCTCTTTCCCTCCCTTCCTCCCTCTCTCTCTCTCTCTCTCTCTCTCTCTCTCTCTCTCTCTCTCTCTCTCTCTCTCTCTCTCTCTCTCTCTCTGGTCGTGCGCGTCCTGCACGACGTCGATGCTACCGTCGATGCTGCGAGCCGATCTCGCGCACGCGACGCAGTTGGACGGGAACGCGCGAACCCGCTGTGCGAGCTACGTCCAGAAGGGCAAGAGGGAGGGGGAGTCACGCGCGGAGGGTTGTTGGGTTTATTCAAGGTTGAGCGAACCTCACGTGTCGCTTGTCAAAGGCCGGCAGGTAAGCCGCTGGAAAATGGACTCGCCTGTACGATCGCCGCTTATTCTATTTTGCGACACGCCGGGGAAACGAGACAAAATCGAGTGATACCGGGCCGATAGCCGTGATCGCGCTACCACAGTGATATTCCCGACTCCGTTTGAGGCGTGCGTGTTCGCGCTTAAAATAACTAAATACTCGCGCGCACGCGCGCGCGATATGACGAACTAAACACTTGCGCTTTATCAAACGCGTTACCGGCGATATGTAACACATGTACACATCGATGGTACATCGGAGATGGAACTTCCGGGATCGATTCGAATTATCTCTCTCTCTCTCTCTCTCTCTCTCTCTCTCTCTCTGAGAAATTCAGACTCAGTACAAAAACGCACTACCTCGGACGAACACCTCGTCGAGAGAGGTCCAATACGAGTCTACTTTAGTCGTATGAAATATAGTACTGGCGACCGTCTTCACCCCCTGACTGCCCAACTATTGCCATTGCTTTATATAAAACATCGATCAATAAGTCCCGGGACTAAGTACTAAAACAACATTTGTTTGCCAAAATTCTTCTTTATTCATCAACATAGTCTCGTTCAAGAGCGATATACATTCATTCCAACGCTTTCCCAACTTTTCTATGCCAGCCGTGTGGAACGATCTTTGGTTTGAAAATAGGCGTTAGTTTCGGCAATCACTTCTACTTCATTGGAGCCAAATCTCTTTCCCTGGAGCATCTTTTTTTGGAGGTCCGCGAATAATCGCCAATAATCGCTGGGGGCCAAATCTGGAGAATACGGGGTGGGTGCGGAAGCAATTCGAAGTTCAACTCGTGCAATTTGGCCATCGTTACCGTCGACTTGTGACACGGTGTAGCGTCACTAAAACCACTGTGACTCAATGACACAATGTCGGAATGTCATGAAAATTTGACACGTAACTTCTAAAGGTTGGTACTAACTGAGAATGGTATGGATTTGTTATTAGAGGCGCCATTTGTCGGTTAGTCCCGGGACTTATTGATCGATGTGTTGAGTCTATCATTATTTATACTACTATTTTTTTTTTCTTTTCTTGTATTGTTCCATTACTTGTTTATACTCACCTTACATATTTTTTCAGCTGATGTAAAACTCAAAAATTCTTTGTATCATCTTGGACTTCCCCGCGCTTGAGGGGACTCTGTCCCAGAGCGCTCAATAAATAACGCTCTCTCTCTCTCTCTCGATTTTCCTTCAAATTAGCCGCGATCGCGCGACTAGCAACTTCACTCGCGAGTATAAGGAGATGCGAGCGATCCCTCTGCGTTCGTTGCAGACGCGAGTCACCGCGACGACTCGGGAGCGTCGATGGAGGACCGGCGGGACTGTTGAACTCGACTCGCGACAGGTGGGAACATGCCCGGACGCTCGCCGGCGAGGGCGTACGAGCGGCCCATAGACTTCGCGGGCCGCAAGCTCGCCGCTACTTGAATGCCACCGCCGCGGGAGGTGAGCTCCTCCGCGATTATCTCTAAAGCGTAGGCCCCCCCGTCAGAGTCAGTCATTATCTCCGCAATAAGCTCGAACATCTCTCGGAGTGCGTTCCTCTCCTCGTTACAAGAACAAATGACCAGGGCACGGGATGGCCGAGTCCTGGCTCTCGGTCACGGTGACCACGATGACGATGATGGCCTGCGTGACGCTGACGAGAGCGACCGATCCATCCTCGTCGGCACCCCTCACGACGACCGTTCGTGACGATCTTCCGCTCGACTCGAAACGGGTACGGCTTTGTCCTCGTCTTATTAATCTGCTCGTTCCATCGACGATTCGCGGCGGATCTTCCGAAGGCGAAAGTCCGTCGCGAAGGTTTGTCGCTCGCGGCCGGCCGCTGATCCGCCAGGTTCGTCTCATTCAAGGCGGCCATCGAGGAGGCGTTGGACGTGATCGAGGCGGCGTCCACCGGCTCCCTCGGCGAGGTGTGCGTGAACACGGCAGGGTTCAAGTCGCTGCCGGCCGGCGTCGAGCTGGACCCGAGACGTTACGACGCAGCGCGTCAGAAGGCTGACATGACGGCGATGGTGCTCCAAAATTTCGGCGCCGCCGAGGCGACGCGACGTAACGGTGAGTTGCCGAGCTGCGGAGGAGGGAAGAAGCGCGCGCGACTGCATCGGCAACCGCGACCTGCTCGTCGCTGCTCTCCTCTCCTCTCGTCCCTCTCGTGTGCCTACCTGTTGCGCGCATCGACGAAAGAACGGACGAGAGCAGCGACGAGAGCCGGCCCGGGGGCGCGCCGTCGACTGACGAAATTATGCGCGTCGCAGCTCTCCTGGACGCCCTGACCAAGTCGCTGCTCGTGTCGGTGAACGATGCGGTGGAAGCGAGGGTGATCGCGCTCAACGCATCCACCGGCACCGTCATCGCCGCGGTGTGGCTGAAACGCAGCCCCGGAAGCGTCGGCGAACCCACCAAGGTCGAGAACCACGCTCTTCAGCCCGGCTCGCAGCCGGACCCCAGTTTGCCGTGGTTCGAGAACGCCGGCGGTAGCACCGAGCTAAGGTTCGCCGCATCGACTGTTCGCACTGCCGCAACCTTATGAACCTTGCACACTGCACGTAATGACCGATGAGCGATCAGCCAATGAGAGTTCTCATCTCTTCTTAAAGCGGAGATCTTATTGGACATCGCTCACATCGCCTATCGCGTGCAGTGTGCAAGGTCCATTGCTCGTCTCGCAGAAGCCAAAGCTCTCTCTCTCTCTCTCTCTCTCTCTCTCTCTCTCTCTCTCTCTCTCTCTCTCTCTCTCTCTCTCTCTCTCTCTCTCTCTCTCTCTCTCTCTCTCTCTCTCTCTCTCTCTCTCTCTCTCTCTCTCTCTCTCTCCTTCTCTCTCTCCTTCTCTCTCTCCTTCTCTCTCTCTCTCTCTCTCTCTCTCTCTCTCTCTCTCTCTCTCCTTCTCTCTCTCTCTCTTCGTCTCGAAATCTCTCTCGTCTCTCACCTTTGACCGCTCTACGAAACAGTGTCTCTTGCGCGAGCGTCAACGAGATGTCTCGAAAAGACAGAGGTGTTCTTCGCGTATCTCGTCGTACGCGCGCGCATGTAATAACAAGCAAGCATGCACGCACGCACGCACGCACGCACGCATGACCACGCACATGCATACGCACGGAAGCACGCGCGAAAATCTTTTAGCTCTCTTGCACCCCGTCGTTGATGCTTAACATCGCCTTTCTCTTCCGGGATACGGAGACGGGTCCCGCGACTCGGAGGAGAATCGCACACTCGTCCTGTAGGCGCTCCACGATCATTCATCATCATCCCTCATCACCCCGTATGAGTGAGACAGGTCATAGAAACTCGATAGCAGCGATGACGGAACGCAAAAATGTGCGATCTCGCGAGACGCGGGCTCGTGTCGCGAGGCCTCGTTATTGTCCTTTCGCTGTGGATCGATCGCGCCGGGTGCAGCGGCAGCTTACCAGCGGGGATGACCGTGAAGTGCCGGGCGCGTATACGACTCGTTGCACGAAATCACGTGTGTCTTACACAGAGAGGAAGATTGAAAGAGAGAGAGAGAGAGAGAGAGAGGAGAGAGAGAGAGATCGAAGTTTCTATGGCGGCTTGTGGCGTTTTGCGTGTGATCCCAGGTCACCGAAATTCATGCAGTCACCGCCGATTGAATCCTACAGGGGTTGGTGGACCATCCCGTACTTCTCCTGCAAGACCCGCCGCTGGCTCATCTCGTACAGCGTCAACGTCAAGTCACCGGACGTCCGACCCGGGTTAGTGCAGCTGCTCGTCCGGAAGCTCGCAGGGTGACCTTTCACCACTGATTCTGATTAGTGATGATCGATTCGATCGAAAATTATCCTTTTTGATATCTTTAACTCGTTGTTGGAGTTAAGGAAAGTAACTCGTTGACTCCAACAACGAGTTACAGAATCGTACCGCAGCGTGGAAATTGATGTCGACAATTCTATCGATTGATTTCGTCGATCAGCCTCGCGGCCTTTGGTGAAAGTCACCCTAACTCCCGCGAAATTTCACACGCGATCCCGTCGCCTTATTTGCCTTGTATAATGTTCGCCTTCTCTTCTTGAAGGGTGCGAGAATTCATAAGTATGGACGTCGACATAAGCGGCTTGGAGGTGAACCAGTGCGATGCGCCGCCGCCGCCGCTGCCGCCGCCGCTTCCGCCGCCGCCGCCGCCGCCGCCATCGCGAGACGGCAACGACGGAGTCGAGCCTCCCGCGAGCAATCAGATCGCCTTCTTCAAGGGCACTCACAAGTGCCACACCGACACCACGCAAGTATGTACGCCGAGCGACCTGTAAAAGTGCACGAATCGTCCGGAGACTTTCGCGGAGCGTCGAAAGACACCGAGAGTTCTCCTACGACGTGTGAACTCCTGAAGATGCTACGGAAGAAAATGCTCTTTGTTTTCGGTCTTAGTGCGTGTATCAGGGTCCGGACAATCGTGTGAACGAAAATGGCGTGGGTGCTGGTTGGTCGAAGGGCGCGTACGCGTGTAAATGCCGGCAGGGCTTCTACAGCGTCAGCCACCAGCGGGCAGGTTTCGACGGGATCCTCGTGGAAGGTCAGAACCGAATTATTCTCGTTATCACGTCGACGTCGACGTATTTCTTCCCGTTTCATTACCTTCCTGCTAAATTCCTCGGAGTGGAATCACTCACGAAACGAAACGAGTGAAAGGTGCACAACGGATTTCTCCGTTCAACTTCGAGCGAAAATATTCGCTCGACGATATTCAGAGCGGAGGACTCACTTTGCAGCAATGAAAAGTCACTCGAATTCGAGTGGCCCGCTGATCACTCTGTTTTCCGGAGTGGAATCCGGATTTCACTCCAAAAGAAATCAGAAAGAGAGTACAGAAGCGCCGATTGCTGGTTGCAGCCGCGTGGAAGGAGATGAAGGAGAACAGGAGCGACTCGTACGAGAGGGTGTTCCGGTGTTCGCGCTGTGCCCCAGGATGCGCGAGATGCAAAGGTCCCGAGCCCTGCTTAGCGACGTACAACTGGCCCTTCAGGTACCTCGCTCCTGAGTCCGACGCTGCTATACGACGTCTTCGTCCCGTCGCTTCGCGCCTTCCTCGGTATCTTCAATCAAACTGACCGCGCTTTATCTCTTCTAGAATCACGCTGTTAGCCGTCTCCATCTTTTGCGCGTTCGGCACGATCGTGTTGGTGGCGTACATGTACCAGCATCGCAAGCTGAAGGTGTTCAAGGTCGCTTCCCCGATCTTCCTGTCTATCACGCTTCTGGGCTGCGCCTTGATGTATCTCGAGGTGAGAGTGGGCGTCTCTCTCTCTCTCTCTCTCTCTCTCTCTCTCTCTCTCTCTCTCTCTCTCTCTCTCTCTCTCTCTCCTCTCTCTCTCTCTCTCTGTCGTTTTTCATCACTCATAAGGAGAGATCCTGTGGAGCGTTAATAAGAGAAGCGTGTTGCTTTCCATCTAATCCTCAGATGGCCGCGATATTTCCGGTTCTCGACATGTACTCGTGCATCGCCACCAAGTGGACGAGGCATATGGGCTTTTGCGTCTCGTACACGGCGCTGCTGATGAAGACCTGGCGGTAAGTGGTCGGCCGCCGATCACGTGTATTTTTAAGCAGATCGCAGTTGAAATTTATCAGCGAAGCGAGCCAACCAACGGGCCCTGCTGCAAGAGAGAATCATTCGTCGTTCCCGCAGGGTTTCGCTCACGTATCGGGTGAAAAGCGCGCACAAGGTTAAGCTGACGGACAAGCAGCTGCTACAGTGGATGGTGCCGATTCTGCTGGTAATGCTGATCTATCTCGGCACATGGACCTTGAGCGCGCCGCCTTACGCGGAGGTGATCGCTGATAATCACGATCTCAAGTTCTACCAGTGTTCTTACAACTGGTGGGATCACAGCTTGGCTATCGGTAAGCGCAATAAAATCCCGTCGCGAGGATGGAGATGTGCAAACTACTATTCAGATTCGAATCGAATCGAATCGAATTACATGAGATTCGATTCGAATCTGAATCCCTATGATTCGAATCCGAATAATTCGAAAACTTCGAGTCGCAGAGAATCCAAATACGAATCAAATACATCAGCGTTTGCGCGCATCAGCCGCAAAAACGGGCCATCTGGGCCCTTGACTTGTAATCAACTTAGCTTATAATTAATAACTTCGTTATAAATTACTTTAAACATTTAAATATATATTTCACTTCAAGATGATATTACAACATCAATATTCTCTTTCATATTAAAATCTTCCATCATTATTTGCATGTTTAACAGTCATGTTAAGTTTTTTAATGATTCTATTCGATTTCATGCGATTCGATTCGAATTCGAACGAAATTTCATAAATTCGATTCGAATCTGAATCTCTATGATTCGAATCCGAATAATTCGAAAATTTCGAGTCGCAGAGAATCCAAATACGAATCAAATACATTAGCGTTTGCGCGCATCGGCCGCAAAAACGGGCCATCCCTTGACTTGTAATCAACTTAGCTTATAATTAATAACTTCGTTATAAATTACTTTAAACATTTAAATATATATTTTACTTCAAGATGATATTACAACATCAATATTCTCTTTCATATTAAAATCTTCCATCATTATTTGCATGTTTAACAGTCATGTTAAGTTTTTTAATGATTCTATTCGATTTCATGCGATTCGATTCGAATTCTAATGAAATTTCATGGATTCGACTCGACATAAAATTCTTCTTGATTCGCACATCTCTACGCGAGGGCGAGAGGCGAGGTCTTCGTTGTCGATCCGTTGACAGCGATCCGACAAGCGAAGTGAGCAAAACGATTTGTTCTGTGTGTTGCACAGGTGAAATTCTCTTTCTCGCCTGGGGCATAAAGGTATGTTACAACGTGCGAAACGCGGAGAGTCTATTTAACGAAGCCCGTTTGATAAGTTACGCCATTTACAATATAGCCGCGGTGAACATAACCATGATAGCCATTCAGTACGTAACACAATGAAGTATATCATTAATATCACGTACTATACGCGCGATGGTGCGAGAAGGCGATATCATATCGTACGACGTTATTCGCAGTCTCCTCATATTTCCCCACGCCGGGCCGGATATCAAGTACCTGCTGGGCTTTCTGCGGACTCAATTCTCCACGTCCGTCACAATCCTCCTCGTGTTCGGTCCTAAGGTAAGAAAATCCTCGCGTCTCCGTTTCTCCCACTGTCGAGCTTACACACGAGTTCCGTAGAATGAGCGTCATTTTCTCAAGTGACGTTCGTCAAGTTGGCTGGAATCGACGAACTCGCAAGTTCCTCGCAAGGCTCCCGTAACCGCGGACGTTGCTGTCTCGTTTCTCCGAGGACGCAAAGGAAGTGAACTTGTTTCCTTTTCTTAATTGTTCAGGTGATCAGAGTGTTACGAGGCCAAGGAGATCAATGGGACAGTCGAGCGAGAGCGCGCGGCGTCACGGCGAGCTTTTCTCTCAACGGGATCGGTTTGGTACCGGAGGAGACGACGGACTTGTACCAAGAAAACGAAGAGCTTAAGGTAGTCGTGTTTTCCCCCCCACCCCTCTCTCTCTCTCTCTCTCTCTCTCTCTCTCTCTCTCTCTCTCTCTCTTCCGCCTATCCATCTGTGATACGACAGGTGGAAGAGAGTCACGCCGGTCACAACATTTTTCTTCGATAAGTTTTACATCCTGTCTCGAATAATTTCTTCTGCTTCGAGTAATTTTGTTTGAGTAGTACGTAGTATCTCGTGAAATGATGGAAAGCAATTTTAATCATCCGACTGTGTCGACGCGTGCAACTGTCTCTCAGGAGGAGATCCAGAAGTTGGCGGCGCGCATCGAGTTCATGAAGATCGTGCACATGGAGATGCACAACAGGCACATCAAGCCGAAGATGGGCGGTTACTTCAGCACTCACGGCCACGGCCACGGGCATCCGTCGACCGGCCAGAGCCCGATCGCCAAGAGTTCCACGGCCAGTTTTATCCTCAAAGTATGTATCTAAGTCGCTCTACCCTACGACGATACCCTCGTCCCGCTATCTTTGACCTTCTTGACCGTGCGCGCGAACCCTCTGAAGGAGCGTCTTGGGAAATAAATTGGAGTAACTTATTGAGCAGACGGCCGTGGAGCGAGGTGCGACGGCAGCCGCGGCCGCGGCCGTCGAGGACTCGACCTTTCCGTCCGGCAGTCTGCACCGAGCGCGCAGGATGGAGATGTTGAAGGAGCGAAAAGCGGAGCGTGAGAGGGAGCGGAACAAGGAGAAGGAGCAGAAGGAGAAGTCGCAGCAGGAGAAGCAGCAAGAGAGGCGGTCGAGCGGCGAGAAGGTCTGACTAGTGATCAATAGCGAGGAGGTAAATAATAACTCGTTAGTCCCGACGCTTTTAATTAAGGTCAAAGGCTGAAGCCTTTCTCTTTCTCTTCCCCTCCTCCTCCTCCTCTCTCTCTCTCTCTCTCTCTCTCTCTCTCTCTCTCTCTCTCTCTCTCTCTCTCTCTCGTACGTAAAATAATTGCGCTCTCTCTCTCTCTCTCTCCCTCTCTCTCTCTCTGTGTCGTCAGATATGGTTGTGACAAAGACAGTGCGCCGACAGAAGCCAAAAGACGGAAAGGACGACGGGGCAGACGATAACAGTGACAACGAGGAGGAGGAAGAGAAGGAGGAGGAGGCAGAAGGGAGAGCTGAAGAAATTCAGGCTGCATCCTATGATGGACAGGAGACTGCCCGTGTTCGTGTGATGACGACCGTCGTCAAATCAAAACCACCGCGTTCCACTGTCTTTGCGCCATTGTGATAGAGATTCGTAATTATTAGTCGTACGTCATCAGTCAAATTGAAATCAAACTCTTCGAGGAGAGATAACTCGCCGGAAAGGGAAAGGCTACGCCGACGACGACGACGACGGTGGCGTCGCGTTCCTATTTATTTCGTAACGACGACGGCATCGCTTCCGGGAACACAGCAAACAAATTCACTTCAGTGACATTGTTTCTCCGATGTAAAGAATGCACTCGAGCGCGCAACGGACGTCGTTGGCTAATTACGAAACGAATTGTTTCTCCAAGCCAGGTGCTTCGCTGAAAGATCAGACGCGGGAGAGACGCGAGAAAATGAAAAATAAATCGAGCTGTCACAAATGCACAAAGAATGCACAGACGAGAGTCCGCGAATCATCGTCGTCGTCGTCGTCGTCGTCGTCGTCGTCGTCCTCGTCGTCGCTTCGACGACGATTATTTTTGCTCACCCGGCGAAACGAGCGACGTCGCTTTTTCCGCCGCGAGCATTCGATAGAAATGTAAGAGACACGCGAGAATTTCAGTTGCCCTTATCGAAATTATTTTTACGTCTGTTCACGACGGCGCACGCGAACGCGCGTGCGCGCGCTTTTGCCAAACAGCACACTATCCCACGAGAGATACCACACACACACACTCACACACACACACACACATACACACACAAATACAAACACGCGTTCAATATTAAGGGAAAAACAGCGGACGGAGGGTTGCCCTTCTTAAATGTTGTTACACAAGCGTCGTGTCACGCTCTTGGATTTATAATAGCACCGACTTGCAGGCGATCTTATCACGCCGAAGTGAGAGACATCCTCATCTTCCGCAGGATACTTAAATACACATCAATTTCAATGTAAATGTTAATTTAAGCGATTAATAGGATACGAGTAAAGTAGACAGAGACAGAGAGAGAGAGAGAGAGAGAGAGAGAGAGAGAGACGCGAGTACTTTTTCCAATTTGAATCTCGGACATCCGCGACAGGCTTGACCACGACAAAAAATATACCAGAAAATAAATGTTGTTATCGAGCTTATAAGGAAATTGCATTTTCATGTGTACGTTGAGTTTCGTTGCGTCGAGTTTTTCAACGAGTCACCGTCGACGCGAGGACGTGTGTCTCGTCGTTCCCTCGCTCGTTTCGTTCGTCTTCTTCTTTCGCGTTCGTCGTCCTCGTATTCTTAGTTACAAGTGTACCGTGTGCTCGTGCTCGTTCGTAGAGTCGCATTTAAAAAATTGCGAACCGACCGAGCGACAAACTCTACTCGTGGCAGGTTGTAATAAGTGTTTACATGTGACAATAAAGTTACGCAACGGGCTGGTCGAAAGTGCCGCGGCATCACACGCGGGTCGGCACGCGCCCGCCCGTAAAGAGAAAAAAAAAAAAGACAAACAAAATATAAAGAGAGAATAATCAAAAACAGAAGCGTAGCGTTGTTTGAGAGGGAAAGGAAAGTGGAATGGAAGGGGGAGAACGAGGAAAATAGCGTGTGAAGCGATTTCAAGAGCGGGTTCAATGAGAAAACCTTCGCCTTGTTGGTTTACACTTTTTTAAGAGCTTACGTTTTTCTCACGGTAGACACTGTTATCGTAGTCGAGATCGTACAGAGTCGCGCGTTAACAACGACCGCGGCCGCGGCCGGGTATTGCTGTTCGTGTCTAAGATATTTATCGTACGTAATATTATTGTTGAGTACGCGCATAATGCGGCACCGGGAAGCTAGTGACAAGTATGCGCGCGTTACCAGTACAATGTAGATATTATCCGACGACGATGCAGGTTCGTCGAGTTGGATCGATCATTGCGAGATTTCACGTAAATGCACGGAGTATCGGTCCGCTCTTGATTCTCCCTCACGGCGACAGGCGCTTTAGTATCCTCTTTCTCAAGGAAGAAAAAGAGAAAGAAAAACGCGCAACCATCGTTCCACATTTTACCCTGATATTTTATCGCTGATTTTTCACTCGATGGGGACAATGAGTTCCGCGCGTTTCCCTCTCAAACCTCAATTCCCACCCCTTGACAAGAATCACGTATTTTCGGCACATCAGACGTGAAAAACAAGAGATTGGTTGTATAAACGTGACGATGAAAGGAAAGGAGGCTAAATCCGTTTTCATTGAAGGAAACAGAGATTGTAATGATTACACAAAGTAAATTCGCTTCTGAGTCAAAATTTCTGTTCCCTTCGAGCGAAATTACGTACTTTGCCTTGTTCAACGCGTTGCGTTAAAATCCAATCCAATCAATCCTCTTTTCCCCTTGTGAAAGAGAGATCGATTTTTCCCTTCTTCTCATCCGTTTCATCCGACCCGACATTGGGAACGAGCGAAAACTCGTCGACGAAACTCGCTTGACCGTCGATGTTGAGTCAGCGCGGTGAGGATAACGCGACGGAGAATCGGACGGAGGACCGTCGAAGGCCCGATGAGACGGAAACAAAGAGTCAATTTCAAGGATCGCCACGAATCGAAGTCGTCGCGCGGAGACCTGTGACGTGTCGCGACACGGACTGTGTGCGTGTGTGTGCGTGCGTGTGTGTGTGTGTGTGTGTGTGTGTGTGTGAATCGGTAAATCCCCCTTTCGGAGCGCGACTCGCGCAGATTAACGTTAGTGTATTCGTTATCGCTCGACAGCATCAGCGTAATAATAATCGATTGAAATTTCCATTCTGTTGGCCGATCACTAAGCGTTAAATAAACGCGACGAGGACGTGACGAGAGTGCGGAGTGCGGAGTGAACATCTCGTCGCGCGTCACGACACATTCGATGTTAAAAAGTCGTAAAAGGCGCTTTAGCTTTCGCCCACGCGCGTTCGGTAGCGCTCACGATGTAGCCCGTAAGAGACGAACACGCTTTCGGTGTTGCGTATATATTGTACGTGTGAAGACAAACCGCTTCGTTCTACGAGGAAGAGACAGGCGGAGTTGAGCAAAGAGAGAGCGAGATTTACCCCGCAAATTGTCCGCATGTTCGCGGAGTCGCGCTGAAGAAAGTCAGCAAACGTTGCGAGTTCGATCCAGGTAGATCCTACATCCGCGAACGGCGTTATTTTTTTTGACACGACTGGGCAAAGAAGGAGGGGGGGGGGAGAGGCGGGATGGATGATCGCTTTCCGTCGACGAGTACGAAGAATTTAATAACGCGCTCTCTACCCCCGTTCCTGGCCCCGCCGGACAAAATCGAGAACACAATGTGGAACCGAGTACGTATTTGTAAAGATATACTGTATGTCAGTGAATACAATAATCTTGGAGACGTTCATCGATGATTCCTTCCCTCCCTTCCCGCACCTACGTCGTTGGTAAGATCGAATGAGATGAAAGAGAGGGGATGAGAGAGGGGGACGACAGATACGACAGGGTCGTATATTGATATAACGGAGCCGCTATTCGAATTCACCGGGAATGCGAACTCACGGACGCGGATGCGCGTGAGAAGCGGGAGAGAGAGAGAGAGAGAGACAGAGAGTGAGCGCTCTTCTTTTCCTCATTTGAAAATTTATTTACACGCGCTACACACTATATAGACTGTAAGATATGAACCTTCCTCTCGTTACCTCGCCGCACGTTCAGTGACCGCCGGAGCGCGGTAATATCACTGTAAAAAATTGCACGTCGCCGTGGAGAAAAAAAAAAAGAAAGATAGAAAGATACGTTCGCGAGAGGCGCGCTTCCGCAAGACAGCTTCCGCCCGCCCGTGAGATCGAGCACACAACAGCTATACATGTCCAAACAAAACAGAAAACGCAAAATATATAAAACAACAACCGATGATCGATACAACAATAACCAATTTTATGAGGACACTGACACACACGATGTCGATGAGAGACGAGCGCGAATTCGCGAGCGTCCGTCCCGGAAAAGCAGTCGGCGCAGCGAGAATCGCGAAAATCGGCGTAAAAGCACGCCGACATGCGTCTCGCGTGTGGTCGAGAAACACACGTCGCGCGCGGGACACACATGGGGGGAGGGGGCGGGGAGGACCGACTAGGCCCCCCGTACAAGTTGACGCCGTCGCCGCACGGCGGAGTGTTACATACGCACAATAATAGGCTAACATTTTTTTCGGACATTTGTACTTGACGTGTGTTACAGTCTCGCGCGTATGACAAAATATTACTTGGCTACGTAGAGGCGTGACTCACGCTGTATCGGATGTACCGTCACCGTGGATGAAACGCCGCGTGGCGAAAACGGCGCTGCTCGTTTTCCTGTCGCGAACGAGCGAGACCTCGCGCGCGATAACGGCGCGGAAGTTTCCGCGTCTTATCATACGCTCGTTATCGCGCCGCGTTCCGCGTGCGAATCCGCGAGCCGCAAGTCGCGCCCGAGAGACATTATTGTGTCGGCGGAAATCACATCGCGCTATCGGACTACGGCAACGATACGCATCGAGAGAGACCGTCTACAGTGAAAGTCAGGCCGCATTCACGCGTATATATATCATTTGGTCGATCATTTGTAGCGTAGGTATCCCTTCACTAATCTTAACGCTCGACGCTAATGACGCCGATCGGTGACGACGCGTTCGTGTCGAGTCAATGTCGGCCACTGATCGATCGAGAGAGAGACCTTGCTTCATTCATTAAGCTGATGAATCAATAATCATAATTAATCGACCGTTACACACACACACATGCATAATTGTAGTTCAATCGATTGATAAAATTCGAATCACTGATCAGCGCATAATGAATTGAATCAAAGCGATCGATCGAAACGATCGTGTTACGTTCTTCTTAATTTTAGTGTTTTAGCGGACCGAAATTTTCCCAATCGATCAACGCCCGACCTTGCATCGAGTCGATGCGCGATCGACCTCCTCTCCACCACTTCTTTCACCACCACTCGTTACACTTCTTTGGAGGCTCGTGCGCTTTGGTATGGTAGTAACGTTAGTAGTCGATATCTCAGGTACTTACGTTAAACGATTCGCGATAAAAGCGACGCGAGTGCTCTTTCTCTCTCGACGCGAGCGCGTACAACGAGCAAAGCGGGGAAGGTATCTGCAGGACTCTCGTCCTTTTCTCGAGCATAAATTCCGGGAAGAATGTATTTCTTCGTATTCTTCGTTTTCCTTCCCTACCTGCTGTACACGCGATCGGCACGAGATTATAAAAAACCCTATCGAATCGAGACAGATATACAGACTCAGACATAGAATATTACGATCTTTCGAAGAAGCTCGACAGTTAATAGTTCCTTCCTTCCTTCCTCGCGGCGGAATTGATCTTCGTTACACGCAGTAGTGCATAGAAAAATATGTTATATTTAAATCCAAGTGGCGATAGAGAGAAAGAGAAAGGGACCGAGAGAAAAAGGGAGAACGAGAGGAGTCTATTAAACAATGTCCTGGCCGTTCTCGACCTGGCAACCGTAATTGTCCTTCTCCTTGTGTGACAAGTCGTCCTCGTCCCGACGTGCTTCTTTCCTCTTGCGCTCGCCATCCTCGGTGCTCGCGGAGTTTTCATGTTTGTTCGTGGAATTGGCGGAGTGCGACTTGTCCAACAGCGAGCTGAACTCGCCGAACTTGAGGATCTCCTCCATCGCCGACGACTGTATATTAACCTGAAAGACACACAACGGTAAACTCGTAAACCTGACTCTCTCTCTCTCTCTCTCTCTCCCTCTCTCTCTCTCTCTCTCTCTCTCTCTCTCTCTCTCTCTCTCTCTCTCTCTCTCTCTCTCTTTCTCCCGATTGACTTTCTCGTAAGAAAGTTCAACCGTGCGAGTTTGAACTATTCCCTGTCCGACCAACCGATTGTCGCTACCTTACGCGGTCTACCACGTTTGTTCTTCGTCGGCAATGCGGACGCCGTCTGAGCGCCCTTCCTCTTCGGCCACTGCAAGTGCGAGTCCAGATGTTGCTTCAGCTTGTCCTGTCTGGCGAACATTCGCGGGCAGATACTGCAGGCGAACGGTCGCTCGCCCGTATGCACCCTCCTGTGCCTCGCCAAGTGCGACGCCCTCGTGAACGCCAGTGTGCAAAGGTCGCAGGAGAAGGGTTTGTGTTGAGTCCGGTCGGAATTCATCATCCTCGACTCTTTGCCGTCTCTAACCGCTTTCTTCAATATCTCCAGCTTCCTCTTCACTGCCGGCTTCAACGGCTCCTCCGTGTTCTTCGACGTCTCCTACGAAATAACGAATCGACTGTTGAAAGAAAGCGTCTTCCAATTGCATGGTACGTTATGTTCGACAGTATTATTGTTAATTCTTATTATTATTATTATTATTATTATATAAAATTATTTTATATAATTTTACATCATTTCATACGATTATATGATTTGTATTGAATTATATCATTTACATGATTATGTATTTTAAACATAATTTAATGATACTTTTTATATATAATAATATCTCACCTGTTGTTGCGCATTCGATGTCGCGACGTCTGCGGTATCGTCGTAGCCAGGCTCGCATTTGACAATCTTCGGGGAATCCTCGCAGCTGGAGTCCCGCGAGGAGCACTTCGACCTCAACTCGAGCGGGTCAGTGTTCCGCGTCGCACGGCCTACAGACACCCTCTTCTGTCCTCTGAATCTGGTCTCTCGCTTGAACATCGGAAGTGATATATGCTTCTGAAAAGTGTTGTCGTAAAGTCAGGCCGCCGAGCCAAGGCGAAGGACGCGATCGCTTCTCGCCCGTGCCGGGACGGCAGACGGAAACACCCAACGGGATTGTGAAATGTTGAGCGTAATATAAAACGGAGTTTCGCAAAATGCCACTGTCACGGCACAAGTAAATGATACAAGCAGCCGTGAATTAACGGACAATATGCGCTTACGATTTGTGTCTCCGTGGTTTGCGGAAGCTCGTCGAAGCTGTCCTCGTGGCCGTCCATCACCATCGGATCGTCCTCCACCTCAATCTCCTCCACTTTGATGTGATCTTCTATCACGTCGACGTTGGAGTTCGGCAAGAACGGTATCACCGACGGCTCCTTGATGTACTCGGTGGTGTGTACCCTGGTCTCGATGTGACACCGTTGCATGCGCGCCTCGACCCTCGCGTACGGGCCACAATTGTTCTCCTGCTGGTTCTTATGTTCACCGGAGAGACCGCGGATCTCCAGGTCGGTCGCGGTCTTGATGAGCGACGGCAGATGCTCCTCCACCACGTCGATGGAGCCTCTGTACATAAAGTCCAGCAGGCACTCCATCTCTTCGATGGTGACTCCTGAACGGCAAATGCGAGACGCACGTATTAAAATTGGATATATTCTTCCCTCGAACTGAGACTCGTCGATCGAGGTCGTCGAGTTCTCGTAATTTTTCGTCGACTTTCACGAGATTTTTCAGCTTGCCCGCCAATCACTAAATCGCTCTCCGGCCAACAGGCGCCAAGTCGACTTCAGCTTCGAGGCGTCCGTACCTTTCAAAATAAGAATCGGCTGTTCCCCATAGTGCTCCTTGAAGACCCTCTCGAAGTAAGGGCTGCACGCTGCCAGGACCAGCCGGTGAGCCCTCAGCATGCCGCCCTGGCAGGCGAGAGTCACATCCGTCAAAGAGCCGCTCTTGTAGAGCGTCTCGAACAGACCCGACAGGTTCGCCAGATGATTGTTCCACATGAGATTGAACGTCTTCTCGCCCATGTTTCTGTCGAGTATCAGCGTGTTCCTGAAACGACCGAGTTTACGACCGTGGCGTTCATGCTGTCGCGCGGATGACGAAACGTGCAATCTCGCGCATCTCGCGTCGCATGTCGCGTTGTTCATCTCGCGTGTCCGAGTGCGCCGGGCGGCCGCGCGGCTTCGCGCGATTCGCAAGTCACAAGTAAGGAATGGAAACCAAAAGCACAGCGAAGAGAGAAGAAACGACAGAACGCGCTGCGAGCGCCGCTGAAGCGGCGAATGACAACGTCGTCGCGTCCGCGTGCGTGGAACGAAGTACACCGAGTATCGTTTCCCGCAATAATCCGCTAATAATCGTTGCGTCACACGAGTGAAATAATCACGTCGCGTGGCGACGCGCCACGCCGCGCCGCGTCATGTCGCTTTAATTGACACGTTCCGCGCAATTATTCCGCGCTCGTACGCGACACGCCGAGATGCCCGCCACTATTCGCGCGTCCGTCTTCCCCCACTGATCGGCAGCATATCGCGACTCCGTCGTTTTGCACGTTATTAAATCGCGACGGTGATTAGCGCGTCGCACGAGAGGAAAGGAGAGAGAGAGAGAGAGAGAGAGCACACGGGCTCACCTTGAAAGAATACCTCTTTTTTATTCGTCTCTTGCTTGTGTCACTGTCACGACAAGGGGATCCGCGGTGAGAGAGAGGATCTCAGCGTGCAATCTGCAATCTCGGACCCGGACGCACTTGACACCTGCGGCACGGAATCCCGCGGACGCGTTCGATCGACCGCGCGTCTCGGCAGTTTCTCAACGTCCTTCCGTTTGCCGCGCGCGACCTCACCCCCGGAAGGATGTTTTCTTTTCGTTCTCGGCTCTCGTTCGCGTCGCTCAGAAGAGGCCGAAGTGGGTCAGAAGACTCGACGCGCCAACAACGGCTGCGCTTCACCCCCTCATCTGCTCGTCGTCGCGGAAATCGTCCTCGAAATCGTTTCTTGTCTCTCTCCCCCTCTCTCTCTCTCTCTCTCTCTCTCTCTCTCTCTCTCTCTCTCTCTCTCTCTCTTGCTTCCTTAGAGCCTCATCAAGTATGCTTCGCGATCTTCTAAAACCCGGCTAGTCGATATGTGTGACTACTCGATTTCTCGGCGATTATAAACATACTCGCGCGTCCCGATAACCCCGGTCGACCGGGTCGAAAATAGTGCTACGGCACGAGGACTTGACGTTCATAGTCAAATGCTCGCGAGTCGTCGTGCTCGGGGTGTCGCGCGGCCGTTGGTTTGTTGATGAACTCGCGGAGAGCGTGTTGCGCGCACGAGAGAGGGATTCCGCAGGAAGTTACCTAGGAGAGCTTGCACGGCAGCTTGCGTACCTACGTGTGTGCGTATATGTGTATATGCGTGTTCAGCTAGGCTAAATGTCGTCGACAACGTCGACGACGACGACGACGGCGACGCAACGGCGACGGCGACGACGACGACGACGACGACGACGACGACGACGACGACGACGACGACGACGACGACGGCGGTGGCGGCGACGGTAGCGGCATGCGCAGACGTAAGCCCTCGAGTTGCCTCGATCCATAATTTTGTTGGTGGACCCCCCCACGCATTTCCAAGGGATCCCGCACGGACCAAACGCACCCTTTTTCCCTCCTTCCTTTCTTCCTCAATATCGTACAGCCGCAGGACGAATTCCGCCAAGCGTGTTTTAGCGAGTCAACGGGGAAATCGAATCGCGCCATTTCCAGGCGGAAGCCATCCATACGAGTCGACGTCGCGACGATATTATTTATTCGCGGAAAAAGCCACGACGAGTCTCGTACGTCGACGAGGGCAAGTCCCGGGACGCGATTTATCCGCGCTGCGAATAAATCAACGACGGGAAAATCGCCCGATGGTCGTTTCATTTCGCAGGCAGGCAGGCAGGCAGGCATTTCGCGCTCGACGATCACGATCGTGATACCCAAGTCGACGTCGCTGCCGGTCGTTCAGCGCCGCAGGCGTTTCGCGTCGACCGCGACGAAGCGAGAGACGCGCTCGGGTTATGCGGGTATTTCCGCCGACGTCGGGGATACTCGCGGCGGCAATTCTCCGACGAAAACTTGCCGAGAGGATGAGGAATCGCGGCGCGGCGCGCGTCGCGCGTGGGCGCGCTGGTAGCGCATCGCTCACGTGCGATTCGCGTATCAGGCCGATGCGCGGATAACACGACGACGACGACGACGACGAGGAGCGGAAAAGCGCCGAGCGAGATCGGGTTTGCACGTGACTACCGCGTCCAGGAATGCGTGAGCGCATCAGTCAGCCGCCGCGAGGAAACGACGCGACGTCGCGCGCGCTCCTCTTCGCGTGCTAACGCGGAGCGACGCGACGCGACGCGACGCGGCGCGGCGCGGCGCGGCGCGGCGCGGCGCCGCGTCGTGTCGCGTCGCCTCGCGCTCGGTACCCCGGCGCTTCGCCGAGGCTCTATTAATATCCGCGTCTCGACGTCGACGTCGCACCGCTCCGCGCCGTGGAAACGCGCGCTCCGGGGGGAACGATGTAGCTGAAGGAAGGCGCGGCCTCCGTTCTTACCTCTGCCACGTACTCGTGTGCCCGTGGAAATGTGCCTCGTCCCCCGACTCCTCTCGCCCTCGTTTCGACTCGCGACCGCGAGGTCGCGAGGAAGCCGACGACTACGGGGTAACGAACGTTTCGGCCACCCCGAAGACTGTTCTACTGCTCCATCCGTATGAACCTGTCCCGCTCTCTCTCTCTCTCAAGTCCCCTCGGATGTCTCACCTTTCCCTCTCTTCGTGCTTGGTAGAGACGGCCCGATGGATATTATAGATGGGCCAGTAGGCCTCACTAGTTGCAGGCGTAGAGAGAGGAAGTGTTGGCGCGACGACGAAGGCGGCGCGGTGGCGGTGGCGGCGGCCAGAGGCGGCGCGCGGTATACTCCCGCTTTGGAGGGGCGAATTCTCGTATCGAAAAAGATTACGCGAGGGGCACGACAACGATGACGATGACGACGGCGATGATGATGATGACGATGACGATGACGATGACGACGACGACGACGACGACGACGACGACGACGACGACGACGACGACGACGACGACGACGGCGGTGGCGGCGATGGCACGACGGCGGTACGACGACGGTACGACGTGCTGGGGCTCCCTCGACCGAGTCGCGACTGATATCATTTCCAGCTGTAGGGGGACTGTAGGGTCGGCAGCCAGAACCCCACCAGGGGGTCTTCGTGCAACCCCCACGCGGTGTCGTAGTGGTAGTCGTGTACACCGTCGACGTAGTCGTCGTCGTCGATGCGTCGTCGTGTGCTGGCCGGCCTCTCGAAACCCCCCGCGCACGCACACGCGCACGCACACTATCGCATTCTACACGATTGTGTACATGTGTGTGTGTGTTATACGGTTGTGTTGTGTGCGTCGCATGATGCGTGTAGGTGTATATGTGCGGCGTACCACGGGGAGAGATCATCTCGCTCCCTCTCTGTCTCTCCGACCTTCCCTCTTTTTCTCGCGTCCGCCGCGAGCCTCGATTTCAGCGTCGTTCATCTCTGTCCCGCCGAATCGTATAGTCTCCGTTCGCGTGCCGTACGTCTCTCTCTCTCTCCTCTCTCTCTCTCTCTCTCTCTCTCTCTCTCTCTCTCTCTCTCTCGCGCGCGCACCACACCACGAGCTCTCCCCCCTTGTGCGGCCCCCTTCGCGTCGCGGGTGCCTTACCAACGCCCGGCGTACCCAGCGACTTTATCCACCCTGAATCCTCGCCTATACGAGGGGTTGCCTCTCGCCAGGCGAGAACAACGCGCTTTTCTCCTACAGCTACGCGATCGAGTTATTTTTTTTATTTCCTTCCCTTCGCGCAACCCTCTTCCCGACACCGCGTCTTCCCGCGGGGGTACTCGAGAAGTGGTACTCGGGAGTAACTCCGCGTATAAATCGGCGCGGCGATACACGCGATATATCGATGACTGTTGACATTTCGATGATGCACGGCGATTATAATATAGCATCGAATTTGCGTGGGGCGATGCGGAATAACGAGATATCTGAGTCTGCCGACAATATGTCCGCACCTTGGAGGAAAAAAGGCCAAGCTCTATATGTAGTTTGTTTTTAATTGCAGTATTCTCAGAATTCTAAATACCGCGAAGAGTTTAAACGCTGAGATATTGTCCATAGACGAACTCGTGTAATCATCGTCAAATTATCTACTAATCAGCAAACCATTAAATTAATGGATGTAATTAAAGTGTCATCATTCCGGAATGTCTTTGAATCCCCCTCGTTCTCTCTCTCTCTCTCTCTCTCTCTCTCGTTCCCTCGCAAGAAACAAATATCTAGCTACGCGTAAATCTTAGCGAAAAATGCAAATCGTTAATGGCGCGCGTTATCTTGCGTACTCGGTCAAGCGGCGCTCCCATTTTCGATCGGCCGCCTAGCAGGCGACCGAAATACTCCCCGTATTACTAAATCCCGCTTTTGTCGTGAGCGATAAGATATCCGAAACGACTGGCTCGAGGGCGAAAAACGACGTGATTCGCTTTGCGGAAGCAAGTGGCGGCTGGAAGGCGCGGGCGCGTCGCTCGTTCGCACGCTCGCTCGTCCGACAACTCGAACTGCTTTAGCGGGAGACCTTGGGAACGCGAAACCGCCTCGGTGCGCGTAGTGTCGCAATACGACGAGCCACTGACGTAATCTCCTCGCATGTAAACGATTACGTCGCGGGCGTGCATTCACGCGGCCGCGCGAGCGGTGCATCTGTGCGATATGCATCGTCGAGCGAACGACGCATCCGTCAATGCCGTCGTCGCGGCGAGAGCAGGTCTCTCCTCTGCTTGCTCTGCAGCATCGCCGGTGTGAATATTATATTATGCGATCGCGGTGCGTTAAACGCCAGCGTCTCGCGCTCGCGATGCGATGCGATGCGCGTGCAGAAAGGCGGCGGCGGCGGTGACGACGACGCGCCGCATCCGCGATCGTTCCGGTTGGACTTTGTGCTTCAAAGCGCAAAAAGAATACGCGCACGTCGATCGCACGGGCCGATTCGGCGAATGAATTGATTTTTTTGTAGAGACGACTCCGTCTCGGTGACCCGGCGAGTCCGGCGACTGATTTCGGGGCAGCGGGCGAATATCGATTCGTTATTTTTAGGGGCAGTCCATCCGCCATCGGATGGACCCCACCTACCTTGTCCCCGTGTTCTCGGACGGTTCTCCTTGGCGTGGAGATATTGTTACCGCGTGCGATTTATTTCGACAGACGAGCTCTCGCGAGTTTTGCCGGCGACGAAGCCGACAACCGCGTCTTTTTCTCCAAAATCGAAAGCACTGTGCGATCGCGCCGAGTGGGGAATGAAAAGTTGGCTTGACCGCACCGTGACTTCACACTTCCGTCTTTCTTTCTTTCTTTCTTTCTTTCTTCGACGTTGTCGTCGAATGGCGCGCGTGCACACACACACACACACACACACACACACACACACACGGTAATGCAATCGTAGTAAAAATAATAATTTATTTTTCTCACATGTAATATATGTAAAAAGTGACAGAGGTCAAGATATGACGATATTTACAAAATGGCGTAAATTTTGTTGTAAATCTACAGAATTATCGCCGGAGTAAACAGTTGCTGTTTACATCCGCTTGGATGAAAGCGCTGTTACCTAGAGTCGATAATACTCGCCCGCTCGGTGGCTCGTACTTTGCATTCGAGAGCACATGCGTTTCGCATTAAATTACAATAAGAAATACGAATGCAAATTTCATCGCAGTCCTCACACTACATGTAGTGCCATCGCATCGAATGTCTTTCATTAAAGCTCCGCGTGATTAATCTCTTTATCAGGCAAGACTTTACAAGTCGCTAGCGATTATTATATAAATAGCGTAATTGTATGAATAGCGCTTTCCAGATATCATTAGTCTCATTTAGCACTTAGCTTGTGAAGAGGATTCGACGCGAAATCTAATCGGAACTTTATGAAAGTATATTACAATCAATCGTATTTTACAGCCTCTTACAGATATAGCACAGTACGTGTCCCCGCTTTTAAGTGTGCCGTATTCCAAGTTACTCGCAAAAGCCTCGTATATATTTCAAGAAGTTTCGATTACATTACACTGTTGCGTTGCGCGAGATACTCATGAAAGACTCGAACGAGAGAGAGAGGCACCACTTGGAGTGTATTTGATTCCATTTCTATTTTCAACGAAATGCGTATCACCTCTCATTACTTCAATCGTTATACGTACCAACGTGGACCTAAACGCGTATTTCTTTCCCAAATTGACACGCGCAAACTATCATCACGACCACGTGTATAATCCATTGAGGAACTTGAAACTTTCTAAAACCTCTATTCTATTTGGATCGGGATTGCAAAAATGCTTCAACAACTCCTTGTTGAATCCACAGTCGCTCAGGTTTTCTTGCCCGAAGATATTAGGCAGCATCTTCGCGGCATTGTGATCCTCTCTTTCGGTGACGGTCGCTTCGCCTACGGAAAACCAGACGTTTACATTCACGTTACATTCGATTTGTCGTCTCCAATTTTAAACCACCCGCATACCAGCGCCGTGTTTCGCCGCGGAGAACGAAGTGGTCGTCGTCAACTGCGCGCAGCTCGCTGAGTACTGCTCCAACTGACTGGATTCCATCAGATGGCAGAGCGAAGGCAACACGTGCGGCAAGAGAGGTCCTCTCAGCTCGAGGGAGTGATATCGGTCGTTCTCAACGCGCACAACGCTTTCTCGAACCTACAACGGTGAAAGAAGAATTCACGATTACCGTTGATGCTGATGCAGCGGTAGTAGCTGCTGCTGCTGTTATGAGAGAGGCAAAGATGCATCTCTCAAGCGACACATTACCTTGAGCGGTTTTAACGAAGCACCGTGAAAGGCCGTCGGCGCCAAGAGTGTAGGAGGAACGCCAGCTAATGCGCCAACTGTCGCGGTAGCCGACTTGCAGTTAATCAGAAAGTTAAATAACGCCTGCGCCTCTACACCTTTCACGAATACCAGAGACTGCCTCATGTTGTCCCCCTCGCTCTCCTTCTCCAGCGTCATCCTTGTCTGAAATACGCGATGTTAGAACAGATTGACGGATGGTAAACTTATTCGAGTTCGACAGCGTGACTGCATACCTGAGAATAATTGATCTTTCGGATCTCAGAGTTCTCCACACCTAAACTCTCGAGCCACGCGTCTTGAGCCTCGTCCTCGTCCTGCTCTTCGTAATCTTCGCCCTCCTCTCGGTGATTCGTCATTCCTTCAACCGATAAACCGATGTCCGCAGTGCTGCTATCACAATCAGTCGTTCCGGATCGTCTCTTGTAATCCTTTCTCAGAGGCATAGAGTATTCTATTTCTGAGAAGTATTGACATCGTTATTTGTGTACGAGCGCGCAGGTGTATCAAATCGGATCACACCGGACCACTTGCTCACCTTCTTGCTTCAGTGCCTGACGGAATCCGCGTGTCGTAGGCGTGAGGAGTGCGTGGATCTCCGATAATCCGCAGATGCCGGCGGCGCGAAAGAGCGCTGTAAATGTGTTCGCACACACGTAGAAATAGGGGCACTGTCTCGCACGCAACAAGTGGAACAGGGACCTGAAACTGTCGCACCACTCTCTGTGCAGCGCGTCCTTCATACACTGGTTGTTCGCTATTGATATGTTATTCGCAAGATTAGCGCTCACTTTGCCAGCGGAACGAGGGAATAGTTCCAACCATGGTAGCGACGGATGCTGCCATATCAAACAGCATTGGTGAAATCTATGAGGCAAATATTCATAAAGAGTCATTTGGCAAATTGGAGGAAAGCGACGATCAGATCAATCGTTAAATTCTCACCTCGCATTCGGACTTGTGTCCAATGTAGTCTCCTGTTCTCCAATATTCAGACACCTAACAAATCCTGTGGTACCTGATGCTTCCTCACTTGTTTTTAGCTTTCCATTCCATGGGAAAGGTTTCGGAGACATAAACCTCATTTTAGTCTTCAATGTCCAATCAATAGGAATGTACTTTTCACCTTTTGGCACATTCGTGTCGGCTGCATACGTAGTGGATTCTAATTTTGAGAGAACATTAGCAAATGACAGAGAACTGTCCATGGATAATTCCATTGTTTGCTTATTCTGTTGGACATTGAGATGGAACAATTCAAACAATGTGTTGTCATTGCTGATTTCCAAACCCGCTGACACTTCTTCCTTCTGTTTCTTGCATGTTTCATTAATCGCAAAAGGATTTTTGCGTTTTTGAGACAAGCGTTGTGGTACACTAAAGTTAAATTTATCCAAATTCTCAGAAGATGTCTGATTATTATCATTTGTGTTACTGCGGGTTTTGTTCATGCGTGCTTGAAGAGCACGTTTCTTCAGTTTCATACGATGCAGTTGCATCACCTGATCGGGATGCGTCCACTCTACTGTGCCTGTATTTTCAGGTTCTGCCATGATATACATAGAATCAATCTTGGTCATGCTGCTGTGCACAAAAGTATATGTTAAATAAAATAGTTAGATAAGACACACGCACACACAATTAATATTTGTATTTCATATTTTATACTAGAAAAGAAATAAAATGATGGTTTTTAATTATAAAGTTATTTAAAAGGAGCTTATTCAATAGTAGAATATAAAAAAAGAATTACAGTTTTAAAGTGCTTAAATTCTCCATCTCTATATATTACAAATTATATTATTATATAATTATAATAATATATTATATAAAAAATTATAATCTTTTATCATGTCATAATTACTATATCAAATTAATCAAACATATAGGTTAGGTTTACTTATAGATTTTTAACATAAGATCTCATTCCATTGAATTAACTCATTAATTCATTTGATATTACTACCAAAAAAGAAAAAATGTTTACCACTTTTCGTTATTCAACAACTGATCGTCAATATCGTTTAGTTATTAATGGCCAACATTGTCAAGTTATTTACTAAAAACCAACCAAAGTTATGGCTCCTGCACACAGGACGCGGAAACGCTTGCCGCGCGGCGGAAATTCGCACGATAGCCAATCAACGTGCCGCTATTCTGTAATAAACTTCCAGCTCTTGAGGAAAGCAGGACATTGATTGGCGATCGCTCCAACTTCCACCGCGCGGCAAGCGTTTCCGCGTCCTGTGTGCAGGAGCCATTAGTCGATGCTAGGGACCGACTGAAGCGACATGAAAATCTTGCGTTAATTAAGCTTAATCTTACATTATATTAAGATTGTACTTTATAACCGCATTTTCTGATTCTATAATATTGTAATTATATCTTCAATGTGTATAGATCAATAGATTATAATGCGATTTTCTTTTCTTGAGTTATTTAACGTTGAAATAAATATTACTTGTAGAAATCAGACAAGTATATGACAATTAATAAACTATGAAGAGTTTTCTATTTAAAATAAATTTAAGATATTTATTTTACATTTTCATATAAAAACTCAACTGAAAAACATGTTTGTAAATCAATCTCCATTTCGTATTCAATTCATTTTGGTAATGAACGAGTGTAATGTTATGATCTTTAACTAAATAATAACTAAGTACTTCAAGCTTCAAAATGCCTCTATTGAATCATTTCATTATTATTATTTTTGATTAAAGTTACAACTTGTTAAATCTTGTCCAAGTTTCTTGTTAAGGTCATTCTACAATGAGGTTGTAGTAGTATGCAGTAGAGAGTAAACTTGTCGTTGAGTTACATTATAGCTGGTATTCATAGTTGAATTTTTTATTTAAGAATATCTTAAGTTCATCTTCAGATGCTGTACGAATCATTTTATTGGCTACGGAGTATCTAAAGGAGAACTTATAATAATCGGTTATAATTGGTCAGTTCTTACGGCTTACAACTTACGACACGTATTGTAGAATGACCTTAAAGCGTCATCTACAATGGCAGTAAGCAGTAAGAAGTAAGCGTAAGCGGTAAGAAATAAACCAATCACAGTCGATTATGACAAAAATAATCAACTGTGGTTGGTCCATTTCTTACTGTTCATGCTTTCTTCTTACTGCTTACGGCCATTGTAGACGACGCTTTAGAAAAAGAAGATCAAAAGAGAGAGGAGGGAAGAGATAGGAAGAGAGAGAGAGAGAGAGAGAGAGAGTGAAAGAGAAAGAGAGAGAGAGAGTGAAAGAGAGAGAGAGAGAGAGAGAGAGAGTACATCAATATGGCTACGCCATGTACGAAAAATTGATGTAAGTGTCAATTAATATTACAATGTGAATACGGTGATAACACGATTAATTGTTCCCTGTAATGACTGCCAACTATTATTTCGCGATCGTCGGACATGCCGATAATCCATTATTCGAGATAGAATTCAATAATGCCGGGAAAGATGCGAAGGTTAGTTAATTCTATAAATTAAATTCTGCTTCTGCTTTAATATACATACGTGTTAATTACGTTAAATACGTGTCTTTATTTTTTCAGAAAGAGGACCATTCCCACTTAAATCAATTCATCGCTCATGCTGCACTTGATCTCGTGGATGAGCATACATGGAAGACAACGAACATGCATCTGAAAGTTGTAGATAAGTTCAATCAATGGTTTGTTAGCGCATTTGTGACAGCAACACACATTCGATTTGTTATGGTGCACGATAGCAAAAATGAAGATGGAATTAAGAATTTCTTTAATGAAATGTACGAGACTTACATAAAGGTAGTTGTTACTTCTGTGATACATTATATATTTTAACTTTTCTGGTTTATTTACTCATTGCAGTCTTCTTTGTTTCAGTATTCCATGAATCCATTTTACAAATTGAACACCCCTATTAAATCCTTAGGATTTGAGAAGAAGGCACAGTTGTATGGCAGAAAATATTTATCATCATAATGGCACCTGATTTAGCTCTTAGAATAAATCAACTGTTTTTCATCAAATTAAAAAGTAAACTTCATAAAAGTAAGAATGTCAATAATTTATCTTTCTCTAATGTGTATAAAATGTATAGTTAGGAAAGTATATTGTTAATATACATGTAATGTATTGTTATAAGATATATTGTCTTTTAAATTTAATTCTTTAATATGATTTTTATAATTATAATCTTATGCATGGTTTTAAATTGTTAAAATATGAAAACATATAATATACAAAAGTCAATTTGTAATCATTTAACTTTATTGTAACTCTATTACTATAACTAATTTAAAATATATATCATAGAGTTTGCAACTTTTTGTCAATTTTACATATTTAAATCAGAATTAATGGTTTTATTTGAACATAAAAGACCAATTGATTTAATGTTGAATCAAACTACTAGCCAATGAAAATATACTATTGACATGCGATATTACTATGATTAAACAAATAGAGGATGTAATCAATATTTTTTAATTATTTTTTATAACTGGTTATTTTTATTTTATTTTATTAAAAAATACATTATATATATATATCTGTTTCAATTTTTTTCAAAATAGTAACAGAAATATGATTTGGCATATTTTGTAATGTGTCAAATTTATATACATATGTTTCAGATAATTACTATTATATTCTTATATTCTTTGCATATTCTATTCCAGTTCTAGATCTTGTATCTGAAATTATAAAATGTATATTTATGGAAACTGATACTCATATAAAACGCAATGTAATGTTATATATAATATATATATATATATAAATCAATTTCATATATACCTCTTGCACTTTCTGCATTTCTTGAGTTAGTAAATTATCTAAAATCTCTTGGAATCTCTGTCTTAATTTAATATTCTCTATATTAGCTATCTCAATCTCTTGTTGTTGTCTTCTCTGTCGCAACTCTGCCAGTTCCGCATGAAGAGTTGCGAGACGCGTCTGCAGGGAATCTGAAATTTTTAAGGGACAGATAATTATATTTACATTCTCGGATGTAGGCATTTAATTAATATTACCTTTAGACACAGACACTGATGGTGATTCTGTATAATTATCAGAAATAATATATTCCGAATGAAATTGATCTAATTTTGATACTTTGGATGTACTAGCTTCTTCCTGTTGTTTTTCAGTTTCTGCATCACCATTATTATCATTTTGGAACATCTCTTTGCTAAACTCGGTTACTAATCCGTTACTCGTTGTCGCATTATTATTTGATCTTTCGGAATATGGTGCTTGCATAGAATTGGAATCTGAAATTCTGCTATCTGCTGAGAGATGGCTGTTCTCATCTTCCATTACATTTATGTTTGCCTCTTCATCATCGTCTTCACTGTCGCTTACAGGTTCACCAAATATATCATGTTCAGCTGAAATAATAAATAATTCATGATATATAAATTATAGTTCATGATATATAAATTACAAAAATAGAAAATCAATTTGTTTCTACAAATAACATTTAAATTATTACACACCAACATCCAGACTTTGAGACATATTTCCATTGACACTGTCCCGTTTGGTTTTAACTGTACCAGACGACGATACTTTGCTTGGTTTTGTCTGGTCCTCATCTTCACATATTACTTCCCATTTAACATTAACTGCTTCATTATCCACTCGTAACAAACGCTTAACTTCCTTTTCAATTTCTGGTGCTTCTACATATTTTTTCTTCAAAGTTTTCCTAAATCTTCTGCGCCTTACATTTTTAGTGGATGGTGTTATACCATGAGGCCAGAGGAACTTTTTGTCAACCTTATTTGGATCTTTCTTTTTTTGCTTAACAGGTGATTCTTCATCTGTTGCAGTATGATCATCTTCCTCTTTACATATCACCATCTATGAGGATTTACAGAAAAATAATACGATATAAATGTAGCAATTCATATATTTTCTATCCTCTTGCTATATATATTTTATCTTACTTGACATATATCAGCAGTCTTATAAAAGCTCTTGTTATCAATAGTTTTTAAAGATTCTACAATTGTTGGTAAATCCACTACCTAAGTAACAATATCATATTTTGTTAGATAGCTATAAAAATTGTATAAATATATAATCCATATGATATAATTATATTGACCTTAGCATGGAGTAACCAATGGTCTAACCTAACCTCACCGTAACGCAGGTCATTTTCTAACTTAATAGTTAGTCTATCTTTTAAAGAAAGACCGTTATTCAATGTTTCCTTAAGTACTCTAGCAGGTTCCTAAACGAAAAACACACAAGTGATTAATTATAATCATTAATATCTAATAATTGATTTGATATTTATAGGTTAGGTTAAATCTAAATTTAAAATTATATACCAAAATTAAGAACATAATTACCGGTGGCAGACGAAGAATATATTGACTTTCTAATTCGACTTGCGGCTCATTGCGATTTTTGTAATCAGTATTTGGATGACGATTCATCTTCTTTACACGATGAAGCAAAATATCTTAAACTGGACAAGGTATATACCAAACATCTACATTCAATCTTTTATCATAACCACAGACGAGATACTAATGAAGACTGTTAGTCTTACGAGATTTAGCGTACCAGAGAAATCTCTCTGTACATTAGCGCCCTCTTACGAATATCATGGCCATAATAAAAACTGTACCACCAGAGAGAAGAAGGAGAGAGGTCACGGGCCGCTTTTAGCCGAGCCTAGTGACCCTCGAATAGGAGTCCGGTCAATCGGTCACAATTTTAATTGGCTGAGAGCTGCTTTGAAGCAAAATGGCGGAACCAATCATATTCTCCCTTCAAGTACCATACGCGCGCGATAATTTAATTCGTGAACGAGTACATTATTTTTACAATGCGATGTTGCATTTTTATATTATGAAAAAGACTAATCGCAACAACAGTTAAGTTTTTTTCACAACACAAGTTAAGTTTCGAAATGTCCAAATAAAAGATAGATCCGCTGTAAATGACAATTCCAAGTTAATTTACAAAAGAAATGTTAATTATTAAAATATAACATAACTAAAAGAAAAAATAATGCATTAATAATAAGTTTTTAATATCACATATTTATTGTTGTTACATAGATATTTAATATATAACTATAAATTATATTAACTATAAATTATAAAATATATCAACATTTTATCTTAAAATCGAATGTCGTGCCATTGTTGTACTACTGTACACTGGTGTGATTAAACGACCTTTCTGGCATTCGATTTTTAATCTAAATCGAATAATCGCTTCATAATTATATGTGAAATTTTATGACAGTCCTTGAGTATGTCACATTACATCTTTCATTTTATTTAAAAAAAAACTTAGCAAATAGCAATTAACAGACTTTAAATAAGATATGTATCGTCGAATAACAATCTCAGCTTCAAGAGGAATTACAGGTGTTAAAATAAATAATAAATGAAAAATAATAAATATTAAATAATAATAATAATAATGACAATAAAAAATAATAATAAATAATAAATAATAAATATTACAGTTATTAAATACTTTCCGAAGTAAATCGGAGGATCTGAGAATCGCAGATTTCTCTGTTCTTAATCTATTTTTACTTTTTAATTGCCTTATTTGTTGCAGTAACTTTCGTTTGGTCTTGTTCGCTTTACGGACAACTGTTTCGGCGATTTCCAATTTCTCATTTGCTTCATTATATTTCTTTGTTAAAGTTTGTATTTGCAATAAAGCAGATTCCAATGTTACTATATTATTCTCTGATATGCTTGTTGATTGGGTGCCCTCCATGTTGTAGCTTTGTATTGTTGAAGCTTCAATTGGTGTATCCAATACAGTTGTAATATCTTCGAGATGATTACTCTATTAAAAAATAATCTTTCTACAAATTCTCTATATATGCAAGAAAAGTATACAAAGAAATAAAAAACAACGTACTATATGAGCAGATTCCTTGTTTTCTTCTATTGGTTGGATATTGAGAAACATGGTTGGTATTGCATTGGATTTTAATTTTCTTTTTCCATCAATTCGAGGTTTCTCCCACATATCCTCAGAAAAATGAACCTATATGAAGTACTATTTTATATTATTGCTATCAACATACATTCGAGTATCATATAACTGTTACATATATATAAGAATAATATAACATGTACTGATTACACGACATATAACATAAGCTGCACTTCTAAGATTAATTTTTTTAATATCTTCTAATTTACCAAGATCTAATATTACATTTATTAATAAATATATCGTGTATACTTACTTCACAAATGTGTGAGTTGGGCGTAGGTTCCCAATTTTTTCTATTAATTTTTGTTATCCATAATGCCTTTCGGCTTTCGGTCCGGGTTATGGGAATGGCTATGGGTCCGGGTTCATGGAAATCGTCTTAAGCCAGTGGCACACGGTGCTTGTTTTCGTGCTGGTTGCTTGCTGGATAAAAATATTGCGTTATGATTGGTACATTTCCGAAGATGGATGGAAATGCACCAATCAGAACGCAGTATTTTCATCTAGCAAGCAATCCAGCACGAAAACAAGCACCGTGTGCCGCTGGCTTTAGTGAAAAACCTTTCTTGCTGCTGTTTTTGCATCCCGGAACACAACACCAGTCATTTTCTATTAAGTGGACAGTTTACACAAATATTATACAATTAAAGAACAGATGTAACAGATATTATAGATGTATAATGTTTAAACTTACGTATTATAATAAATAAATATAAACTAAACACGATTAATAAAAACTAAATATAGGTTATGATCTCTTAGCTTTACGTCGTGACAGCAAACAAAGCATCTATAACTATCGACGCCATTTTGCTTCAAAACTAAAGATTGACCGGACTCCTATTCGAGGCTCACTAGACTCGGCTAAAAGTGGGCCGTGACCTCTCTCCTTCTTCTGTTTGGTATCACCGATAAAATAATCACCGGAAGTGCGTGAATATTTACATTTTTGGAAAAACATTAAATTAACATAAACATTTTATTCAAGGCAACTTCTCCCTGGTCGCTGATTGGTCAGGAAGAGCTTATGCTATGCATTTGTATCATTTTGGCCATGTCTGATATTCACCGCTGCATTCAGAACTGAAAATATATAGTTTGTGTCATGTAAACTATAAATTTTTAATACTGGCCGTGTTCCAAAATTCACTGGCAGCGCTGAAAATTTATAGTTTGCGTGACACAAACTATATATTTTCAGTACTGTCAATGAATTTTAGAACACGGCCACTGTCTAGTCATTTTCTGGCAAAAACGCTGTATTGAATGAAAACATTTTATTGGCTACGAATTATCTAAGAAGATGTTGTAGATAATCAGCTGGAAAATGCCTAGTGAATAACGGAACACAGCTTTTGTGTGGAATATAACCTCTTCGTACGCATTGTACGCTTTTTTGCTACATTTGTAGTATATTAAAATGTATCATAATAAATTAAATGTAATTTTTATTGACTGTTAAGAAAATACATACTTGTTGTCAAGTGTTGACAATATATAACTATCAACATGGACATGTATCAGCTGAGAAATGTATATTTTTGTTTTATATATTTATTGATATGTATATAATTGTTACAATTGTATATAATTATTGTAAATGTATAATATTAATATTATGTATAATATAATATATAGTTATTGATATATAATTATTTTTTAAACAAACTCAAATAATTCTGTTTTTTTATATATTTTGTATTGTTTTATTCATATTCAATACTGTATTAAAGTGACAATATAAGTTTTCAATAAATTTGTTTTTAATAGTTTAAAGATTTTCTCCTGCTCTACAATCAAATATCTGAGACTTGTTTCAAGAGATGCGCTAATACTTTTCTCACTCGAGAAATTACTGCTAATGAGGTAAGCTTCATTGAAGTAATGAATAGTTTATAGAGAATAGTAAATAAATAGTTTACAGTTTATCAAATATATGGATAGTTTATGGAGAATATATATTATTGAAGACAGATCTAATATTTATTTGAAATTATAGGATTTCTGCATAAGCAACTGTGCACAGAAATATATTCATGCTAACCATAAGATAATGGAAGTATTTATGGAAGTACAACCTGTGATGGTACGTAGAAGAATGGAGGAAATAAGCACAACTCAAGCAACATTGGAAGCACAAGCACAAGATCAGCAAGCACAAGATCAGCAAGCACAAAATCAACAGATGCAACAGAACTTGCAGTAACATTTATTATAAATTTATATGTTTGAGACATATTTACTAATTTCAAACATTCTTTAGAGAAATATATATTATAAATTGTACAATAATATTGAAGCATATAAAGCGTTAGTTTCAAGAAAGATTTTACATGTGTGTGTATATTATGTATGTTGGATGTATGAATGTGTACATATATATATGCTATGTATACCTTGATATCTATATATAATTTACATATAAATCATATTTAAAAGAATATCTTATTTTGAATTTCTAAATTTTAAAAATGATAATGTTGGTTTTCATTATATGTATTAAATAAATAACAGCTGCTTCTTGGTTAATCTTATCTTCCGGTTTTCATTTTTACATGAAAAGAATAACTTATATAAAAAATATGTGTATTTTAAAAAGGAAGTCATTTCTAAACAATACATTTTAAACAATATAATAGATATGATCTAATCTTATCATTAATACTTTTTAAATATATTTTATAAGATATTGAAAACAAAATATTTATATAAGTATTCATTTATTATTAAGAACTTGTGTACACATAATATACACACAATAACATTATAGTTAGGAACATAATATTTTTCATCTGCTATATATTATTTAAATAAGTGTTTATTGTACATACTCAATTTAATGAAAATGAATATCATTTTTCTCATATAAGACTGGTTAAAAGATCAAATCCTACTGTATAGAAACATGAAATTCTCAACTATGTTGCAAGAAATAATTAAGTTGTTCTTCGGAATGTAACTTAGCCATATAGTAAACTGTATGAATTAAAGAGAGAAGATATCCTCAAAGTCCTTACATTATATAGAAAGAACATATTTGTACATATATCAATGCAATATTATTACACAACGCAGTATTATTAAATTGAAGGCCAGAGTTATTAAAATATTCCATATTACTTTGTTATCATTCAGATAACGGTTACAAGCATAGAATGAGAAAAAATCTATTAATTTTTAATGACTGTTAATATCATGAACATTTACTTCGTATACATTCATCATACACACATGTGAAATGCTTTTACTAAATATCATATACACAGTCGGAAGAATCAACTTCACAATCTTACTGACACAACACCCTTGCAATATTATATCATTATGAATTAATTTATTTTATTAACGGTAGCTAGTTGCAAATAGTTATCACTATCATGGCAAGTAATAAGTGACAGCAATCATTATCAGAAATATGTGCCATCACATTCTACTATAAAATATTCTTGAAGATTTCTGAGATCTCTGAATAAATTACAAACTGTGATACATTGTGGCATAAACTATATTATGTTCTCACTGTAAGATATACAAGCGCAAGCAATCAAACTTATACATCTAGTCGAGTAATATATCATTGTCTTTTTATTCTTACATTTTTTTTTTTAAAGATATTTGTGTAAAACAGCAAGTAGTTCTTTTTTGCTGTTTTTTCTATATAAAATTAAGTTTGAAACGTGATATAAGATTACAAAAAAAAATATCATTGCCATGATTTTCGTTTTTATAACATTTGTCATAGTTTATCTATAGAAGAAACGGATTCAATTTTGTGTATATTATAGAAAGCTGTATTTAACAATAACAGTAATTAATATACGCTTTAAATTACAATATTCATCACAAAAATGTGAAAAACATTTATCGCGAAAATAACTTTCATAAATTAAAAAGTTTAAACATAAAAGCATAAATAATACATGTTAAATTATATGTGTATGTGTGTGTGTGTGTGTGTGTGTGTGTGTGTGTGTGTGTGTAGATATATATATATGTATATATATATATATATCACACAATTAATTTAAAAAGAAAAGTTATCATATGCGAAATTTCTGATTTCTCGTAATATAAACAAAATGTAGTACATATGAGAATCATCATATAACAGTATTCTGATATTACAGTTGTATATTTTCTTGACGAACATTTAGTACATAATTATTTTTAACATTCTACTGAGATTCGCGCAATTTGTATTTCCTTTACTTTTAGCAGAAATTAATTTGCAACATATAATTTAAGCAATCACATCGAATAAAAAAGAAGTCTATATAACTTAACAATTAAGGTTTAAAGCTTCAATGTTTATAAAATAATATGCGAGCTGTAAAGATTAATCTCTTAATAGGATATGAACATAGCCATTACTATCAAGCTGTATGCTCTTATTACATGTGTAAAGTGTGATATAAATAATTAATACCACATAAACAATTAATACCACTAAATTCTGTAAAATAGAAAGCTCCATTTATCGTGTTACGTCATGTTACGTATTTACATCGGAAATTTTCTCTAAGAGAAATATAAAAATTAAATATCTATTGCCTCCTCTCTTTTTCTTCCTCTCTGTCTCTCTTCTCCCGCTCTTCCCTTTCTTTCCAGCCTTTCTCTCTGTCTCTCTCTCTTTCCTTTTCTTCCTGCCTTTCTTTCTCTTTTTCAAGTATTTAAGTATTGAAAATTAATTTTCAAAAGGTTGACTAAGTTATTTAAAGATTCTGTTACCATCACGCAATTCTTTTAAAATAATTGTTAATTTTATATGATACACAATTTACGCGTCTCGAAGGTATATATTTATAATGATCAATACATAGATAGTTTGTAATTTGAGTTCAGTCTGTTTATACACCATGAAACTCACGATTTTTCACTCTAGCTCAACTAAAGTGTCAGACTAAAATGGCAGCTCTCAAGCACATACCGGTAAGTTTGTGTATTTTTTGATAACTGTTCTACATTTATTTACCACGCTTCGTAACGGAATCCACTTGGTGTGGACGAACGCACTTGTTATTCACATTCTTTGTAGTAGACGATAAAGTGTTTGGTCTAATTGAATTATTGCTCCAGCCATGATGGTAAAGTCGAATTCGGTGATTTCACTTTGATATTGAATTGTTTGAGAGTCGCTTCCAATGCAGTTTGGTTTCCAGAGAAGTAGGCGGATACAGCATTATGGAATAACAACAACTGCTTATGCATTACTTTAATCTAAAATGATATTATGCAATTAGGAGACTTATCAATTGGGTATATTCATAATTTGTAGAATTTGTTGAAAAATACCCTATTCTCATCTAAGAATTTCAATTTGATGGAAACGTCCGAACGCAGTTTTTCGAAATTTTGCTTGTGTCCTTCGTAATTAGCTTGTGCTTCTTCTAATCTCGCCGCGTTATTACCGTCTGATTTTGTGGCTTGCACAAGAGCTTCTAGATCTGTTCTATATGCATCATATTCTATCCTGCAAAATCATTATGTTGTAGTAAAATGAATACAAAATGACACATGTGGCAAAAACTGCAATAAGATTCACATACCTCGCAGTTTCATATTGTCTCACTGTAAGTAGAGTATCTTCGATCGTTTTATTACATAACGTATTCACAGAGGAAACAAAGAAATTTAAGGCCCCTAAAAGTGTCTCGCCATTTTTTGTCAAATTCCTCTGTGTTTCTGAATTATACAGAAATTCCTCTTGAAGCTCAGGTGATTTCTGCGCCAGTTCAGAAAATGCTTCTCCGAGGGCATGTTGTGTCTGCACAACGTGATGAAAGTGCGATGCCAATGCTCGTGATAATCTTAGAACATTGCAATATTTTCTCTGAGTGTCTCTGAGCAGTTCAATCTGTGTTTCCAGTTCTGAAATACAAAGATAATTTGTTGATTTAATATATTTTGCAGAAACTCCACTTAACAGTTTATCAGATGTATTTTCTCAATTGAAAATTTACCAAAATCTACAGTACGTGATGTTTTCCCTAATCTCTCATACATTAACTGTTTAGTACATTTATATGTGGAGATACTCCAATTCTTGATACTCTCAATTTTGCTCTGGGTAGTACGCATTGTTTGCGTATCACCATTTTGAACAGGTGTACTTGGAGATACTGCTACAGCTGCCAAACCACAGATATCTTTTACTATAATTTTTAAAGTTGCAGCAAGTTTCAAATTACTAATGAACCTGCTAACTAGAGTTGATACATACAATTCTGCGATGTAGGACTTCCTAAGTTCAAATTTATAGTGGCTGGTCTTGGATGGCTGTCAGAGCTACAATTATTCGGCACATGAGGTGGAGGAGTTCCAGTATGTACAGCATTGTCACTCTCGTTCAAGGAAGGTGCATCTTTTAACATCTCATGGATACTGCGTTCCATCCCACTTGATGTAACCGTAATTTGAGACATTTCTACAACAAAATATAGCCTTTACTCTTTGAAGATGAATTCTTATTTGATGAAATTATTTAATTTGCAGCCTAAGCAAGGGAGAAGTAAATGTGCTTATTTTCTGAACTCCTAGATATATTTCCATATTATATTTATATTCTGTTTATATTTTGTGCAACTATAAAACTTAGAATATCAAAAGCAACATATGAATAACAACAATAATAATACTATAGTTAAAGTCACTTCAAAATTGAATGTTATAATTTTTACAAAAATGTATATATAAACGATATATATCAGCACTTTTCGGCAGTACGCCATGCGCGCGTATGAGGTACTTACAATTAACAATTTGGCAGAATGCGACAGAGAGAAAAACGTTCACGACATTCGATCTCGTTGCTACGTGACGTGACGTACGAAGTATTATCGCGTGGAATATAATTACCGGGCCACAAGCTCGTCGTCACCATAAACGGTGTATTCTATCCCACACGCACACGTACAACGCTTTCTCTACTTGTCATATCTCGTGAGAATTTTCGGACAACACCAAGTAGCACGGAAGATACCGCGGAATGTCACCGGACACCTGTTTTCTCAAAGACAAAATCAGAGTTCACCTTTTCTGTCGAACCGCCACGATAAGGAACACTGTCGTCGACATAGAATAAAATGATACTTACTATACGAGATCAACGGCCCTGTGCGTCAATTATTTCTAACGTTATAACGAACGCTATGTAAATCGAAATACTCGATGGGGGAGATCTTTATCTACAGTGTTTCTCAAGTTGTTTCACAAGCAAGAATATGGAGCTAGATGGCGTGACGAGTACTAACGAGGACACAGAAGTTTGTATACCCTTTCAACTTCAAACTCATTGCTTCATTATAAATTTTATTAATCTTCAAAAGCATAATACATTAAACGCATAATTAAACAAATAATAATATACGCATGACGTATAGTTTTGTATTCAATGTGTTACAAACTATACAATTATTTTATATATGACAAAAGGAATGAGTCATTACGAAAGGAATTATTAGTAATACAGATGTATACTTATTAGTTATCTCTTGTTTCAGGCTCGTCATCATACGCTGCCATAACTTTTTCCATAATCTCCCACAGTTTGTCTCTTGTTAATTCTTTGCAGAAAACCTATTACAATAATTTATAAGTGAATTAACATTAACTACCAACTAGCATTACGCACAAATTAATGTGAAGATGCTGTACACTTACATTAAACCATGGTTGTTGATCACATTCGTCCATTAAAGGTACAACTACACCATAAATTTGTAATGATAAGTTAATGCAAGCTATTGCAACTAAATTCGGTAGATAATCAAGAATAGCTGGGGAATGATGAAAATCTTGCAACAATGCCATACTAGTTTTAGCAACTGGATACTTGGACCACTCTTCTTCACCAAACCATGCTTGTAAAGATCGTAAATAGTGCAGTATGTACTGTAACAAAACAGTATAATGTAATTACTAATGTATAATCTATATATGTAATTATTAATATATAAGGTGTCCCATAATTGTAACACACCAACTCCATAGGGATGTAGAGCTAAGCGAGAAAAACGAAAAAATCCTCTTCCATTTAGCGATATCTTGTATAGTTTTTTTATAATAACCGCGTAAAGTTTGGCGTTTGTCACGCCCATCACAGCCTATAGACGAGCTGTGTGCGTCGAAGGTGAGCGATAACGCGGCTCGCGCTGACTGTCGCAATGGCGTCTTGGCGCTTTGACGCCGCGCGACAGTCAGCGCGAGCCGCGTTACAACTCAGCCTCGACGCACACAGCTCGCCGCGGCACGTCTATAGGCCGCAATAGGCGTAACAAACGCTAAACTTTACGCGGTTACTATAAAAAAAAAACTATACAAGATATCGCTAAATGGAAGGACCTTTTTGTTCCTCTCGCTTAGCTCTACGCCTCTATGGAGTTGGTGTTACAATTATGGGACACCCTATATATGTACTAATATAGATATCTAAGTTTTACCTTATGCGGATGTACAGGAGTAACTTGAAACTTTAACATTCTCATAATCAGAAGCTCAGCTTGAACAATTGCATCTCTCATACTCCAATATTGATCTCCAAGATCCATTGGCTGAGATCCTCTATGAAGTGTATTATACGATACATTCATTACATCTCTTATCTTCAGTGTATCATCCTTGGCTTTACCAGCCAAGTAAAGACAAGTTGCACCTATCAACTAGAAGGAATAACAAAATTGATTATATTTCTGATTTGAAAAATAGCTAAAGTATATGATTTGTTCTTACATAATTATCATATCCTTGTGGAGTTGCTTCCTTTATAAATCTATGATACAGCGTCGCAGCAGTAGCTACTGTAAGTGGATGAGCTTCTAACTTTAAACCTAAAATCCAAAACAATTTCTAAGCGGTAGTTTATGTTAATTAAAACTTAGAGAATATATGAAATATTAGTCAGCTTACCACATTCAAAAATAAATCGTGAAATTGTGAAGCTGTCACTTGATTTTGTATAGTCAATTGTAATACTCTTTTGTAATGTGTTTCTCTTTTCACGTTGCATAGCAAGAACATCAATTACATCTTTCATTTTTGAGCTGCAAGATTTGTACAAATAATATTAACAAATTATTCAATAAATATCATGAACTTTTGTTATGAGGCTGATGATTTAGTTTCGCACAAAAATATATAAAGTTACATCTTATAAAAGTAAATCTAATATATAATCTTGTTTCATTATCATTTAGTGGAAATTTTACCTATTTTACTTATTTTACCTGAGAGTCTCAGTGCTGCTTGGTTCTGTAGGATTCATTTCAAATTTACTTATGAACCGAGAGAAAAATTCTAATCCTAAAGATTATAGTAAACTGAGCAGAACAAAATTTATGTAGTTTTCTCACACGATATTGACACAATCAACACAATATTGAACTAACTGCAATAAATATTATTGACTGACTTCCCAATGTCGAATAGCGAGTGCGTCCTCGAAGGAGTAGAAGAGGGGAGAGTGGGGTTATTTTCGTAATCAGTATTCATTCTTATATCGCGTGCATTCAGTACTACAACCGCTCATTGGCCGCGTTCAGCAGAAAAAGCTGCTTACTAAGCGCTTAGGGCCGGTTGTTCCAACTCCTTGATAAGTTAACTGATAGTTAAATCATATGTTTGTCTTCGTTTTTTTCTCAACTTAGACAAAAACAGAGATATGATTTAACTATCAGGGTGCGTTCCGTTTCATGCATGTGCGCGCATTTTTTACAGTATACGTGACATAAACTATACATAAATGTGCGCATATGCGTGAAACGGAACGCACCTTCAGTTAAAGCCAGCGGCACACGGTGCTTGTTTTCGTGCTGGATTGCTTGCTGGATGAAAATACTGTGCTCTGATTGGTGTATTTCCATCCATCTTCGGAAATGCACCAATCAGAACGCAGTATTTCCATCCAGCAAGCAATCCAGCACGAAAACAAGCATCGTGTGCCGCTGGCTTTAAAGCCCATATCAGACTACGGATTGGGATTGAGATTAGATTGAAATTTGACCAATTGAAAAAGAGAAAATAATCTCAAGTATAGTAAACTTACTCCTGATTGGTTAAATTTCAATCCAATACTCAATCCCAATCCGTAGTCTGATACGGGCTTAACAGCGCGTGCACCTACGCCACTTTTCTCCCTCTGCTTACACTTCACTCCTTTCCCGGTAGATTTGTCGCGTTACCACCTCCAGTGTTCATATTTAATGATCATGATGAAAAGACGAAGAATCGCGCCATGGTGAGGAGTGGGAAGGCTTTATATAAACGGAATTCTCGCTTATCGCGCATCGCGGTACATCGCGTCTGTTCGGCATTGTAGGTTATGTCGCGCTGAATTTGCGAAAACAGCATTATCGCGATAGCGCGTATCGCTTTGTATTTGGATCAAAGGGAAAAGCGGTCGCGTGTGAAGACCACTCGAGTTGTCTTGATGCACGAGTAATCGCACAATCTCCCGACGAAGTCGCCTCCATCGCATAGTCTCGCTCCCATTGTCGACTTAAATTTACGCACATTTGTCTAGATCGCGCGTCTTGTCCGTTCTCCGGATTATTACGCAGCGAACACACTCGCCTCTTATCGTAAGCAGTTGGAGGAGAAGCGTCAAGCAGCACGAGCTTTTTTGTTTACGGTGAATCGATTGCGTGAGATAAGCCGCAAATCGACAAGGGGTTTGAGAAAAGAGAGAGAAAAAAGAGAAACTGCAATACCGAGAGGAGAGAGATTAACACGATGTCGGCATCTCCAATCGCCAGACAGGCTACTCAAAGCCAGAGCATACCGTCCAAGAGGATCGTCATCCACGATCCCAATCAGTTGCCGGCTGATTATTCGTCCACTCCCGGAGGCACTCTCTACTCGACGACACCGGGAGGTCAGTTGCATTAGTTTATTGTATTCACCTCTCTCCCACTTTTCTCAGCCGCTACCTCTCACGCTCTCGCTCCTCGCTCCTCTTTTATCTTTTTCTTCTCTCTCAACTTTGCCGTCAACTATGTGGTCCGGGACAATGCCGCGACCGACGCTTGTTATTAATAAAATCACATCGCAGTGATATATAGGTGCGAAAACGTGAGCGCAATTAGAGCGCAAAAAGCAAAGACAGAGACGAGAAATTATACAGCGATCGGTTCTACGCTTTTATCATCCGCTCTCCCAACTTAGCGATGACTAAAGTAGCTTGCGCTATGTGAATTAATTAAAAATATATTCTTGTGATCGCAGAGAGAAAGAGAGAGAGAGAGAGAGACCTGGTGTCTTCCCACTTTTCATTCTCTTAATTGTGCCGGTTCCCCGGCCGTTTACGAGTTTCAGGCGCAAAGTTTTATCCAAGTTAACATATGCAGACGGATTCGTGCAGACGGATAAAATAAATATTTACAGATGTAGAAATTATTCATCATCTTCGAGAGCGTATAAAATTAGGACGGGTCGCAGACGCAGACAGCTGATAAATTCACAGCGAGAATAAAAAAGAAGGAAAAGAGAGAATAAACCGTCGCAGTCGCAGAGACGTTGACTCGTAGATATCGATATACTGTTTGGAGTCGGCATGGCCTCGATAAGCAAATGCACACACGTGCGAGTTTGCCGCCAAGGTCATTATTATTTACGCATCGCGCAATTGTCAATCGGGAGGGCGGCGATTATTGTCCGCTTCTTACGCAGACGGTCGACTTTGACGAACACGGGCATTGTGCGCGAGCGAGCGTGGCGATCATTATATAATTACGTATTTCGGAGTTCGATCGATCTTTTATCAGCGCGCTGGCGAAGCTCCGCGAAATAATTCGACATTTAATTCGCGGATGTGTTCCACATTTAGCTGAAGTAGCCGCGCAGTTATCAGTCCGCGATAACATTGCGCGCGACCTTGATATTAAACTTACAAGACTGAAACTACAATCGTCAAGCCAGACGCACGAGATATACGCGCGCGCACAGGCTATTGCGTTTTCAACACGACAGAAGCATAGTTTATCGCGGTAATGTGTTTACGTTTCTGCGAATGCGTCGCGGTCACTCGTATCGAAAGGAAGAGCGAGCGGAGTGAATGCGAGTCACAAGTATAATAACTTTGTTACGCGAAAAAAAAAAACAAAGAACGCATTCGTTCGTTCACGCTTTGTTTCAAGACCAGAAAAAACTGGAGAACATTTCTAAGGTAGATTAACTGGAGGAAGATAAGGTCGATAATCGTCAATTTCTCCGTGCAGTGATAACAATAATATAATGAGCAATGAACGAAGAAATTCGTCATAAGGAAACTCGCAGAAGTCTCGCAGTTTGAAACGAGAAAACAGAGCGATGACGAAAATGAAACCGACACGATAATACGAGAATCGTACGTTCTCCGGTGCGACCAAGTTTCACAATATACAATCACCTCGCTAGAAACATTCGTATGCATAATTTATTTCTTAAAAGCTTGTTATCATTCACGCACGACTCAGATTTGCGCAGGCAATTTTAAATTCAAATCACATCTTAGTTTCAGATTGTGACGGCAATGCGTCAATTTCAATATTATCGCGACTACATTCCATGCGTGACAATCGATTTTTCTGATAACACGCTTTCTTACAAACGGCATTCCGACGTTCTCTCTTACCATTTTTCTTTTCCCTCAATCGCGAAAGGCACGTGGCAGAACTGCGTCGCGGAGAGACGCAACGAACGAACGTAACATGCTCGTAACGCGGTACGAGCGAGCGCAACGTTTTTGGCGCAATGTTCGGCGATTTAGCCAAGGCCGAATCAGTATGTACGCGGTATGTGCTCGACAACATCACCCGATGTGATCGGTGACGCGTAATGTTTATCGCCGCGCCGTACCGCGTTAAAAGTCACGGCTCTGAAAACAAGTGTGTGCACAAGCGAAAACGGCTCCCGCCGAGACCTTCGAGATAACTTTAGCTTTAACCGCGCGACACGCACGATCTTTCATGCGTAGTACACTTCATTTTCGCGTCCAATCGTATTACAACGTTGTGCGTAAACAATGACACATGACAAATTGTTGTGCTATTTCGAAGGAAAGAGAGGGGGAGAGAGTGAGAGGAAAGTCAGATAGAGAATTCGCGTCTCGTTGCGTCCACTGAATTTCGCTAAGCCACCGATGCGGTTTCGTTCGATCGGAAATAGCTTTTTTACACACCTCGCATCGCATATGTTAAAAAAAAAAACAATATTCGCACGGAACGCGCAAATATTTTTTTTTCCATTATGTGCACAGCGCGTGGCGTAGAACGACAGTAAGACAATCGCTAACGTGGCGAGATTCCTCGTGCAAAAAGAAACTTAAATTGTACGACTGTTCTTTTTGTCGAACGAAGCTTCGCTGCCGGGAAGATCGTTTTGAAGCATCATAATTTTGATATCCATGCAGTTACGCACCCAACATTACACTGCATCCTGTGCGTATTCGTATCTATTATATGGACACTTTGCCAGAAACCGCCTGATGCATACGATCACTCGAGAAAATTCCAAGCTGAAGCGCAAAGTCGCAACTACACGTACAAAGAAATTCCAGTGTCGCGTTCCTCGTTGATATAGTGGGAGGTTGACTCGCACACGCGTGTCTTCGCATTTTCTACGACTAGTTTGTTTTGGCGACTTCGTCGACCCTTGCACCCCTTTCAGTTAGGTGTTAGCACAGAAATACACTTGTATAAATAGATACTTTGCACCGCTTTTCGTATAGCCACTGCGGCCATTGTATCCTTTCTAACGGCGTCTCATCGTCGTATCGCTCTTCTTCGTCTCTTAATTATGAATTTCTCTTCAAAATCTATCCCGTTCTTTCACTGTCCTGTCTCTCCCCATCTCTCCAACAATTTCGACGGTCTTTGTTGACAACGGAAAATCACTTCCCTAAAGCATCAAGATTGATTAAAGTGTTGTTATGATACGGCGAACGTGTCAAAGTAGCGATAATAATGCGAATTTCGTAGATTTTCTCATCTGGTAGCAATTAGCATTTCAGTTCTATCAGATAACAATAAGCGTGTGCATCGTATCGCGACTTCGAATCTGATTGATACTGCACGTTATATACGAATAGAAATACAAATTGTGTTTACAAAACAAACCGAATAAGATTATCTGTTATCAAAATTTCACCGAACTACAGCTGCACGGATCACTTCTGTATGATAATTTAATGCATCCATACCCAACTTCGAAGAATTTCGTTAGAATCCAATCTTAGAATAAGGCTGATGATGATGATGACCGGGATTAACAATGAGATTCTATGCAGGTACTCGCATCGTGTACGAACGCGCATTTCTCATGAACCTCCGAAACTCGCCGATATCACGAACGCCGCCACGAAGCACTCTAGCCATACCGTCGGAATTGCTGAAAGGCACGCCAGCCATTACAACGAATGCCGCCAAAAATGCTGATAAAGGTCAGATCACATTACTATTCAATCGCATGTCTACAAGAGAAATCTCAATCACATGTACATATGCTGATAGTAAAATATTAATCTCACATGTGCATTTTTCTCATGTTTAATGCAATGTTACAGATGCTCTGATCGAGGAATCTGCGGAGCAATTTGAAATGGATATGTGATATAAATACAACCGCTACTGCCACTTGTGATCGCGACGTGTGTTCCTAGCTATACTCAAAAGTCGATCTTGCACAGCATCGTTCGGAAGAGTATGGCTAACATGCCTGCCCAGGATTCAATTCTGTGCCTTTCACTGGTGTCTTTATTAAGAATTATGACCTTTTAAGCGGTAATACCTTTTCATCTTGTATGAAACAACATGTCTAATCCCATATGTATTATGTACAATCCATTTAATACTCGACGTTAGTACCCGGTCGTGCACGTAAAGAAACTTACGTGACGAAAAACGGCTGTGGACTTCAACGATCGTGATGTGTCTTCCCTTGAAATTTGCTGAAGCAATATTTTGTAATCTGTTTCTTAAGGGACTTGTATATGACTGTGCGAATAAATGATACATTTTATACAAATATCTTGCTACTCTTCCTTTCAATATCAATACAAATATCCTTATAAAACATAGGAGGTATAAAAATATTAAATGTAGCATATGAAAGTATATGAATACATACATATTGCATACACAAATAGAATATAAATTATAATATAATGACTCTTACACAATATATTAACACTTATATGTTAAACATTATTTTTTAAATATATGCAAAAAAATTAATTTTTGTATATAAATATAAATTCTTTGTATCACAGGACACATTCTTCTTACATACTTTCATTGACTTATTTTGTTACTTATGTGGAATATTTTATTTTAGATACTCTTTCTAAAATTAACTTTGCAATATTAATTTTAGTTCCTGGATCTGAATTATAATCATCATAATAAATTATTTCACATAAATTTTTTGTATCAAATTCATTCTGTAAGACACTGTGCAATTTTGTATGGAAACTAGAGATAATCTCTTGTCTAAATTGCCTACATACAGCAGTTTCTGAATGATTATGTTTTTGTATCTCATAGAATGTTAACAAAGGTGTAGCACCTTCTACTACTACATATACTGGATCAACACCTGATTTTTGTCCACCAGGATATATTTTGTATACATTGTTGCGATATGTTCTGCCTACGATACCAGCCCGGTTACGTATCTCTTCTTCAAGTTCTTGTGCACTCTCCATCCACTGATCAGATACCTCTTTTAAATCAGGAGGAATATATCCTGATGATGGTATTAAAATAAACAGCTTATGCACTGGGAAAGTAATGCCATGCTTATCTTCGAAATTTTCAATTTTTTCCACTATACCCTTGCTGGAAGTACCAGTGGATGGTAGTACCAGTCGCAAATAACCGTAATAATAGCTGTATGCCATACCAGTGCCATAATCCAAACCATTCAGATCACTGAAACTGAAAGTCGATAGTCGACTTGTTTCCCATTTAGAAGTTGTCCATCTTAATAACAAGAAAGAAAATGTCATACATAATGTGCACATATGAGGTCCATAATCCCACACATAATATAATGGGTATTTTCGTGAAGTGATGATCTGTCCCAGAACCAACAATGTAGCACAGATAATGACCACCATTGATGCAGTATTTGGGATGAGGTAATGGTTCAGTATCGACGTAAGATTTTCGCCAGACGATTGATTCACGTAAATAAATGAGATTAGTATTTGGCACAAACACAGTATTATATCACAAATAACAAAAATGATAATGAATACAGATGTCACGAGAAATATCACGATCAACGGCATGTCCACTTTGTTCTTGGTTGCTTCGTGTACGGAAAGAGCAAAAATAACGATTAAAGTGGCACCGTATGCAAGATGAATCTTCATTTTACCATCAGGTGATGAGTACCTTTCGCTGTTCGTCTCTGCGAAATTCATCGTTACCAAGTTTATCTTCTTCGAGATTATATCTGCCGCTCTTTCCGATTCTTCGGCAGGTGGATTGTCGTCTATTAATTACAAAAGAATACCGGTTCAAATTTTATAGCTGTTGAACGACAATGTTTCTTATAATTCGTTATTCACTTTTAATATTGGTAGCATCGTTCTTTTTGCTTACCAAAGCAGATAATAATTGTATATTGAATAAAGAAATAATCAAGATAGATCAAAGTAGACTTCGAGGAATTGATTAGATAAAGTTCACTCAACACGATATCTGACACGTATGTTGAAAAGTATTGTTGTTCTCTTCGCCCTGCTTTTAGCGGGAGGAAAATCGAAGGTTAGTTAATTTCAATTGCATTTCTTTCCAGCTCTCATCTTTATTAATTTGTTCTCTCTGTGATACTTTAATTTGCAAGCTTATGCTTATTTTAGGTGCAAATTATATACATAATTAATTCACCAGCTACTAAATTACTAGAAATTTTTCAAATTGATTCAAATAAGAGCCACTTTTACCAAACTGCAGCTGACAGATGTGCATTAATTCGATACAAAATGATTGGTTGGATCTAGTAATTCACCAGATAAAGCTTTACAATGATTGGTTGTGCCTAAACGTGCTATGTCGAACTAGAAATCCCCCCGTTAACCAACCTTGCAAGATTCCAATTAAAGTTGCTGCTTTGTTCCTCATTCTTTATTTCTTCTCACATGTCCATTTCTACCAACCGTGGTTAATTTAACCGACTGGTTATTCCATCGGAATGGACCAATCGCATTTAATAATTCTAGTTAACGACAAATGTGACTGGTCAATACCGTTGGAGTAACCAACCGGTTAAGTTAACCACAGTTGGTAGAAATGGGTAACAGCAGTTTTAGGTCCAGTTTCACAAAATCAAGTTTAAACCGTGATTACTTGAACTGACGTTACATTTAACGGCATGATTAAACTTATATCGCGTTCCACATGTGTTTTTAACTGTAGTTTACTTAAACCTATAGACCCATATTCAGAATATGCTTATAACCATGTTAATGAGCTGTTAAATAATCAGAAAGCATAATGTGTGGCTTTTCATTGGTTAACAGCGCGCTGACATAGTTACAAGCGTGTTCTGAATATGGGCCATAGTCTATATGAAGAAACTGTTAAAGACTTCTCTTTCTTTTCAAACGTAGAGTATGATTGGTTGTTGCTCGCAAACATTTTGTGAGTGGCGTTGGAGCATCTATTGTATGCACAGAGCCATCTATTGAAGTTGAAGAAGATTGGTTGTTGCTAAAAGTGAAAAGAGGGAAAATTGAAATAAGCTGGATGCTATGACATCTAGTAGAACAATATATCTGTTTCATATCAAGTAAATACTAACCAACATTAACATTTGCTGTATTTGTATATAAATATTAATTTATTAAAAGGTGGAAGTCCAGTGTTAATAATAATCAATTAGTTTATATTATCGATTTGATTGAATTTATCATATAATAATTGACTTTTATATATAGTTGCTACTCTGTTTTAGAATATAATCTGTCGAAGCAAAAAACCCAATATTTTAAATTAAATTTATATACTTACTGTTCTGTTTTATGAGAAATTTCATGCTCAATTTCTGCTAGAACTGCAATAACAGATTCTTTTGATAATCTAAATCGTGCATGAAAATCGACATTATCAAATTCTTCCAAATATGATGGTCGTCTTATTCTTATATTTCTTGTCCGTCGATAAATAAAGTTTTCAAAATCTTCATCTTTAGATGAAGATAATATGTATTCTAAAGCCATATCTTTTTGGCGTTCAAACGTTCAAAATATTTGTCAACTGAACTCCAAAACCGGGATAGTCGTAAATTTGTTTCTCAAATTGATGGTGCTGCAGTGTTAAGCTTCGTTTAAATTCATTGAACGCCCAAAGTTTTGGGTTTAACTTTAACTGTGAGGAATCAACGTTAACCATGGTTATGGCAGTTGTGGAACGCAATTTTTCGTCTAATTTTCGTCGCAATTTTCGTTCGGGCCTTAATCGGAATCTTGTAAGGTTACTAAAGTGGTTAGTCAACTGCAGCTTGGAAAATTTAAATAAATTTTCTAGCTAAGTTTCGGAACGCATTCGATGTTCATCCAGCTGCGTTCCAACGTTCATTGCCAGTACAGAAAATATATAGTTTGTGTCACGTATACTATAGATTTTTAGTCCTGGCAGTAAATAGGCCTGTTCGTTTTGTCTGCACTGCTGAACTGGTGCAACAAGTTAGAGTGAGAAAACCTACGTTTGTCTCATTTTAACTTATTACACCAGTTCAGCAGTGCAGACAAAACGAACAGGCCTAATATCAGAACGCAGCCCCAGAATTTGTTCTCTAATGTGATCCTAGTAGAGAATGTATCTTCGTTTTACATAGATCGAACTGCAGAGGCAGGTGTATTTTTCGACAATGAGACAACAGAAACATACAAACGTACAAAGTGAATAAAACGAGCTCGTCAAGTTTTCTCTTGCATTTCCTGACATGCAACGACTCTCTTCTTGATAAGTTGTTTCGTAACCGCAACGTATGATGTCGCAATGTCCGCGACTGTACAACAGCTCTCGAGTATCTGTCTCAAGTCACGGGATAACCGACGGAATTTCTTGGCTTAACAATTAATAAACACAACAATGATAATCTTAATCAATAAAATGATAAGAACTCGGTTGTCTGTCGCTCATTAGCACGCGTTGTTGCGTTGTCTCTCAGCAAAAGAATCTGAATCCGCCGTTTGGTAATGTGCGTTACAGAACAAGTTAACAAAAAGAGGAAAGCAGACAAAATGACGCGTATTGCTAGGTCAGAGAGCGAGCACTGCTAACTTGTACGATTTGAAACCGAACCGACCGCAGTACAGTCGAGAGACATCTACGATCGATAAAGGCACGTCTCGCTGTAGGGTCCCAAAATCGTCGCGCGCGGTAGCGAGGTAACGACGACTCGCAGCGGACTGACAAGAGAACACGGAGGCACGCATTTCGTGAATGCGATAAGGGGAAAAGACACGCATCATTTGACACGATAGATATTCCGACGGGCGATCAGCTAAACGCGATCGAAACACGAACAACGCAACGTGCGCGCGACAAACGCCGCCGATTTTCACGACGCAGGCGGTTCGCGGCAGGCACGCGCGATTAATCGGCAGATGATTCCTTGTCGCTGATTAAGCGCCATGTCCCACGATGGACCAATCAGCTGCTTGGTAAACCGTCGTGAGACCTCGAATCTGTCCACAGACGAATGACAACAAAAGAGACTGATAGAAGTCGCGCGCGCGAGAGAGAGCTCGAGTTTTTTCCACGCGCGAGTCCCTGGCGCGAGAGGAGAATTCTATCCTGTGGCGGCTTTTTTCCGTTCCCCGTAGCGCGCCGCGAATAACGTCGCTTAGCCGGTGGTGAAAGTGGTCGAGAGGAATATGAAGAGGAGAAATGTCGAGTGCGGTAAGCTTCGGAGGCCCTTGAAACGCAACAAGCTCACCGAGGGAATCTACGGAAGGTAAATTCTTCTTTCTCGCCGCCATATGCGTGTCTACTGTCCGGGAATGGCCGTTCTCCTCTTAAAAATAACCAAAAACCCGAGTGCGTGCCGAGGAAAGATGCAAACCGACAACGACGTATGGACGAACGGCGCGTGCCAGCGCGAGTTCACCGAACATCACAATGACGCTGTCGCGAATCGCGCATCGCCCGGTCTCGCGCGATCGTCGTGAGATGCTTGTTCCTTGCCGCTTGCTTGACACTTGCCTTCGAGTCCGAAACATCTCATTCATGCATGCCTGTTTGCACGCATTTCTGTCAATTTCCTGCCTATGTCTCTTCTCTGCATTCTAACGTGTCTGCATCTTCGTACATACGTGCGAAGATACGTAACATTCGTGTTTCGTCTCACGCCTTCGTATGCTGGTACATGGTGCACTAACAGACTGTTAATATCTCACAATATCATGAGACTGATTGGGCAGTTGATTGACTTTTGAGTTTATCACAATTTCATTCGAGGCGCTCGAGATCTCTTAGCGTTATGTAAGCTTTTCGCTTTCTCTTTTTTTTTTATTGTCTTGTACTTTATTGTATCAAGCTATGTGTTTCTTGCCATCCATGTCCATCTTTTTATTTCTATATATTGAACAGAAGCAGTATACTTGCACGGGGATAATTCATGATATAAACATTTAAGTTTAGTAAGTTCAGATTTGTAGCTTGCAGAAGATAAGTCGTTACTATGTATATTAAGATATATATTTGTTTCAGTACTTTGCTTTATCTGAAGTTTCTTCTACTATGGGCCATGGTGATCTTGGCAGACTTCATTTTAGAGTTCCGTTTTGAATTTTTGTGGCCATTCTGGATGCTCCTCCGAAGCGTTTACGATTCCTTTAAATATCAAGGCTTGGTGAGTATCACTGTTATATATAATTGTAAATTAAAAAATATATTATATCATATGCTTAAAAATATATGTGTAATAATTCTAATATATTATTTCTTTTTCCAGGCCTTCTCTGTGTTCTTTATTTGTATTGCACTTACATCAGACATGATTTGTTTTTTCTTCATCCCCGTGCATTGGCTATTCTTTGCTGCTAGCACTTATGTTTGGGTGCAGTACGTTTGGCACACAGGTATGTAGAAAAGACGAATGTACTGAGTATAGATATAAATGCTAGATACATAAGAATACACATACATATATTTGCCAAATTGTAATTTTTTGCTATATCAACATAATCCATATTGTGTACTAATAATATATGTACTAATAAGTAACTTTTAATGAACTTTTAATAAAACTAATTAAATCTTGATACTAAACAGATAAAGGAGTGTGTCTACCAACTGTGATGCTGTGGCTACTATTTCTATACATAGAAGCAGCAGTACGGTTGCGTGACTTACGTCATATGCCATTTCATCTAGACCTCTGCCGGCCATTTGCAGCACATTGGTATTTTCTTTTTTTTGTTTCAATAATATATATAGTTATGATATTCTTTTTTGTGTTTATTTCTATGTAATTTATTGACCATTTGTTTAAATCAAATTTTTCAGCATTGGCTATCCTGTAGTTACATTGGGCTTTGGTTTTAAGAGCTATGTAGGCTACAGAATGAGGCAGGTTAGTCTTTTTTATCAATATGCAAATTTATTATAAATAAAAGCCATTTTGTTATATGCTATTATATAATGTTATTACAACATTTATGTACCTTTATCTGTTCTTATTATATAACAGAGAAAACAGAAAGATGTGGCAAAGGAAAATGAATTCTACTTGCAATTACTGCAACAAGCACTGCCTCTAGAGCAACAAGCTATGTCAATGCAGCAAATACAACCGCAAGTACAGTCACAAGCACACGCCGTTACATCAATAGAACATGTTAAAACTCAAACACACAAATTGAGTCCACAGTATAATCCAAGCCCTGAAAAAAGCAGAGGTAGCTTGTATTTATTATCAAACTACTTGAAAAGAATACACTTATGTTCACGTGTAAAACAAACATTTTAATCGCATTTGTTTTTATTTCCTTTTTCTTAGGGGGCAATAATTCAGTAGAAACAAACCTACAAAATGGCGGAGTACACAATAGTAGTCAAGTCACACCACAAATGCATAGTGTTGGTAATAAAACTACACATAGGAAATCTTTAGACAAAGGCGAAAAGCAAGAAGAACAACATAATAAACACAATGTATCAAGTATATCGCCATCAGATAAGAGTGACAAGAAATTTATACACAGTAACTGTAGTACTGTGACGCACAGTGACATACAGCTCATTGAAAGAATTGGGTACGGCTAATTATATATATATATATATATATATATATATATATATATATATATATTATATATATAGGAAATATCACTTTTCTTTAACTTTACTCTAGTACTTTGTGGTATGAATTCTATTCTTCGAATAAATTGGAGCATGCCGAACACAGATGAGAGTAAAGTTGAAAAATTTGATATACATATTTTTTTATTATACATTACATGAGATGTATTTACTGATAATCTTTTAAAAATAGATCTGTAAATGATTTCGACATAAATGAAGTAGAAAAAGATAAGTCTATTAAGGGTTGTGGACATACTACGATAAAGTCACAATCTAATGGTTCAGTGACTGCAAAATGGAACAATGTAAAAGAGAATCGAGATTCATCGTCGACCACTAGTGTCCAACGTGAACGTAAGACTCGGCAGGTTAAAAATGCAGGTGATACTGCAACAGAACAAAAACAACAAGATGATTATTGTCAAAGGTATATTAACATGACGGGAATATATTGTAAATATATTGTAGAATGTACGCTTGTATGTATGTTTTTTTGTTATTCTTGTGAGCTTGCAAGTTTCCCTCGCTATAATTATACCCCAAGCTTAATGTTACTTTTTCCTTGTTTCTTAATCTGCTTATTCTAATTGAATATTAGACTTGCTTTGGGTCTGTTTTTTATTTTTTTTCAAGAACTTTTGAATTAATGCACAATAATGCAATAAGTTAGAATGAGAAAAAATATATCTATTTTATTCTAACTTATTGCACTAATTCAGAAATCTTTCAAAAAAGAACAGACCTTTTTAGCTAAACTAGTGTTGTACTAAAATTTTCACTTCTTTTCTCTTCAGTGTATTAGATTATATATTTACTTCGCTTGAAATATAAAGTATAATCTAGTTCAACTAAAAAAAACAGACCTCTAGCTTAGTCTATAACTTAACTATAACTTATCCTAATCTTAATTCTAATCTATTTTCTAACACACGTGGATATATATATATATATATATGTGCACATACAGCATTCCTATTTACTCACCTACACACACAACATACACCATATACAACACATTCCTACTCACCCACTATTGCTTTATATGTATACTACTTTATATGTATACATAGAAATCCTATTAATGAACTCGTGTTTTTCAAAGGTATTAAATTGAAACTCAAATTATAAAAAATATGATAAAGATGCGTGCGCGTGTTATGTAAAATATATATTCTTATACACACACATTCATTCACTCACATTATGTATACACACGCATATTTTGTCTTTCATTCTTATTAATGTATTTATAGATGTTAAAAGAGAGCTCGCATCTCGTATCATCTGTTGTCACCTCAATAGACTTGTTATTCATCTTTGCAGCATAATTTGTCATTGAAATAGGTTACTGGTATGTCGTAGGCTTGAAGCAGATATAAAACGTCTAAAATCAGATTTGCAATCAAGTCGGCAGTTGGAACAAGAATTACGGTCGCAAATCAATACCTTGTTAAATGGAGAGAGACAGGCTAAAGGAGACATTCAACAACTCCAACATGATAATGATCAGTTACAAAGCAAGTGAGTATGTTAAAATTTGCATGTGTATATATGAATTATTTTTATATAAATCATTATACGACTAAATTATATATTACAAAATATAAATAATAGAAAATATTTTCTAATATTTATATATATATATATATATATATATACAGATTACACGGTCTAGTAACAGCGCGTCAACTGGATAAACAGACGATATCTTCGTTAGAAAAGCGAATTGCGGAAGAGAGAAAGCAACGTACCGCATGCGAAGCATCTCTTGTCTCTGAACGGAGAGCACGGCGAGCTGCCGAAGAGGCACGTTCCGCGATTCCACCCCCACCACCTCCGCTCATCAGACAAGAATGCACCGATACGTGTAAGAGTCGCAGATCTCAAATGGAACAGGATCTGAAAAATCTGCGCCGCGAACTCAAATCAAAGGAAGAAAGGTAAAAGAACGAAGTCTATCATCATAGTCTTCACTATGTGTAAATTGAATCGAATAACTTCTAATGATCGAAAATTAATGACATATGTTATTAATGATGAACACTAGGTGTAATGCATTGGAGAAAGATGCAGCACGTTGTAAGGAAAATCACAGAGAGTCTGAAATTTTACTTAGTGCGCTTAACGCGCTACAGGACAAAAACGCACATTTAGAGAACAGCTTAAGCGCAGAGACACGTATAAAACTTGATCTGTTTTCGGCACTCGGCGAGGTCAAGCGACAATTAGAGATCCGAGAAAGTAAGTAGTAATTGTCTTTTCTTTGTTTTATTTTATGTATTTTATACTTCCATCTTAGCAGGTCCATGTTAGTAAACGATTTATAAAAGATAATGGGTGTTATCTTCTACAAGATAACTATAAGATGACACGCATTGTTTCTATGTCGCGTAAAGTACGAGTAAAGTAAAAGATAAAGTATGTTATATAATCTGTATTAAGAACGAGAGAGAGAGAGAGAGAGAGAGAGAGAGAGAGAGAGAGAGAGAGAGAGAGAGGAGTGAGGAGAGAGAGAGAGAGAGAGAGAGAGAGAGAGAGAGAGAGAGAGAGAGAGAGAGAGAGAGAGAGAGAGAGAGAGAGAGAGAGAGAGAGAGAGCACGTATATAAATATTTCTATGAATTGTTATTGTCAGCTGTCCATGCCTATTATTAATGTGTACACATTATACATTTTCTGTTGGATTAGGCTTAATCAGATCTCAAGAGAAAGAAATTGAGATGTTGAAAACAAAAATAGCGCAAGATTTAGCTGTGATGCCACAAGACACATTTGGTCCAGCGCCAACCTGTGCGACGTCCAAGCTTCGTTTAAATAGTGAAGTGAGAGTAGCCGGAACAAAAATACGTTCGAACGAAAGTCCCTGTCCAGGGTGTACTGTGTCAAATTTGGATCCGAATGCGACAGCGTACACGCCTAAAGGTTCCCTCGTAGCATCGACCGAAGCTTAAAAGAACTGCAATCTCTTATCGCATCAGCGCCCGATAGTAGGATATATCAACTACAAAAAAATGTTTCAAGTTTCTCCGTGGAAACAATTACTCATTCAGTTCCTCTAAGTATACATGAAACAGATTTATCAATTGGTTACTGAATTTCTCCTTATATATCCACGTTTCTTCTTTTGAAGACAATATTTTTATTAATATATACGAATCTCTCTGAATACGCGAAAATAATTCACCTAAAGTCTTCCATGAGAAACTTTGCGAAACATGTTTTGTATCATGTCTTGTCTCTCAGAAAGAATGAAGCCATTGACATTATGATCACGTGATACGACAAATTTGCTGGATTTTAGAACATAAAAATCCAATGACGATTTGTAACATTTATGCTGTAGGTTGATTTTACGGATATGATATGATATAATTGTATGATGCGTGATATAATTCGGGCGAATAAGATGAAATGAAGATAAAAAGCATCTGCATACGTTAAGTATAACGATGTAAAGTTGAGACTAATGCTCTGATCATAATCAATTTAGAAATGTAAGTGGGTATGTTCTATATCCTACAGATATTGTTTTTTTCTTTTCAAGAATACCTCACAATTATATTTATCATATACTTGTAACGTATCGAACAATATAATTCTAATAAGTAACGGAACTTTTTTTAATTATATACATGTATAATTAAATTTAATAATCTTTACGTGAGATGAGAAAAATGATAAACATTTTGTTAACTGAAACATGATAAGAGAGAAAAATATATCCGTATTATGATCTTCCTGCAGCATACACCTAAACGTGCGATGACTTGTTGAAGATGCATTCTTATTCAAGTCGTAACTCTGAAGCTAGTCCATCATACAAATTCTATTTAATATCATTGGCGTATTGAGCCATTTTACGTCATACAGTTGTCATGTGGAAATAACCATTGACATACATGGGGAGATACACGAGCATTATCATTATTGAACAAAAAAAAGATCGGATTGTCAAGACGCCAAATTTATTTTACATGATCATGTGTCTGTACGATGATGATATTCATAGTCGCGTATCTCTATACTTTTAAATTCTCGTACTTTAGTTTAGTGTCATCCTTTTTTATGTATTGGCTTTCAAACGGTACAAAATAGTTACTATATTTTTCATAAAAATAAAAGATAAAAAAATGTACGGATTTTAATGTGATAAATGATTGGTTCATAGAGATTCAAAATTAAAAATGACCGTTAATTTGTTGTATAGAGAGGGATAAAAAATACGCAGGCGTATAATGATTATTAGGATATGAGATTATGTAATGCCATACTTCGCGTTAAAAATGAGTTTAAATGCAAAATGATAATTTTATTACATGAGTACAAATATTGGAGCGTAAAATATTATTTTCATGTGATTGCTTCATTTAAATAAGCTACGTTTAATTAATCGCTCTTCAGTAAAATTGAGTTGATAAAAACTACTTTGTGATTAGATGTAAATGTGTGGGTAAAGATTTTTCTTTTCTGTTTCTTTTGTGACGTCCACTAATATTAATTTTGAAACTAAAAGTAGGAGAGTTTTGTTTTTCTTAATTATTATTCTTAATACATACATGAATATACAAGCACGAATATACACTAGTGTTACATGACTTGACAAATTATGATATCATTATCAATTGGTACATAATGTTTATAAAAGATCTGTGGAATTATAAAAGTATAATAATTTATTATTATGGCGTATTTGGGTGCAATTCATTTTAAACATTCGCGAAAGTTGTAAATTGTTATGACCGTTGATTACGTTACATTATACGTTATCATTTTGATCTAGCTTTATATATTTTCATCTTAATAATCGATAAAGATTGTTATTTAATTAATACGATTGGCTCGCAGGATGTTTGAAGAAGAGAATTGTTAAGGCAAAGTGTGATGGCATTACGTGAATGCTTGATCGGCGTTAATAAATTCTGCGTTTTCTTATTCTATCCGCAAGAAAGCCAGTACTTGCTTCTTTACGCGTGCTCACGCGCAAACGTAATTGTTAACTGTTTACGAAGTCATTCTTCCATAATTGTACATACGAAGCACTGTCATGACAGTTTACTTATGGACACTAGTAGTGGATCATGACCAACTAGTCAAGCGAAAGATGTTCTATGAGCACAAATATTTATTAGGTATCTAACATCGTTTTTGCCTTCTATGGAAAATGAAAAAAGAGAAGATACAGAACTCACATTTTCATCTTATTAAGATTTAGTACCCGGACTCGTTGGATAATAAACTTCTGATGAATCCATGTTTCCTGGATGATCCACGTAAAAAAACGACGTTGTAAAAGCTCTTCTAGCTAATGCACAATATATTTATCATTAAATTTTGAACTTCTCAATCTTTGAGCAGTGCTTAGTTTTTTCTTATACTTCCGAAAAATTGTACGTAAATTTCTTTATTTGCGTTTACGCTAATTACATTAGAATAACTGTATATCCATATATGTACTATTTTTGATATGTATTATTCAGTACATATTATAAAATAGGAACATGATTGTTGATTTACAAGAGAACAAGAAGAATCGCAATTTCGCATTTACAATCGATACATATTTCCGTTTTAATTGTCAACAATTTGAACTCTAATGCAAATCACAGAATTGCACTTCGTTTTTCTTTGGCGAATATATTTGTACTAAGTTTTTTGATTTTACGTTTGCGTTTGCTTACGTTTGTTTATACACGGATAGCATAATAACAATATGATAATGATGTGTAAATATTCGCTGAGAGAAAACTTTGATACCGTCGTAACGCATTGGTGTGATTATTGTAGGGCACTTGCGTGTTTGCATAGTCAGTTTTTGCTACACGAAGTTACTTGTGTCTCGAATATATCCGCACCGATATTTCACGATGTAATGAGGATTAGATATTAAAACAACGATACGTATTTATTTTGAAAAATTATGGTTCAGGCAGACACCATTCGATTCGTTAAAATCTCTATATGTAATATCACGAATAATTGTACCTGACCAGGGTGTGTTGTAGCGTTCTTTTGTTTATTATTTTGTTCTGGCTAATTTACTTATTATGGTTTTAATTCCACCAAGAAGGCTGGCTTGATGAGCAATTAATTAATTATTTAACGCGATGATACACGTACATATTGAGTTGTGATATATACATACACAAGTACATGGAAAATACACACACATAGGCACATAATGTACATGACACGCATGTCACGTGTAAATATGCACACACATTCGCGCTTACATATTTATTTGTGTATACTTGTACATTGCGTGCGTACGTCAAGAAACATATGCAGTTATCTACGCGTATACACATGCATATATGTATAATTATTTTAGTTATATATACAATGATGTTCTTATCATAATAAATTAGTAATGATGATAACTAATCGATCGTCGTAGCGGTAAGTTTCCTATTTCCAGACGTATTATTCGACTTTTGCGCGATAAAAGGAGAAAGACGTGTATAACAAGCTTAAGTACTTAACTTTTTTTTACTTTTATTTTGCGCTCTTTTCAAATGCGAGAGAGAAAGAGAGAGAGGGAGAGAGGAAGAGAGAGTGAGAGAAAAGAAGTATGCACAAATTCAGGGTACTTTTGTAATATTTGCTTCCTAAATCTTACATACATATATGTATATATGTATATATGTGTGTGTGTGTGTGTGTGTGTGTGTGTGTGTGTGTGTGTGTGTGTGTGTGTGCGTGCGCGCGTGTGTGTGTGTGTGTGTTATCGATTCTTTGATATTATATAACTAATTTATTAAGTTGGCGAGAGGACAATATAAAAAAGATTTTTTGTTTTATAAAAGTGCTCGTGTTGAGTCTGGTCGATGTTTCAGTTGAAAGATCGCCGTAGATATCTTTTTTACGTGTTAGTTGTTAAACTGATGTTCTTACGCGCTTCCAACGCTTACAGCTGTGTACTTATTCTATCCTTTTATTTAGCGTTTAAGTTATTGCCGAAGACGAATGTATATTGTTGGATGCAACAATAATACGGCTACTGATCTCATCTCATATGTATCGCTACCGTACACGCAAATGCCCTTATATTATTATGAAAAATGAAAAATGCGAAATGTCGTTGAAAGGAAACATCATAAAACATATTGTAACTCGCGGATAAGACGGATCAAAATGTCACATCACATGTAAACCGTGTAAAACAATGTCTAATCTTGAGGAAACACGCACTTCTACGTGCCCCATGTAACACGTACGCAGTGAGGCAGTATATAAAGAGAAAGAAAACGGAATCAAGTACGGTGAAAACTTATCTTGCGATTGACCGTAATGCGTATATTGCAACGCAACTTGCAAAACGTGAAATAGCATATACGCCACTATTATCATACATGCGTTTCTACCAGTTAGTTCGTAACTCATACCGAGCTTGAACCCTGTTCAAACGACAGCACTTCTCGTGAAGCGGTGCTGAAACGATCTTGTATTTATATATAATGGTTCTTCTCTCTTTTGCATATTTTTTGTCTATCTCTCAATCGGTCACATAGAATATATTTGACTTTTGTTTTCGTACTAAAAACTACACGATTTATAAATTTTCCTCTCATCCTTTCAAAGATATATAAAATTTCCTCTATTAGTGCGTACAAGTGTAAAAATTACAATTCCCCTCCTTGCTGTATATTCCAAAAAGAAAACTTTCAAACGTGTATAATTTGGAGAGCATATGTATCTTCTGGTTTTTATAGAATATCAAAGTGATATAATATAAAAATTTCTAGATAACAATGTTGTTTTACACATTGTTACGATTATTTTATAGGTCAAGATGCAAAAGGGACTTAAAAGTAACAAATTTGGAAGAAATTGATTTGTAGCAATATGTTACGCGCAATATTGAATTTTTGCTATAGTTGGATTATTTGAGAATATTGCAATTTCCGAAATATTATAAGGAGTTAGAAGAATTATTGATATTAATAATATGAACCAATTTTCACTGTGTACTATGTACCGCTATATACTCCGTAGTAATATTTATTAAAATAAACATTGTAAACTGATACTGCGTATATTTCATACATAACTACAAAAAATAGCATTGAGACTCATCAGAGTTTGATATTTCATTACAATTTTCATATAATTCAAGAATATATTTTTAATTTATCACATGATTTTATGTGACAAATATTTATGTGATTTTATGTGATAAATATATCACATAATTTATATGCTTCCTGCTCCCTTTGCGATGTTAAATTAAAAACAAGGAGGGGAATTTTCACACAATGTACGAAAGTTCAAATTATTTTAATGGTGAGATTAGCGATATAATTTGATATATACTTTTCGTATACTCTACTCATACTCAAACATTACATTTTGGATAAACGTTACTTTCCTTAGCGAAAGCAAGTGAATTCCTATCATTTACTTGTAGAGGTATCAGTTTAAAACTTGTAGTATCCAATCCAATCGTTGATCTCTTTTATAAAATAGCATAAAATGCATTTGATGTAATAGTAACCACAAGCAATATGAGAATGAGCAGGCATATTAGTTGACAATATCGTATAGAACACAGCAATATATAAAGTTTCGCTTGATTTCAATATACTTTGGTTGTATAATGATTAAAGCACAGTTGTATATTTATACACACATGTTCCTGTTAGTCTTGAAAATGTTTTGTTTTACTCGAATATGAAGACGGTTGTCCGTTATCGTAAATCTAAAGAAGTCCGTATTACACAATTATGTGACAAAATTTTTAATAAAGAGGAAATACATATATACATACAAGGTTTGATCAAAAAGTAATGAGAATTTTTAATTTTCTCGGAAAATATTTATTTAATCTTCAATGTTTATCCCATCTCCTTCAAAGTAGTCCCCCTGTGATATTATACACTTATGCCAACGTAGTTTCCAGTTTGAGAAACATTGGTGGAACGCCTCTTTAAGTATCGTCTTGAGCTGGATCTGCGATTTCGCCTTTATCTCATCTATTGTTGAAAAACGTTGTCCTTTGAATGTCCTTTTGAGTTTGGGAAATAGGAAAAAGTCACAGGGAGCCATGTCTGGAGAATAAGGTGGTTGCGGCATCACAACGGTGCTGTGTTTCGCCAAGAACTGTTGGATAAGCAATGCGGTACGTGGCGGTGCGTTGTCGTGGTGCAAAATCCACGAGTTGTCTCTCCAAAGTTCGGGTCGTTTTCTCCGGATTGCCTCACGCAAATTGCGCAAAACTTATAGGTAGTACTCCTTGTTGACTGTACGACCAGGCGGTAAAAATTCATGATGAACTATTCCATTGTAGTCGAAGAAAACGGTTAGAAGGACCTTCACATTTGACCGGACTTGACGTGCTTTTTTCGGTCTTGGCTCTTCCGAAAACTTCCACTGAGACGATTGAGCCTTCGTTTCGACGTCGTAGCCATAGTATACCCACGTTTCGTCACCAGTTATAACACGTTTGAGCAAGTCTGGGTCGTCAGCGACGTCAATAAGCATTTGTTTAGCGATGCTGTTTTCGTTGCAAATTCTGCAGTTTTGGAACAAATTTTGCTGCCACTCGTTTCATGTTCAAAACATTAGTAAAAATCGCTTCGCATGAGCCGTATGAGATTCCTATTTCTTCAGCAACCTCTCTAATGGTGATTCTATTAGCAAGCACAATCTCTTTAACTTTTTCCACGTTTTCATCACTGGTGGACGTGCTAGGACGCCCAGACCTCGCGTCATCTTCGATGTCTTCTCGGCCTTCCTGAAAGCGTTTGTACCATTCATAAACTCTTGGTTGTGACATAGTATTGTCGCCAAAGGCCTTCTTTAACATTTTGAACGCTTCGCTGCACTTAATTCCGTTTTTAACACAAAATTTCAGACAAACTCTCTGATCCGACATTTCGCCACACAAAAAATCGCCAAACACACTGAAGTCTTACTCATTTGCTCGCCAAACACAAACCAAGCGTCGCAGCTGCCTGAAAATTGACACGTATGTCACTGGTAATGCTACCAATACACAAAAAAGGAATCAACTGAATAGACAAAATACAGCGCGTGCAATTTCAAAATTCTCGTTACTTTTTGATCAAACCTTGTACACGTAAGTGTATATATGTATGCCTATATGTCCATATACATCATATATACATGAACTTCCTTTCTCATACTGTGAAAATATTTTATTGCTCTCTGAATGTGTCAATGCATCATACACATATACAAAATAATAAAAAGATTTAAAAATGACAGATAATTACAAGTAATAAAGTATTTATTAATTTTACCCTTACTAAAAACTGTTACATGTTATATGTATCTCTTAACGTTATCTACGGAGAGGAGAGTGTCGTGAGCGTGGAGCGTTAGGTAGTTCAGTGGTCTAGAGCAGTCGCCCGGCAAACGAAAGACCCCGGGTTCGATTCCCGGTCTAGCGACTACCGCGCTCTCGATATTTTTCTCTCTTCGGAACGAAAAATGAGATGCAGGTCCCGAACGCACGGCGTCCCGACGCCCTCCTTCTTTCATGGTATATCTTCTACCAATTTTTTTCATAGATATAATTTTCATCAAATAAACTGCGCTTTTAATCACACAATTTTATATATCATATGTTTCTAATGTTTTGTATAATTTTGTTATAAAAGATTTGTCACTCCCTTGAATTTATAATTAAAATAGAATAGCAAAGTCATACATACATACATGTGTATATATATATATTGCTGATTTATATAAAATATAAATGAGAATTATATATACATGTTATTTATAAGTTATTTCTGTTATTTATAAGTTTCTTAATTATCCTATGTTTCTTTTTAATATTTTTGTCCTTAGTTATCACTAAAAATTGTTTAAATACCTATTACAGTTATACAAATCATATAATGGATTATATTTGATTTCTATAATTCATATAATTATATAAAATACATATTAATACCATATCATGATAAACAGATACAAAATATAGTTATGAGTCACCTACTTTTTATAGAAAAAGCAGTCTCATTTACACTATTTACAGTCTTGTATATTTCACACTTTAGTGTCTGCTGGCAGAACTCCATGTGATTTGAATCTCTCATAAAGAGGGCTGCCTTTACGCACTACATATGAAAGAATGGCCTTCGAATAATAGTCTGGCAACAATTCTAAGTTTCTTATAACAGTTGATAAAAGATGTGCCTTTTCCACATATATTCCTAAAGAAAACATATGAATGAAATAGAATAACAGAATATATATTATATTAAACACACACATATTTTTTTATAGAATAAATAATTTTTAGAGTTTTACTGATTATAAATCAAGGTTGATTTACCTGGTGCTTCAAACATGAGATAGCTAAAGTGTACATGTAGATAATAATAAGAAGGTTGATAATGAAAATATATTCTAAGCTGAGAGGCAGATACATTAAACTTTTTATTAATTGCCTCAGTCCCAGCTTTTTGTATATTTTTCAATAAAGGAAGATGAGATGCATCTAATTCTCGAAGACATCTTATTTTTTTTAAAGGCAATGCCAGCAACTTTAATGTATCCAGTCGTTTGTCCCATTTTAAATCTGTTACTAAGATAAAACCAGTTTCCTTGTCAGTATCCTCGTAAATAATGTTTTCTTCTTCAGCTTTGTGTTCAAGAATATTAGTTATCCACTGAAAGAGAAACATTACAAAAAATATTTTATATCTTGATTAAATATAATAAATAAAAATAGGATTGTATCAAGTAATAAGATATATATCTTATGCAAATCTCTCTCTCTCTCTTTCTCTCATACCTCCAAACTCAAGCTCATAGATTCTATATGAGGAAGAGTAACTTGTTGATAGAGTTCATACGTTTCATCTATCATATGTAATGATTCCTGCTTCAAATACTTCTCGATTTGATTTCGTGTGGCAGGATATATCACAGTCGCGTGTAGACCTTGAAGAAATATACAGAAACGTTTGTAAAGTATAATACAAAATACTAATACAAAAATATCAACAATCAATCAATAGTGATAAACGAACATACTGTTATATTCCTCGGCCGGAAAACAATCGTAATTCCCGTAGATATCGTTTGCACAATTCTTTTGATAGATAGTTTTCTCACTGAAGAAACCCTTTTTCAAAGACACTTTGTCACTGGGAAAACTCTTTTGCTCTAATAAAACAATTGCCGGATCCGCGCGATCCTTGAATGTTCCTTCTACACATATTAACTTACGCGCGCAATTATTCTGCAGCACTCTTGTTACATTAAAATCAGACAGATCTGTACGTTCGCATACGCTGTCCTCATTCTCATCCGCATTTTTCTTGTCTTCTAGTTTAATTCTTTTTGTTGCTGGACAGTCTCCGTCGTCGATATTAACGGCACATTTTTCTGCCATGGTCGTTGCTAAATGTAACCGCAGTGTATGATTCGTAATGATTCGTAGATTATCGCAGTATCATTAACTTGATATGTTTCTTTTATTTCTGTAGATATTCGTTTCTTTTGTGTAAGACGCAGCACCACGTTTTCACAATTTTAATTTTTATTTCACTTACTCTCTCTACTGTATGATCTTCAATTATTGTAACATATTGGGTGCGTTCACGTTGGACGCTCATGCGCTTTAAGCGCTTACAAGCGTAAGCTCAGACCGTTTTCTTTGGCGCTATAAGCGCTTAGAGAAGCATTCGTAACATCACTGATGACGTCATAAATACTGCTCACAAACGCTTATTTCACGGAGGTAGGGCAGCATGAGCGTAAGTGTTTGAGCGTGAGCGTCCAAAAAGAACGCATGTAAACGAGCGGAAGAAAACCTAACCAATGTGACGAATATTATTTTTTTCATTGAATACAGAAAAGAAAAATGGAAGATAAAGTTAAGCTAACCTTGAAAAACGCTGAAAATGATCAGCTGTATAATATTTTTATTTCTCCAGAGGAAGCAGAACGCTTAGAAACCGGTAAGTTTATTATATGTAAATTAGTTTTTTTTTCTTTTGTTAATGCTGTTACTGAATATTGTGATTAACATTGTCTATTTTCACGTTTGCTATACTATTATTTGTATCTTTGCTTTTACATTGTTATTTGCATGCTTGCAATTTACAGATATGATTTTTGCTACTGAAAAATTGTATGAAGCAATGAAAAAATATGGTATGTTTGGTTGATATGGGATAATTAGATTGAGTTACTTTAATATAACAGTTTTCATGTATAATGGTAACTAATATATAACAAAATATATATCGTTTTGTAAATTTACTCCTATAATTATCTTAATTTAGATGAGAGTAACAGCAGTATCGTAGACACTGAATTGGAACACTTTGACGAAAATTAATTAGATGAAAAACAAGGAGAAGATAAAAGTAATATACAATATCATTTTTAAGTAAATTATATGTAACTTTTGAAGTTTTTAACTGAATATTATTTTAACAGTATTCAGATGGCCACATGAAACTATTCTTTTATTAATTGAAGAATATCGTTTGCGGCAAAACGATCTCAGTAGTGGCAAAATGTCTTAAAAAAAAATATGGGCATTGATTGCGGAAGAATTAAGAAAACACATGTATAATGTTACAGGGCCTCAATGTTTATCCAAATTATCTGGCCTAAAACGGACTTACAAAACTATCGTAGACCACAATAATAAGTCGGGCAACTCAACAAGAACATGACCATATCTTTCTGTAAGTCATTATCTTAAAATAACTGATATTATTATGAAAAATATAAAATATAAATTTATTTAACATTTTTCTAGCTTATGAACGAGCTACTTGGCTCAAAGCCATTTATGTCTCCAATAAGCACAGTATCGTCAACTGGAAAAAGATCTAGATCACCATCTTCTGAATGTAGTACATCCAGCTTTGATAGTTGCTCGCATAAGAAGAAAGAAGAAAATTTACAACCTAGTAGGTTAATTTATCATGATTATGTAGAATGTTTCATTTAATAATCTTAATTCAATTATGATTTTTTAATTCATATAGAACTATTATAACTACATATGACTTTAAAATAAGAGTATTAGTGTTCAAGATTTTAGTAACGTCAGTAAGATAGTTTACCTTTAAATGTTTATGTATTAATTTTTTATATATTTCTGTTTTGTAGAAAAAGCTCGACATACATCTAATGTGGAAAGATTAGTGCAAACTTTCAAAGATGAAAGAAAGATCGCAGAAGAAGCTGAACAAAAAAGACATGAAGAAAATGTACAGTTACGTCAGAAGTTGTTAAATTCGTTTGAAAGAATGTTGGATATATTGGAAAAAAAATAAATTGGCATTATATATAAGTAATCTTAAAAAAACATTGTAAAACTTTATTATATATAAGTAATCTTAAAACGTTGTTTTTAATTATAGCTTATTGTTTAATATAGCACTGAAATGATACAAAATGTACATGACTGTGATATAATGTATGAAAATGACAAATAAATGATACATGTAATCTTTACGCATTTCGCATTATTAAACTATTACAAATTACATCTCGTTTCATAAGCCCTGCATTATTTCCTGCTCGGTTTATTAACGGAATATCATTATTATCTTCTATACAATTTAATTCCATAATCAAAATTTCATCATTGCGTAACAAACAAATATTATGTAAGGTACAGCATGCAATGATGAACTCTGGAATTAAATCAATACCTTCCATATCAAGTACTGTTAGCAGACTTCGAAATCTTCCTTTTAGTAAATGCTCTTTCAATTGTAATTCGAGTGGATGCATGACAAAAATTATAGTTTTTCTGTCTAGCTACCAGATGACCGTTATCACGATATGGCGTCATTAGATTTTTGTGAAGAGTATAGGCTGCATCACCCACTAAATGACTGTCATTAGGAAATTTGTTTACGTCATCCAAATATGTATGAACCTCAGATAAACGAAATACCCGTTGATCGTGAACAGAACCAACATGACCAGCAAGACAATGGGTAAATTGTCACTTATGATCACAAACAGCCTAATAATAAATATGAAATTATAATTTATGATATAGTTATTAAAAAACAAAAAAGATTAAAGTAATATGAATTACTTGTAATTGTATACTATGATGTCCTTTCCTGTTAACATAAGATTCGGAATTGATGTGTGGTGCTTTTATATTTATGTGTGTGCCATCAATCGCTCCTATTATTCGAGGAAAGCCACTGACTGCAGCAAATCCTGCATGTATTTCATCTATTCTATCATTCTGTGGTCATTTAATGAAGCAAGGAGTAAACTTCACAATTACTTTTGTCACTCTTCTCACAGCATTTAATGCTGTAGATCTTCCAACTTCACTTCACTAAATTTTTCACAAATAGATCTAGATAGATAAATATCATATTATTAAAAAAAATAAATTCTATGCATATAGATAAAATAATAATTATAAATTAAAAATATATTACATACCGATATGAATCAGGAGTGGCCATTTTCCAGATAGTAATCAGAAATTGTTTTTCTGGTGATATCCTCCTATGTCCAGATCTTGCTCTTATTAAATAAGGTTTTATAATATTTAAAATATAATAAAAAGTTGATCGTTCCATTCTGAAAAGAAAAAATCAATTATATATATTATTATATATATATCATTTTAGAACATAAAGAAATAAACTCTCTTATTATTTTAATATATAATATACTTATTACTTTAATATATAATTAATAATTATGTACCTATATATATTATAAATATATATTGTAAATATATATATGAATTTTTCTTATTTTCAAAAATGAAATTGTTTAAAAATATTTATATAAGAAATATACAAACCTGAAATGTGTTTTAAATTATTCGTCACTATAACATTGTACAATTTCTTCCACATAACCTCGTAACCGCAGCGGAGTATTTTTAATAGAATATTTTAGAATAAACATAAAATTATCGAATTTTTTATATGTAATAGAATTCTTATCGTCTTCATATAATTCTAATAGAATTAATGCTTGCGCAAATAATATAGGCATCAATTCCTTTTTATTTATGTTTGTTATATTAACACTGTTCATAAACGCTTGTTAATGTTAAAACGAACAACATTGGCATCAATAACGTGCACACTCACAAACCAAATCGAACGGTTATTATTAACACTTGTAAGCGTTAACGCTTAAAGCGCATGAGCGTCCAACGTGAACGCACCCATTGTAATAATTACGTTCAGCGGGACGAAGCGCTTATAGACAATTAGTGATTCAAGGATCTGATTGGTATATAAATTTGGATCTTGATGTAAAGAAAGAATAGCCGCATTCAGCAGACTCAACAGTTGGACAACATTACTAGATTTTCCACTGAATCTCGCTCCTGATTGGTAAATACTTCTGGGTCTATGAAGAATCTAAAAGAATGCTCCAATCACAGACAATAATCACTAAACGCTCTCTGATCACTTTGTTCTACTGAACGCGGCCATTGGGAGCGTTCACGACAATTCAACAGTTGCGCAACTGTTGAGTAATTCGTCAACGTTATTGGTCTGAATGTAAGGATCTAACAGTAAGGACCAATAGTCACTAATCGTTCACTGAGCGGTTTTCTCCGCCGAATGCACCCATTGGCTGCATTCAGCAGACTCAATAGTTGGGCAACATTACTAGATATTCCACTGAATCTCGCTCCTGATTGGTAAATATTTCTGGGTTTATGAAGAATCTAAAAGTATGCTCCAATCACAGACAATAATCATTAAGTGTTCTCTGATCACTTTGTTCTATTGAACGCGGCCAATGAAAAGAGCAAAAAAGGAGGAATAGATCGACAATTACGAGAATCGATATCTCGATCGATACTTATATCGAATATTGATTGGCTATCTCGCTATACTACCGCCATTATGACGGTTGTACCAGATGCACTTTTTGTACTAAAAATGAGATCAATAGATGTTTAAGTTTTAAGCCAGCGGCACACGGTGCTTGTTTTCGTGCTGGATTGCTTGCTGGATGAAAATACTGCGTTCTGATTGATGAATTTCCATCCATCTTCGAAAATGTACCAATCACAACGCAATATTTTCATCCAGCAAGCAATCCAGCACGAAAACAAGCACCGTGTGCCGCTGGCTTAAGAAAGGGATAAAAAACAAAGTGTCGAAAGTGTAACCAAGCGACGGACTTGTCATCTATAGCATCATATCATCTATATTTTTTAAATAATGATATATACCGGCATATTTTAGGCCGAGAGAGTGTTCTATATGTTTAAAGTAAATATATGGAATCTCTTGTAACCGTTTTGAATATTTTGCACCGTTATTAATAGCCAACTTCAACGCATTCGAAAGTGTGAGAGAAGTGTGGCAGGTTCGAACATCATTCTGACCTCTACATCGTAAAGGGCATGTGCCCAAGTATCATACACTCATATTTATAACCGAACTTGAAGAATTGGTAAAAGATGTTGCAAGTCGACGACAGGAAGGTAAGCGGAAACTTGATATTTCTGTTTTAATATTACCGTTATTGATGTAACATTATTTGCGAATTAACTTTTATTACGTTGCAATCATGTGATGCACCACATATTACACACACACACACGCGCGCGCGCGCGCGTGTCTTTTCTTGATCTTTGCATTCTCCATAATATTTTGTTTTATGTAATTGATAAAAGTTTATAAAATGATCTAGCAAATAAAGTTATCGAGATGACACAAATCTCTACGCTGCTGACATTTTCATTAACTTTCATGTTCTGTCTGCTGTTAAAGTGCGTAATGGAATTGGAGGTTATATGTGAAATATTTGGACATAATAGCAAACCCTTTCGGTTTGAAAGTGTTTGCGAAATTATGGGGATATAAGAATGTTTACTATATAATTATTATTTCAATATATTATCATCTTTATTAATGGGAAAATAATCTTGTACAGTCAAATTTCTTGTAAATACATATTCCTCATGATTTTTGATTAATCGAAAAAGCAGGAACAATATTTCTCTAAAATTTTTGAAACTAATAACTTTTGTGTTCTTTATGTTAACAAAAAGATTTATCTGCTCACATAATATCTGCAGAAATTAACAGAAAATGACTATACACTTAAAATAATTAAAAATTCAATAATTGTAAACTTATAGAAATTAAATTAGTACATAAGTAGTATCTAAGTAGTAACTATCATATGTTATATTAGCTATTAAATGTTATAAGAAAAAAAGTAAAATCGTAAGAAAGATAAATGAAATATCAAATTTATATAAATAATCATTAGAAAGCATAATATACATTACATAATCAATTATATTTATAGTACAATTAATTTTATAATTACAATATATATATTTATGCCTTGTAATTATAAAATTAATTACATAAATCAACTTTGATATATGATCATGGTGAGTTATTTTCTGAGTGTTGGTGAGTGTTGATAATTTTTATTAATACATACAAAATGTAAAACTGTTACAGTTTACTTAAAATATCATTATCATATTTTCAATTAATTGATGGTTATGAGGAATATACATATATTTAAAAATAAATACATTTACTTGAAAAATTTTGTAATATTTGATCCAACAAGTGATCATGAAAATGAAATGGTTGCACAAGTATATATGAATTTAGAAATATTCTTTCTAATGATATTTTCTGGTAAGAATGTACTGCCATATTCTAACTCTATTTTGTATTTTTATTATTTGCAAATGAGTTTTTACTTAGAATTTAAAAGTATTTTTTTTCTTGTTATATTTCCTGATAAGAATATACTGCCATATTCTAACTCTATTTTGCATTCTTGTTATTTGCAGATAAGTTTTTATTTATTCATATGTATGTTTAACATAGACTGGTTTCTCTTGTTCTCTTCTATTATTCATGATATTCATTTATATTTTATATACAGAAGTGGTTTAAGAATATATTTTAGAAAAAATATACAGATGAAGTAAGTTTATAAAAATGACATAAAGTAAAAATTTTTCAGTAAAAATTATCTACATGCAATATTAGTATATAAAATTATTATATATACACAATAATATTAGTGATATATTAAATGATATGTTAAAAATAACTAATGAATAATTCGCTAGATATTTATAAAGATAGATAACTAATTATTCAGTAGGAAATACAAAAATATTCGACAAGTTAAGTCACATAAAGTACAATGAAAAATTATCATTTGGTTACATAAACAGATGCAATTATACAAAAGCATGAGACATGTGAAGATATAAAAACCTGCTTCAAATAGTTTGTGATCCTTATAGTACGGTTATATTTACCATATTTTTATTTAGAACAGAAGCAGTTTGTGTCTTTCTATGGGTGCATTCAGAGAGCTTAAACCATTAAACTGTTCATAGAGCCAACAACCGATAGTGATAGCAAGTCCTGCAAACATCAATAATATAGCATTATTGCAGTACAGTGCTGCTTCTACAGTTTAAATCCTTTTTCAGTTTTAACATTCTGAAGATTTATTTAACGCAATTGTTCATTACTGCATATAGTAAAATAATAAGTATAGTAAAAGCATAATAGTAAAATAATAAATACAGTGTATTCCGGTATCGTTTAACAATCATACACATTGACAGATGTGCAATTCACAAAATTTTGGGTATTCATGGAGTCTACAAATGTTAATGCTTGTTTCTTCCATGATTCAATATAGAATTTCAATATAGAATCTATATTCAATATAGAATGATTCAATATAGAATTTCTATAAACTGCGTTCAATTTTGAATGCTTCTTTTATGTCTAATACTAAAAAACACTATCTTTGTTCACTGAAATCTCATTTTAGATTCAATTTCGTTCAAATTACTAAAATAATTCATTTATAGTTTAAATTTTTTAGGTCTTGTGTTAATATATCTTATGATATCTTCGTCATTGAATAATGATAAAATATTATAATATGCCATAATGATTCGTTCAATCTTGTATGCACAAAATCAGGTCCAGTATATTGTACATAACCTCAAATACTGACGTTTCACATTATTTTTTGCTTAAACGCCATTAAAAATTATTAATCTATTAAAAATTAGCTTTTACGATAAACGTCGTTCAATTGAGTTGAACTTTTATTGAGAAGTTGACGGTTCAAATTTTGAATCACATTGGAGGAAACGGGCGTAACGTTATCAATACACTACTAGAAATAGTGTGAGTAAAGTGTAGTTATGACGTAACGCTACTATTAGAATGCGTTCGGGGGACATGTTGGCCGCATTCAGCAGAAAAAGCTGCTTATTGATTATCGTTCTTGATTGGTTCGTTCTCCTGGATCCATCCAAGATCTAAAAGAATACTCCAATTATAGATAATCATTATAAGCGCATAGTAAGCAATTTTTTGCTGCTAAACGCGACCGTTATCAACGCTAACATATCGTTTTATAGCTATCGCTCAATACAAGAATAGAATGACGCGTTGACGCTGATCAACGCTAAAAGATCTTTTATAACAAACCGTTAGTCATAAGTTGTAAAAGCAAATTCACCAAACAGTCGATTATTTTTTGGAATAATCGGCTGTAGTTGGTCAATCTGCTTACGACTTATGACTACCAGCTTGTTGTAGAAGAGCCTTAAGACTAATTAGGCTTATTGTAGAAGCCTCTTAAGAACCATTGCATATAAAAGAATTATAATTACAAAGCGTAAGAAAACTGACCAATCATATTCGATTATTTCTCTAGCTAAGAAGAATAATCGATGTTATTGGTCAGTTTTCTTACGATTACGGATTTTCTACATGCAAAGGATAATAGGAAATTTTGTAATAACGTTTTCCAGGTACGATAAACGTTAAGGTTATGTTATTGGGTCGAAAGAGGAAACTGCGCATGCTCAATAACATATAATTTTAGCGTTCACCGTATCTAGAAAACATTATCGCGAAAATTGCTTAAAAGCGCGCTGATAACGGTACTAGACCGATAATTGTTTGTAATTAACATTATCATCTAACTCCACGAGCACCCATAATGCTAAATATCTAAGCTAAATAATTGAACGCACTCCATATATCTCATATATATACTACGATCTTGTTCGCTTTTCACATGAAAAACAAGTGCACAATTTGTGCTTAGTGCCCTCTCGCGTCGATCATTTAAATCTTGCAAATACAGCACCTATCATGACTTCTCCCGCGGTGACGTCCTCTGATCATTCACAAACTGCCGGTCGTCGGAGAAAAATGTACAAAGTATCGCACATGGAGTACTTGTTGCGAGTAAGTAGTAAACGAACATGTAGACTGTATCAGCAAGTGCCTCGGTGACTCTTATTTTTTTAAGCGACTTCCATGCTACGTTACCGATACTTGTCGATATTAATATCTGAATTATTAAGTAACGTCAAGTAGACCAATGACAGTAATGATACGATATGATGCGACCCTATTATTCGACGCATGCTAAATTAAGACTAATTTTGTATTCTATGATTATCGCGCACACGTTACTTTTCAATAATTTATTATAATGTATTATGGCCAATGTAACATTCAATATTAATTAAATGTTAATTATTTCGATCTTTTTCCGATAAAGTTCGCGTCGCTTGGTCATCGATTTTTTAATAAACTCGGTAAGATTGAAAGTGAATTTTAGCTATTGTTTCTCGCGACGAGAGATTACATGTTACATTCGAATTGTAAACGAATTTTCGACTGTCGATTACAAAAGATATTGAAATTAAGATCTTGGATATATTGTAAAAAGAGATCTAGCGATTATCGCGATAAATAAGAAATATAGGAGTTCAAGTATATAAAGATATTGTTAGTGCAGTAGTTACTGTTATCAATTTGACATGAAGATTAGCTGAAATTGAGCTATTTACAAACATTTTCATTCTATACACGTTCCGCGAGTAACCGTGTCACTGTTAGAAATTCAGATAGATATACGCGCATAGAGAGACATTACCCAATGACTAAAAGTTGGCTCTGTTGAGTAACAAGAGTGTGAGTCTTTTTCTAAATATAATTAACAAAAAAAGAAGAAATCTAGAGATTCAGAAATATGTGATCCCATCGAGAGAATATTACTACAGAATATTGTTCGTTAATCTATTTGCAATAGTTTTTATTTAATAATTATTTAATAAATTAAGGCTGTTTTGAATATAATATATAAGTTTTTTTATAGAGATTAAATTTACTAGAGCAAACTAATAAATTTGAACCTTCCTTTCAGCTGCTTATTACGCAATAAATTTACATTACATTCTTATCTCGTGTCATTATTTTAAGCTCGAAGCTGTCGAGGTCAAAAACTACATTTTTCCTTTCTGGAAAGAAACATTAATGCATAATTTATATAAGATTACGTGTTAATTCATTGTTATATAAGCCGATGATAGGCGAACTTCGGTCTCAAGTACACAACGTCATACGAGAATATAATCATTCGCAGTGGTTGTTAGTCTTCTAAGTCTTAGCGATCCGACTGTATCGCAATGAATTTCGCAGAGCGACTTATAACGATTGTATATCTATTCTCATCTGCATGATCGTAACTGCTGCTAATTAGTACATCATATTGTTTTAATCTCTCCGAACACGTACACGCTATAGAGTGGTCGAGAAAAGGGAAAATCAAAGAATTTGGAGTATATATGGTGTTCACAAAAATAAAAAGTAAAATATTTAATTAATGTAAAAATCGAAAAATTCGTGAGCATAAATAATTAAATAAGTGTTGCCTTCTTTTTTTCTTGTATCCAGTTTTCGTCTGAAACTTATTTAATTTATGTTTTGATGTGTAAAGTGAAAAGATATCATCTTACGTGAACTTACGTTCTCTTTAGTTATCTTATCGCGAGCTATAAGGGTAATATAGAGGCCAATGTTTTCTGATTACATATCAGTAATTATTTCATAGAAGTATCATCCACAGTCCACATAATAAGACGCATCGATGTTTTAGGTTAATCGTTACTTACGAACGGTCCCACTTTATGTTTCAAATTCTACATTTCTATGTATCGTAGGTACAACGTTCATACGCATAATACACGTGCATGCATATAGATATTCTTTTATGTTACAAACAGCTTTTTAAAATGTGTGCAATTTTTTCTAATGCTAATCGCAGTTAAAAGGAAACATAGTATTATCGCGGTATATTTTAAAGTTAAACTTCTGAATTCAATGACATGCACACTACATGCGATGCATTCTATATACTCTATATATTCTATATATTCTATATATTATAACTTGACTCATCCATAAAGACGATCCTATCTAAACCAGATACGCCTGTAATATCATTAAATTAAACATTGATACTAACGATAAATCTTGACACAATATGAAAAATGATAACGTTATTCCTGTCACACAAAGTAAATATGTATTGTCATGACAATTTTCTTAGTCTCATATTATCATTTGCTCTACACGCAACTTTGACTCTACTCGGTGGCATTAGTATTTGTCATATATGTATGAAACACGTTTACCGCCAAGTCTTATTCGTCTTTCAAGACTTCGTGCTGAACGACGCGCCTTTACGAAGAAGAGTGTGATCACTATTACGTTATTTTTTTAACAAAAACAATTTATTACGCGTTCGAGAGAGAGAGAGAGAGAGAGAGAGAGAGAGAGAGAGAGAGAGAGAGAGAGAGAGAGAGAGAGAGAGAGGGAAGGGGGAGAGAGAGAGAGAGAGAGAGAGAGAGAGAGAGAGAGAGAGAGAGAGAGAGAGAGAGAGAGAGAGAGAGAGAGAGAGAGAGAGAGAGAGAGAGAGAGAGAGAGAGTGAGGAGGGGGTTGGGAGAGAGGGAAGGAGGAAGAGACAAAAGAGAACGGAAAATTTATTTACAACGCACGTTATAGTTACGCACGCAGCCGATTTTGCATAACATTAGATTTGTACACAGGAATTTTAATGAATTTTTAAGAAAACGATTATAGATCATCGATTACCTTACGAGCGAGTATACATATACACGATTTAATTTTATTTTCTTTTCGACTGGACTATTTTTACGACTGCGGTTTTAATCATCATGTATGCGCTTTTGCGTTTTACTGGCAACTTTACCGAAGCTGAAGGGAAGGATTTCATGAGGAGAATAGGTAAATTCCATTATATTTTTCGTTATCTTAGAGAACACTTCGTAGGTACGCGGTCATCAACGCAGCTCTTCAGATACGCAGGCGTTTCGCGAGCGTACGAAGAGAGACGCGCAGATTGAACTGCAGCGGGAACTTGAAAAACTGCAGGCTACAGCCACCGACGACAAGATGGAGATAATCGACCGGCAGTTCGCTGGATTCAAGCATCTATTCGAGCGATTCCTGCAAGAAGAAGGCCCGTCCTTGGAATGGGATCGCATTCAGAAACTGCCCGAAGATGCAGTAAGTAGTTGAAATTGCTACTGCAAAGATAGAAAACAAGTATTTGTTTTACCTTTTTTTGTTACGTGATTTGAACAATGATTCAATAGATAATTACAATTTACATTATTAACATTATTTATATGATTGTTAAAGACTCAAATTTAATATAAATGTTTTGCAAAATTGTTGAAGTGATACATCCTTGTTAATATCAATATTTTATGACATCGTTTTCTTGTAAAAATATATTTTTTTTTTAATTTTGTAGCTAGATCGTTTATTTTTCCATGACTTTTTTAGTTTTAAAAATATCATTTTCCAATTATCTTTTATGATATATTTACTTTTTTTTAGTTTTTGTGTTCGATTTTAAATGTCGTTAAATATTTTGGGTGCAATAACACTCAAAATACTTAACAAAAATCAACTGTACTCGACCAATCAATTTAAATAATTTATAAATTAAAATAAATATACTTCAAATCTATATATATATATTTATAAAAAGATTAATACATTTTAATTTATAAATTAATTGGATTTTAATGAAAAATACAACTGATTTTTTAGATATTTTTATTTTGTTTCTATACTGAATTGATGTTATATTTCATTTTTTTTACAGGTGAAGGATTACAACTTGTTGCTATCACCAGAAACACAAGAAGTAAAGGCTCTTTTGGATAAATTAGTTGTGGTTAAATTAAATGGTGGTCTTGGAACAAGCATGGGATGTCATGGACCAAAATCAGTTATCGCTGTACGGAATGGACTTACCTTTTTGGATCTGACTGTTCAACAAATTGAGGTATCTCAATAATAAAAATTGTAGTTTAAATATCTTACTTTTTACTCTCGAATGTCCTTTCAAGTTTCACACATTCACAGTCATGTTTCACACATTAGTTTTATATATAACAATTATAAATTTATAATAATATATATATACTATATTTTCTCCCTTTTCGTTTTATGTGTGACAGCATTTGAATAAAACGTACAATGCCAATGTGCCACTTATATTAATGGATTCATTTAACACGGATGACGACACTCAACGCATAATTAGAAAATATAAAGGAATCGATATAGACATTCATACTTTTAATCAAAGTTGTTATCCGCGCATAAATAGGGATTCTTTACTTCCCATCGCCAAACACTGTCAAATCGATGAGGATATAGAAGCGTAAGATTTTCATGGAATTATTACGATTGACTTTTTTTAATAGATTTGCTAAAAAATGATTTATTAAAAATAATATATAATTTATCAATAGTTGGTATCCACCTGGTCACGGAGACTTCTATGAGAGCTTTCAAAATTCTGGTTTACTGAAGAAATTCATTCGAGAGGTATGTAGTGCTCTTGTAAAAAGTAATAATAAAATATTTATGAGAAACTAGAATATGTATATTTTCAGGGACGTGAATATTGTTTCATTTCGAATATAGATAATCTTGGCGCCACAGTGGACATTAAAATCTTGAAATTATTATTAAGTAAAGGACCAGATCCACCCATGGAATTTGTTATGGAAGTAACTGATAAGACGCGAGCGGATGTTAAGGTGTGTTTTATTTGAAATCTAATATTTTCTAATATTTAATATTTCGAAGGAAAAAAGAAAAAGGAACAACGTCAATTATATAATTATACGTTTTATTTTACGGTTACATAGGGCGGTACGCTTATAAAATACGAAGATAAACTTCGTCTTCTTGAAATAGCTCAAGTTCCTAAAGATCACATTGATGACTTCAAATCTGTTAAGACTTTCAAGTTTTTCAACACTAACAATCTCTGGATTAAACTCAGTGGTATGCATTTCAAGGCTTAATTTTGTTAAATAAGTAAGTATTAAAGTTATATATAACGAGCTATTGTTTTTAAACAGCCATCGAGAGAGTACTCGAGAAAAATGCGTTGAATATGGAAATAATTGTGAACAACAAGACCTTTTCAAATGGTCTAAATATAATACAGCTTGAAACAGCTGTAGGAGCTGCTATGAAATCATTTGAAGGAAGTATCGGTAAGTGCCTTGATAAAAGTTATTCTTTTATAAGCTTTTTTCATATTTTAATCAAATGTTTGATTTGGCAGGTATTAATGTGCCACGTAGTAGATTTCTGCCAGTGAAAAAGACTTCTGATTTAATGCTTGTGATGAGTAATTTGTACACTCTGCGTAACGGATCACTCGTAATGAGTTCTCAAAGAATGTTCCCCACAACACCTCTTATTAAGTTGGGAGATAATCATTTTTCAAAAGTAAGTAGAATCTTGGTATTTTTATATTATTTAATGTTTTACTTTAATTTTATTTAATTTTCACGGGATGATAAAAATGTCTTATTAAACCTATTTTCTCCTTTCTTACAGGTAAAAGAATTTTTAACTAGATTCCCGACAATACCAGACCTCCTCGAATTGGATCACTTGACAGTGTCAGGTGATGTTACTTTTGGAAAAGGTGTGACATTGAAAGGCACAGTCATCATAATCGCCAATCACGGAGAACGTATAGACCTTCCCTCTGGAACTGTCTTAGAAAATAAAATCGTTTCGGGAAATTTGCGCATATTAGATCATTAAGTTGTAGGAGAAGAAACGGGAGCATAGTGTCTTAATGTTTGTCTTACAGATTTTGCCTAAATATCTGAGAGAACAGGGCTTTGAACGACCCTATCCTACTTTAAATTAACTAGTCAAATAATTCTATTGTAAATATGGATAGTATATTTTAATGGAGGTTTCGGTGATATATTTATCTATAAAAATTATTTTACTGAAAATTGTATATAAAGAATTATGCGTATTCGCAAGATGTCAAGATATATAAAAAAAATTTATTGTACGGAAGATATATACGTGTTATATATTATAGCAATTGAAGGTAACTGAGTATATTGTATTATATTATAAATAAATACTTTCGAATTTTGTAAGATACGTCATATAGTGAATAGTAATAGTTATTTTACCATCTGTGGGTGCATACTGTTGGTCGTTTTTGGGTGAGGTGAATGTACCGTCTGAGTATTGTATAGAAAGTTTCGGAACTCCAAACTACAGAAATTCCCTATAGTATAGCCAATCGACATGGCGGAAAATGCTGATATTACCGACTGCTATCCAATGGTTATTCGATTATTCGTTAGTAGTCTAGCACAAAACGTCATCTAATGACACATGATGAACTTTATCATGGTCGCGGACGTGACCGACCGCTCATGATTGCGGCTGGCTCATCAGTAGTGCTTCATGGGAGAACTGCGAACGAATTGGTAGAAAAGGAAAATGTTTCGATTAAGTATGTGACCGAAAATATATTCGTCGTGTATACGAAGTGACGTTTTCCTATATATGTGGTTCCGAGCAATAATTCGCAGGTAAATCAAAATTCTCCTGGCACGAAAACTACGAAGGAACGAAAAAGAACGAACGAATGGTGCGAGCGTCTTGGAGTGAAGCGCGAGAAACGTAACCGCGAATTTGTCTCGATTTCCATTTGCCGTTGCAGGCGCGTCCGATGAATGTGTGATACTCAGCGATTAATTAGTGCGTCTAATCTCATTCGTAGACGTTGCTGAAATACACATGAATCAATCGATGTAATTTCGACGATATCGAAGCTGCATCTTACGTAGTTAATCTTTCGTATAATTGCGCCGCACACACATTATCTTAAGATTTAATTGCATTAGCGCACCCGTCTTTTGGAATCTCTTGATATCTCAGTTTAAGATTTTACTTAATAGTTATTATATTGATATAAAATATAATATACAGATTTAATTTGTAATATTTATGTGGAATTAGAGTACTTCAAAAAATATGCTTGTGCAATTGATTCTCCTGTAGGATAGATTACAAGATATATATATATATATAAATGTAAAATACTATTAATTTTATTATTAATTTTATGTTACTATGACATTTATAATCTGTTTAGTAGTTGCAAAGACGGCTCACTAAATGGGGAAGGTTAAGAAGAAACCCGAATTGCTCCACTGCAGCAAGTCGCGCAATGTATTACGTAACTTAATGCTAAGAGATCTTGGATTACGTACGACGCATAAAACTAGTACACGTGAATTAGAACCAATAGCTGAAACAAACCTGGTATTAAAGGACCATAAGGAATTGGTATGTATTCATATACATGTTTCAGAAATAGGTGGCCAAACTTTAAGAGCATATTCTACTTAGTGTAAGAATGAAAAGAAGATCATGTAAATATGGGTCTAGAAATACTTTTTACAAATACTTTTACAGATACTTTTATTAAGTATATTTCTAGCACATTTCAGTCACATTGTTCGAAAGTTTTGGAATAATAATTATATCAATAGATGAATTGGCAAAGGAAGAGCCATTCCTTAGTCTGCATCATTTCTAGAGTTGAAATTCTTGGATTTTTATTTGCGGGGATATCTTAAGACTCTTGTTTATGAGATTCTCATTGCTACTATAGAAGTATTTTGAAATCATATTATTACTGTACTGTATACTGTCCCAAAATATAAAATATTTTGGAAACTTTTGAATATCAATGCAAGGCATATATTGATGCAGGAAGAAATCATTTCCAACAATTTTTAATGAAATATTCTTATTATAGTCTGTTATAAATAAAAAGTGTTTGTAACTCAGAAAGGAAGTGTTTCTGGGCCCATCTTTATATGACTTTTTTCATCTTTGCAATGAGTAGAATATGCTCTTAAAGTTTAGTCATCTATCTCTAAAACATTCTGTATAATAATAAATATATAATGTAAATATATAATATATTTAAGTTTATGTACACAACTTAAATTTATTCTCTAGTTTTACCAACATAAAACAGTTTAACTTATAATAATAAGAGAAAAAAGATCTAGGTCTATATACTTTTGCTTGTAATATCTATAATGATTAAAAAGCAAATAAAATACTTTTTATTTGTAGAAATGCGAGTTACCTGGTGTTCCTAGAGCCACATTCTTAATGGTTTTTAGTCCTGATGGGTAAGATATAAAATATGCATATGCATGATTGATTGTTCTTTATATGTAATAATGTGATATGGTAAATTGGTTTGTAAATTAATATTGTTGGAAATAATCAGAATTTTAAAATACGAATAATTTTAGGACCAAGGTAGCATCCACCCATGGAAATCATAATGTTTATATTACTGAAATTACAACAGGAAAAAATATTAGAACTCTGTCTGGACATCCACGTACTCCATGGTGCATAGCTTTTCATCCATCTTCCAGTCAAATCTTAGCATCTGGTTGCTTAGGAGGTCAAGTTCGTGTATGGGATTTAAGTGTAAGTACATGATGCTTGCAAATATATTTTGATAATAAATAATTACAGATATTCAAGGATTAATAATAATTCTGTTTATATAGGGTGGTAGTGAAATCTGGAATGCTGAAAGTCAAACTGTTATAGCTTCATTAGCATTTCATCCATCAGAAAGGTTATTGGTCATAGCAACATATAATGAAATTCATTTTTGGGACTGGAGCAAATCTCAACCCTTTGCCGTGGCTACTACAAAGACTGAGAAGGAAAAAGTGAGGTATGTCTGTATATATTATACACATATATATATATATATATATATATATATATATCCAGACTTGGACAGCTATATAGCACTTACATAAGTTACATCTTATTTTGGCAAAAATATCATTATGTAGATCATGGACATGTAAATATGTTTTATGAATTTCTTTGGCTTATATTCTTGATAAATATAATAGTTATCAAATATTGTAATGAACACTTATATTCACTCATATTTCTTTTTATGTATTTTGACAATGGTAATACAAAGAGACTGTAAATAGAGTAAGATTTTATGTATCTCAGTCATTATACTTTTGATTTTTTAAGAAAATATTTTTTTTACCGAATGATATAATAGGTCAGAATATTTCGTTCTTGACGATCGTTCATAATAACTATATAACTCCTTTTTTTATTTTTATTTTTCTGAATTGTTTCTCATTCAAAAAGTTAAGATAGACGATGTAAAAGAACGTATTGAAAAAGATATAAAAAAGTAATTTTTTTGCTATGTATCAATAGATATTGGAGACATATTATACTTTTATTCCATATCATTTTATAAAAATTGCAGATACGTGGCTTTTGATAATTTAGGAAGAAAATTGATCACAGGAATTGCAAATACACCTCAAGTCCAATCACAATGGGACCGTGCTCCTGTGGGACAATTACTCAGAACTAGTTTATTGTAAGAACATTATGCGATATATGCATTATGTAAAAATATGAAAATAAATTTAACATTATTTTTCTGCTTTCTGATAATATCTATACACACATGTGTTACTATATAATTATAATTTATTAATGTTGTGTGTAACAGTAATTGCTAAAAATTTAGGAATTTAAGATATCCGCGAGGAGGTTTCCCGGATATCGAACTTTCGCCTTGGCATTTGTGGAATCATGGCTCCATGTACGGAAGAGGACCAGCGGACAATTACGCAGAAAGGACTTCCCGGTACTCAAATTATTGATATTAATTATTACTTTGTTATTTTATTTAAGCTGCATGATACAAAAATCAAAATATATATCTATAGATAGAGAAAGAGTTTGCAAAATTTGAACAGAAATATTTTTAGTGCGTACTTATTCATGCGTAGAGGCCTTGAAATGTCCCGAATGCGATTCAACAATAACCAGGAATTAAGGAACAGTCTGAGGCAGGAAGAGGCACGGTTTCCACGGCGACGAAATTTATCTGAAGGTACAATGTTTGTACTACGAACACATAATATCAATGCTGCTACGTATTCCAGATATAAGTTAGTGCATCAATTTAAAGACGACACCGTTATATTATCGCATAATGCTTAATCTATAAGTACATCATTCGGTACTCTAACAATCGAGATTCTTCGTAATAGTTTTATGCCTTACGATGTAGAACTGAATCAAACTAGGGAAGCTACATCTCGCCCGAATATCGCGAGAAATTTTCACATGCCCAGCATCAATCCGGAAAATATGGACAATACAGAGAACAGGTCGGCGGACGACAGTAATGACGACGAGGCATCGGCCGGATTGACGGTGAGGCACGAACGAGAAGTTAACGCGATCAACGATGAGATGCAATCCAGGCGTTCTCATCCCAGAGACGATTTGTACGAACGTTTGAACAATGCGTGGGTCGGAGTGGACGAAAGATTGCAGGGGAGCAACTCGCAGGATCCAGAAAGAAGAATAAATCTATGTTATAGGAACCTTGTCGATCAGTATGTGACGCTCGTGAGACGTTACTTCGATGTATCCAACAGAAACAGGGATACGGTAAGCTCTACGTTCTATTTTGACCTAATGACTGACTCACACGAGTTCTTCCTTTTCTCGTTGGTATGTGGTAAACGATTTTCTACTGCTTTTGTATTTAAAGATTGATCGCGGCACAGATCCCATGGATATACCAGAAACATCGTCCGCCAATCCCGAGGAGTCCAGCAGTAGAAATGAAACTGCGACCGAGTCGTCTATACGAAGATTAAGGAACGAACTGAATTCCAGTGCTCAAGCGAACAACACGAATTTAGAGAGGCTGCAACGGTGTCGACGGCTGTTAATGGAGCGCTTCGAGCAAGAGGAGATCGGAACTACTCTTCAGAATTTGAGAGAGGCACTAAACGCCGCTGCCGAGAATAATAGCTCCTGCTTGGTGCGATTGCAGAAGTTACGGGAGAGACTGCAGAGGCAGACTACTACGTTATTCGATCATTCATACAACTGCAATTCCCGTCTGCAGCTGCTTCGCAACGCTTTGAATGACGAGATCGAAGCACTCAACAATATGGAGGTACAGTTCACTAACACGAGCTCCAGAATCGAGCGGTTACGTGATGAGTTCACAATGTATGGTATTTTACCGCGAAATCGTCATATTGCGACCGATCCTTCGCAACTGAATCTAAGCGAGGCCGAGTGGCGGGCGCTTGTTGCGAACGACGAGCCATTACCTAGCACCAGTTCCGGCTTGACGGGAAACACGTTGCACTCGATGCTGCCCTCGGGAGCACGTAATGACTTACATCTGGAATCCGATGTATTCCCCAGCTCGAGCTCAGGCGGCAACGAAGCTAGAAGAAACGAAGAACGTGACGTGCACGCGGACGGCGGCAATGAGCATGCGAGCACGTCGTCGAGGAGTAACAGAAATCAAAATGCTGGAAGGGCTACGAGAAGACGTTTCGACGCTACGGACACTGAAGATGAACCTCCCAGCAGGCGGAAGCGTAAATTGGGACCGTCGATATCGTTACCTTACATTGGTAAACATATTGCTCACTCTAATAGAAATGTGTGATGAATGTCGATAGTTTTAAATGTATCAGATATATCACAAGAAGTTGATTGTGATGTTATATATAGTCAATAAATACTGCGTGATAAATCTTCTCTCACAACTGTGCTGATTAGGTTTCTTTATTATTCCAGGAGATAGTTCATCGTCTAGCGACGAAGGCTACTTGGGCTCGACGTCGCGCAACGGCCCGTCTAACTTCACGGTTTCTACTCATTCAGCATTTCAACCGAATGTACCTAAACTAGTCCCGCAGTTGAGGCCGCAGAATCAAGAAACGTCAGCTGGTTCCTCTAGATTAAATGATGAACAAATGGATAGGAATGATTTGTCCGACAATACGACGAATAACGAATCGAACGAAAGAAACGCTGAAATTAGAGCGATGAGGATTATACAACAATGTAATCGTACACAAAGGTAAATATCTCGCTTCATTAGCGGATCGGAGTATATTCGTTGAGTCTCGAATTTTGCCTGAAGCACATTTCTCTCCCTTCTCTTTCTTCTTTAACATTACGTACATTCTGCGTAACGTTACGTTTCATCGTGTCTCTCTCTCGGGGAGAATCAATCGCAATCAATCTGTAACATATGTATGAAATTTTTAACATTTAGAAATTTACCTCTACTCAGGAGAGTGCTGGATGTTCTTCAGCGGCATTTACATGCGGATCGGATGGAGAGCAATAACACTGTCCAACAAGTTTCACTGGACGATTCAGAGAACGGATATTGGCTTCTCGAAGAGAATAGTAATTCGGATTCCAATCTGGATGATTCAAACTCTAACACCAATTCGAATCCTCGTCGATGGACCAGTCGTTGGATACAGCTAGACACTTCGAGTAGAAATACGGAGTACACTAACGAATTGTCGAACGAGCAAGCTGAAGCGAGATCTCTCTCAGAGGACGTAGCAGATCAGAGTTCTAATGATAGACACAGAGATCAGAGTCAAACCATGATGCGCGATAGGAATCGATTGTCGCCTGTGTCTCTAAACCCTTCTCGCTATGAACAACCACCGTTGTTTCCTTTTAGAAGCTTACGAGAAAATCAGTCCCGAAGAGTAGATCAGAATCAGACACGTACTAACGACTCAACTCATGGTACTTCGTTTCAGTCGCAAACGTCCGATTCAAACACGACGGGTGTGTTCACGAATTTAACGGAAGGTGTTGTTAACGACCCTGCAGCGATGAGAACCGCCGACAGGGCTAATCGCGAGAGCGGTAGCAGTTTCGCGAGCAGCAGTAGCAGCAGCAGCAGGCAGCAACAGCAAAGTCAGAGCCAGAGCCAGAACCAGAGAAATGCAGACGAGGCGGATCTCGATCTCAGAATGCTCGGTATTGGCAATGTAGAACCGAGAGAAGGTTCCTTGGGAGTTCGACAGGGGATTCAGTTACTTAATCGCCATATCGATAATATGCAACGCTTATGCCGGTAAGTTGACGCGACTTATTGTACTCAACCATGTGTTTTTATTTTTTATTTTTTTTTTCCTCAAGAGTGACATTCTTTTGGTTTATAAACAGGGCTCGGTTGGAGATAGTTCAGTTGTGCCAAGTGCGTAAAATGTGGGAGGACTTGCAACGGCAAATACGTTCGTTACATGTGACAGTTCGCGTGGAGCGACTGAACAACAACGATCAAACGGGAGCGCAAAGGGATGCTGCTAATCTCGCCAGCAATCCCACCAGTGCGTCATCAACGGCGACTTCGTCGACGAGCTCGTCCACGGTCGCGAATTCGCAAAGCGAATCGGCGAAGAACTACAAAAAGGCTCTGCTGGAGAATTATCAGAGGCAGAATAGCGAGAACGATCACGCTAGAACGTACGATCATAGTCAGCCGTCGACGTCACGGGGCATTACCGAGAGAAATCACGAGGACGAACCAACACCGTCATCCAGTGGCTATAACGTCGAGGAAACCTCCACCAACATCAGTCTGTCGAACTTGTTGCCAAGTGACTCGGAGTTGCGGCAAATGCTGTCCCACAATCTGAAGGAAATGCTGGACGGCTGGTATTCACGCTTGACGTCGCGCTGCCAGAACTGTACTTCTTCTTCCGATACTAATAACACGCAGCAGTACGCGACAAACGATCACACGTATTCCAACTTAGCGACGACCAGCAGCAGAGACGCACAGTTACCCAGTATGTCTAGTATCGTGTCGAATATCGGTGCTAATTCGAATTTGCCTACGGTGACCGCGTTAACGTCGCAGTTGAGCCCGTTGCCGAGTATCTCGAACTTCAACGTCAACAACAATATCGAGCATAATGGCGGTTCCGAGAGATCCACGCAGATATCGCACGCAAATGTCGATCTTCCAACGGATAATACGAGCAACAACGACAACAACAATGGTGGCAACGACAACGCGACTAACGTCAACTCCGATCTCGTTACGCAATATCCAGCGAACCAGAGCAGCAACTTAACCTCCTCCACATCGTCGCCTGAATCGTCCTCCATTAGCAGCAGAGCGCGAAGCAGACGATACCAGAACCTGCGGCAGAACTTCCGGCAAAACTTGCGGCAAAGAATGAAACTCCGGTACTCGCGTTTTTTTTTTTTTTTTTTAAAGAAACAACTCTATACATTTTAATGGTAGAATAATTGAAAAGGTTACACAATGAACACGGTAAACTTTTATGATTATGTCCAAAATTTACAATGATTCAACAATGAGAGCCCTAAGCGACAGTATTGTCAAGTTACAAATTTCGGTTACAAGTTTCATCGGATTCTTTTTTTTCTCTCAACAACACTATACTACCGTTGTCGCTCTAAATTAACCATGGTCTCACATTTCAGATTTCTGAGATCGTGGTTGATGAGATCGCGTAATACGAAGCAAAGTCGCATCGGGCCTCAGTCCCCCAACAATCCGTTCCGTCATTGTGAGAACGTTAGAAGACCGTGGCACTTACGCAGGAACGCACCCGGCAGCAGCAGCAGCAGCAACAATAGCGACCGGGACAGAAGACAGACTACATCCGAGTCTCTGCAAAAGATTGCGGAAGACCTACTACGACTGCAATCTCTAGTCCGCCAGCAAAGAGCCTTAACCCGAAGCGGTAACGTCAATAGAGGGTCCGACAGTGACAGTCAATCAGAAAATCGCGACAACGAGAATCAGGAGATGGAACAGATACGCGAAACTACGAGATTGAGAGCCAGGTGAGAGTAAAAACATGCGGAAGATATAGAAGAATAATTAATCGATAAACTGTTCGATAATAATACGTTAATATCGATCGACGACATCACTTTAGGCAAGTCCTCGGTCTGATGGTGAGATCTCTGATCCAGTTTTTCGAAGTGACGAGGTCGGGAAATGGTTCTCAAAGCAATGTCCTGTACGAACAGATGTACAGTAAGTCTGTCAGGCTGTTGATTAAGCAAAATGTGTATCACACGTAATAATAAACACTATTGTTAATCTACGTTTCTTCTTACTCTCTTTTTTTTTCTTTCTCTTTCAGAAATGTACGTGCTACTACACTTGGCGTTAGAATTAACGGATTTACTATTAGCGCAGTTGGTAATAACAAGACGAGAATTGGAATCTAGTCAGTACGGCCCATTTACTTCCGATCTGTCGGCCGATAATCAGAATAGGGGCGAAAACAACACACGTTCCAACAGCAGCATTGACAACAGTCTGCAGACGGAAGGTAACCGCACGAGCGATAATGCGCAAAGCAGAACAATGCGCAATATAGAGCACGACAGGTTCTCGAGAAGTAGTCGCAGCAGCGATGTACCAAGTACGTCCGCGGGTGTCTACCGGGAAAATGCGGAAGATCTTTTGGCGCCGGGAAACAGACAATATCCTATGGCAGAGCAACTAAAGCGGCTATTTTATACTCCGCGGCACGCACGAGTCGGCATGCACTCGGGAAATAGTTCGTCGATCGAGAATCAAGGCTCCAACACGACTAGATCTAGCAACAACGGCAGCAGCGACGATAACAATCCTACCGGCAACAGCACTCGCGTTGAAGATAATCGACAGTCGACCTCGAACAGCGGTCTTACACTGTCGGAGAACGCGCTGTCGGCGGAGGTGCAGAGTATCGTGGAGAGAATTCAAAATAGCAGCAGCTCGATTAATAACGACGATCGCGGGGAGACACGCACGATCGCTGAGAATCGAGGAACGAACGATGTCTCTAGAGATAATCCGAATCGCGAATCGCATCCGCGTAACGAGAGCGAGTCGGTGGCACGAACGAGGGACTATCGACGAAGTCGTAGGAATGCCGTGGTGCTTGATCCACCGAGGCGCGTCAGTGAGCCGAATAACTCACAGGAGAATGAGACCGCTCAAGTCCCTAGCACATCGTACTGGCCGAACTTCGCTGTAGGCGTACAAGGTAGCAGGCCGTTGCATCAATTACTCAGACCTCAGAGACCTTATCAGCCTTATCAGCCTTTTCAGAGTTTTCCGCTGACGCGCGTTGCATTGCCGCCACGCGACTCTTTGTACAGATATCCCTTGCTTCAAAGAGATGGCAATATCGACTTCGTCCCAGGCACAATGTCCTCGGACAATGTCTGCTCATGGCGCAGATTCCTTCACAGGGAGGGCACGTCTTCTCTCCGACAGGAATTTAATGTGCCGGAGCTGCAAGTCAACAGCATACCCGTGAGCGACTTGAACAACTTTCCTCACAATCTTCGTAGAAGACGGATCTCGCCACCGGATCCCGATACCCATCCGCTTTCGTATAGTATGGTGCAGAGGTTGCTCAGTTTCGGCGTCGATAACAGAAATAACGATCGAACGAATGATCTGGCGAATCAACCCGGACCAAGCTCTGCGATACCAAGCAACAATAGAAATCGGGTATAATATATATGTATATATATATTCCTAATCGAGTACGTACCAAGACAATATATAATGTCAATTATTGTCGTATCAGATGTTCAGCCCGACGTTTCTGGCGGTCTGGCGATCGAGTGGAGTACGAGTCGGTGCCAGTTCCGGTGGCGGTGGTGACGATGGAAACGGTGGCGGAAATGGAAACGGAGGTGGAGGCGGTGGAGGTGGCGCCGGCAGTGGCGGAGGTGGAGGTGGTGGCAATGGCAATGGCAATGGTGGTGGTGGTGGTGGTGGTGGAAACGGCGGTGGAGGAGGACAAGATCCAGGGAATGATGATAGCGACGATATCGATTTCGGTAAACGCATTCCTTTCTTTTTTTTAATCTTAAAATACACATCATTGCGATGGTATATACTTTTGAATCTCTACAATTACTAATCACTTCACACATGTGTGAAAAAGAAGATTTATAAATCAAGTTGTTTTCCAGATCATATACCAGTGAGTATGTTCAATACGTTGGAGATGCAGAGTTATCGCGTTCAGGCGTGGGATTTCACTAACGGTGACATTCCCGATATTACGGATCGTGAGTACAGACCGTGCGTGGAACATTGCCTCAAATATGAATCCTTATTGCTACAACGTTTCTCTTCGATTCGTTTACATTGTCGTATTAATATCATTCCGTTCACAGCGGAGAAGAACGTAGTGGTGCGCGAATGCAAGATTCACAACGACGCTAGCATCGATATATCTTCAGACGGGAAACTATTGGCGACACTCTTACCGTCCGGTCGTATCAACGTTACGACTATGTTAGGTAAGTGAGACATATATTGCGATCCACACTGTCGTCTGATCGGTATATTTTTATATTATTCATTTTGTGATCTAGGTGTTTACAGTTTACAATGGGAAACACTCGGGGAGAGAATTTACTCGACAAAGATCGACCAGACTGTGGTGTCTGTTTCGATGTCACCTACGCAACAGCATCTTCTGGTAGGTTTGGCACGTAGGATTCACGTTCCCGCCAGACCTTTCCCGATGGCATTGATCTATAAACTGATCGAGAAGCAGCCCGAGGACGAGAAACAGGTTCCGTTGGAGTCGAATGATTCGAGAAGTTACAAGGTGTACGATCGCGTTGATGGTTATCATAGGACAGATGAGCTCGCGCACAATATAGCTAACACCGCTACGAACAATACAGCGAGGCAGAACGTCGTTAATTCAACGGATAGACCGCATGTTCAAGATTGGCGAATTCGTAATATGAGAACCGAGCTGGATATTAAGAGCAACCGAGAGAGTATGGTGCTTATTAGGGAATTGTTGCAAAGTAGTCGAGAGACTACTGGCTATGTTAGTTTGAACTGCATTAGATGGGTACCACAGCCGGGTCAGGGAATGGTTTATGCTACGAACACCGGACAATTGAATATTCTGCAGTGATGTGATGCAGTTTGTAATAACGAGACGGAGGAAGTAAACGTTCTCTTCGTATTATAACGAATGCTTATAATGAATGTATCATACGCATAAGATATATATTACGCAATATTGAAGTTTGTTGCGAGATTAGTTAAAATAGAATCATAAGAACGAACTACGCGCGTGGTATATATTGTTAATGACGTTTTTATCACAGTCTATATCAAATCTCGACGTGACGGTGATAAGTACAGCCCGAGACTTTGAACGAGACTGCTATTTGTATTTTATCGTTTCTTTTCTTTCCTCCACAGATGTTATCCTCTATTTTTGTTCTGCGAGGCGAATGTAAAAATGCAAGATGTATAGGTACGATAATATACGTTCAATTAATATATATAGATATATATGTATATATATATATATATGTGTGTATATATAATTATGTATATATATATATCATATATGATAATTATATATATACACACAGACACACACACACACACACATATATATATATATATATATATAGATATATATATAATTGTATAGTTTATACGATTTTTCTATTCCTTTAATTTTTAAAGCTACTTCACATTGTGTGTCTCTATTAGACTGATCTTGAAATATATGATCTGACTAACTCTCTGCTTTCAGAAAGTTTCTGTTATATGCTGTGTAATAGAAAATTGGAAATGGGTCGCTTACTATACACTATCAATATGTATTGACCGATCGATGAATGCTACAATACCATTAAATAAAATCATTCAGGAGGTATTTCACACTTTTTATTATCTCAATCATAAAAGAAGATACGGGAGAAGCAATTTGTCGTGCCATATAAATCTCGCTTTGTACCACCTTTCTAGACGATTTTTATACTTACCAAATTTTACTATTTTCAAAATATATGTGTGTAAAATAATTTCGGGACACAAAAGTAACATATGTCCACTTTAGTTTCTATATTGCGAAAGACAGAATGTTTATTAAAATTGCAGGTATACTAGTTTAATACGTCTATATTAAAAGTTTTGGCATAGGAGATACAAATGCAAATATACATGTCGATTGAATAAATGATTTCAGGCACAATTTTATTTTTATAAGAAATTGCGTGTTTCTTAGAAATTTGGCGGTTCGAAGAGACAAGAGTGGCTCCGCTTGTGTATACAATGTCAGAGTTCGTTACAACTTGTTGTATACATAGTCGAGTACTCGTAATGTGTTTCTTTCTCTGTGTATAATCATTATCAATAATAATTTCTTCTGCAGAAAAGCTCACGTTTTATACATTCTTACCGTTGTATGTACGCCCATATATCACTCTTTACGCACCGTGCAACCTTTCACTTCGAGTTGATGATACAGCGTTAAAATCGAAATATTAAAAGTACTAATATTTTTACATATCCGAGAGAACGCACTTTGCATGCAACAGTTACGTGAAAGCGCTGTGTTTAAGCGGCAGCGTCAATTTATAAACGTAAATCGTACAGATCACTACGATTAAAAATCATTTTGCTCTTGGCTAAACAGGGAGAGAATGCAGCCGAGTATCAATTTCACCAGTTTTACAATATATCCGTAACAACCAGACGGTAAAATTACTCACAGCAAAATTAGACGGGTACGTTTTCCGCAGGTCGTATATATGTAAAACGATCATTAATGTATCGGTATATATAGCTATTTATCACAAATTCATATTATAAAAGCATCGGTCACAATATGTATTAACATAGTGCTTATTATACGAAGTAAAGAATCGCAGGATCCTATACAGACACTAGGATGGAAGACTTAAAGGCGGCACCACCAAGGTATCGCCTTCAAGCGTAAAATGTTCTGCCGTTCGAGCAACTAGTAACAGAGCGGTACGATTTATGATACACGTTTACGAATCTTATACGAGCTCGGCAATTTATTTACAGGACGCAATAAGACTCGAAGATTGTCTTTATAATGAATCTCTATTTTATAAAAATAGTCATGCGCGAGAGAATTTGTAAGATTTATGTCTCGTCGGGAAATCAGAACGCGAAACGAACAAAGATCGTGCTGCGGAGCACACGTATTCTTTTTTGCAGTTACACAGTTTATACAATGTAAAATTCGTTCTTCTTTTTCGTCTTCTCACGACATTTTGGCATCGCACAGTGTATGTTCGCTCGATCGAGTCGTGTCGGACGCGCTTCCGCGGACGTAGTGCGTCATGCATGCGTGGGGCTATCTAATCCTCGTAATACACGTAAAAATAGATTTTTATAAATCGGTTGGCTGAAAGAAATTTTATAATCTGGACAGAAATGTTGCAGATATGTTACACTACGCTTACATACCATCCAGTACCACTATACATCGCATCGAAAATCGGGAACGTACGTCATTTGTATCCTTTCTTTCGTCGCATATGTTGGACTCGACAGTCGCTGTATTGTAAATCCCAGTTTCAACAATACTTCGACTCTCGCGACTATAATAAAATATAAAAATAATAATGAATTGTAAATCGTTTCGTAACGGCCATTCCGCGAGAGAATTCAACGGAATTTCGTATTACACTTTATAATCCTTAACGGATATATATATTTATGTATAACCAGTCCGTACGCGAGATAAAGACTATCTTATATTTAAATTTCTAAACTGGTAGGTACAAAATATGAAATTATCGTACACAAGTCAGTTAGTGGCGTATGATACACGATTAATAGTACATTAATGATATTAATTTGACCTTGGTCATACGTGTAAAAATGTAAGTATAATACAATCTCTAGGTATCTTTTTTTCTCTTTTTCTTTTAGCGAGTGCACTTCTCAATGATCTCTTTGGAAGATTCAATTATGCTGTTTATGCAACAAATATCTCGATCACGTATAATTCTCAGACTATTAAATTAAATATTAAATATTCATGTTTAATTCGTGTTTAAACGATTCACGCGCGTATACAAAGCATTTAAATTTAGACTTTCTTGCAGCGATGTTACGGCCATGTATAATTACATCTTGATATTGTATACATTATATCTTAATAAATGTATTCATATAAAGTATCTAAAACACTAATGCGTATTGCAATATCTGTGAAAAGAAGCAAAAACGAATAAACAAGAGGACGTGATATCAAGAGTTGGCTTTTTTTGAATAATTCCAATGTACAGTATATATATATATATGTGTGTGCGTGTGTGTGTGTGTGTGTGTGTGTGTGTGTGTAATCTGCAATTAAATATAACATTCGATTATCAACAAACTGAACATTTAAGTTTTACAATAAAGATGCAATCCTGATATTATGGCTTATCTTTAATCTTGCGCATTATCTAGTTATAAATTTATGGAAGTAGCGCCATATAAAAGCAATCGTTCAGATTAATTTATCATGCCTTTCATTCCTAACAAGCTATAAAGGCTGATTTGCTAATGTTTACACTACCATATACTTATTATATTATATGTAAATGGTGTTCTTGCTATGTATGTACTATTATCCAAAATACACGAATCGTCAATTGAAATACGATGCTCCAAATTAATCGAGTACTGCGCGCAGCAACGCGAACTTCTCACATGAAAATTCATGAATTCCATTTGACATTTGATTGAAGGTGACTTTAAAGTAATTTTAATGCGGCTTTTCACGCTGAGCAACGAAAGTAAATGAAGTAATGTAAATGAAACAATGTGTACTTACATTATATTATTGTATATATATATAAATCCGTAACAATTTTATACCTTTATCTTTCACAATAAATATAATAGTAAGACACACAAATATAAGCAATATATTGATATACTTGAAATAATTTAAATATATCAAGATATACATACATACATACACACATGTGTGTATATATTATATATATATATATATGTATATATATATATATACACACACACACACACATATATGCATTATACCTTCGCTTTGCAAATTTTTAATTGGAGTATCTTGTAGTAAGTTACGTATATGTTATGACGAATAACGATAATTTTATTCGAAGCATGCTGCATATTTTCGCTTGTTTAGAATGTTATTAGTAAATCAGCCGTAACTTTGATTCTTAATAGATTCAGTCAATATATAAAATGCTTTGGATAATGAATAGTTGACTAATATATATCACAAGTTATTTTCTCTTTCATATAAGAGGACAATACACAGATAATGCTAAGGGACTAAAACTTTTTTTCTTCGATAATATACTTCATTCGTATGTTTTATAATTATATTCGCATCGTAAGGTCCCGGACTGACAGAATCTTTCATATGTAAGCTATAGAGATATATTAATACTGCTTGACCGATAAGATTAATACATCTCGAGTTTTATGTAATTAGTGTAACACACGTTTAATCAAACTATTAGAAATTTTTTTAATTGAAAAGGGAATTTAATTTGGAATTTTCTCCTGTTAGAGCGTATATATTCTTTACTTTCTTAACGCGGATAATGAGAGTGAGTGATTCACTGAAAAGTGACAACAAATCGATATAATATCTACAGGTATAATTACCTGTTATGATTTTAGCGTAAATTTAAGTCAGTTGTAAACCAAATCGGTGGTAGAAGGTTCTTCGTTATGGTACAACTTAGCAATACACCACGTAGTATATGTAATGTTTTTAACATCTAGCTCGGACAATATGTAAAACAGCGGTCCTAAGATGACTCTATTATTTGTGTGATGTATATAATACATCGAATATCAATCCATATTAATTAAATAGAGGCGCAACGTAAGTGTTTGGCAATCCAAACAATTCCTTTTTAAGGAAAGAGATTAAAAATTATTCGGTAATAATGATGTTTTTACGCGAAAGTCCACGTGTACTTCCATTTAAAATATGAATAGTAATCATACATTTGCCTATACAGGGTGTTTAAAAAAAAAGTTGTAGACACTGAGAACAGGTATGAACACCCTTGTATATGCTTATATCCGTAGATGTTTAAGATAAAATAGCGATGCTACGTCTAGGTCCGCCTATGCATACATTGTCTAAACTGGACCATTTTTTAACACCAGTACGTAGAGCTACGGCTGTAACTTTATCCTCGTAGACTCTGGACATAGCTTCTAATTTCTGCGCCTTTTCTTTACTAAGAGGTTCACTAGGGAATGTTAATTCGTTTGCTTCCGCAAGTGTACGAAGATCGAAGTAATATTTGGCATATACACTCGAAGGAACATTTATGTTGAATTGCAACATTTCCAAAAATTGTCTCTCCAATTCGTTCCTGTATAACAATCAGACAGAAGTGGGTTCAATACGTGCGTAATTTCTTGTATCATCTTTAAAAGAATATATTAAGTGAAATAATGTGTCAAAATAATTAAAATCAGGAGCTTACATGTCTTCTACAGTGATGTCTTTCAGTATTTGACAATAATCTACGTTCCACACTGCCTGATCATCCCAGACTTTAGATGCCAATAAAATAGCTCCTAATACTATCCGTTTCCAGTTAGCTGGTGTTATATCTATTTCTGCATAAGTAAGTAGGCGTTCTAAGTAAACCAATGTTATAATGGCACATTCAGCTGTCAGCTGAGCGGCATTAAACAAAGTTCTCACAAATTTATAGATTTGTTTGTGCTCTGGATTATGTTTGTCATAATCATCTGAAACACCATCTCTCTGAAAAAGAAACATTAATGATATAGAAAAACCCGTTTTACTGAGAAAATTATGTGTATACCTTTGCACCCATAAATTATATTACATAAATAAAATGAATAAAATATAGAAATAAAGATAAAATCAAAATTAACTATCATATGCAAATAATATGTACATTTTTCTTCTCAAATTACCGTTAATGGATGGAGTTTCTCGTCAAATATATCAATCTGTCGCTGCGAAGTTCTATTCTTAATATGGTAATAAACAGCTAAGGCAACGCATTTGACGGTATTTTTTAAATTAGGTTGTGAGACTGTGCTGTCATCTAGATATATTGTACTGCAGCTACTACTTTTCTTTAAAGGCCTTGTATCCGCTATCTGATGTTGACTCTTTTTCCTCACCATGCCATCTAAAACAAGGTTAAATCAGATACCTTGCTCCAAATCTGTTTCCTCTGTAATTAGTGCGACACTTACTCTCTATGGCTTGCTTTGACCGTTCCATAAAAATAGTTCCTGCGCAAGGATGCAACGACGGATCTGAGTCCCAGTCTTCTGGCTCACGTTCACTGATATGTTGCAAATTATTAATGCTAATTCCACCTTCAGGCAAATGTTCCTCCAGGTTGCGAGTAGTACCTTCGGAGCCTGGTTCCTTGCGTCCACTTTGTGGACTAGAGTAGACACAGCAACTATTTTTGTTCCCCATGTTTCCATGTAAATTCTACTACCAGCCAATGCTCGCTCTATCGCGCTTCGCGTTACGTTTACGTTTAGTCTTAATGTATGCGGAGGAATCAGGCCGCGACAATCGAATCTGTAATGTATGATTGTACGATTGTGGCTCGACGATGGGGATACCTGCTGCTCACATTTCGTTGTTTAATAATGATCAGCTGACAGGGCCGTTTGTACGATTGACGTGATAGGTTCCGCACGTCTGGTTCATGTCGGCGATGCTCGCCGTGCTCGCACACGTTGTAGGTAGCCTGCGAGAGACTTGGTGTGAGAAGGCCTCGTGCGATTACAACGTTTCTTCCCCTGAGTTTCTTGCCACGAAGAAGAACACTCTGTCGGATCGTGTGCTGTAAAATATTTATTCTACGACTGTCAGAGAATAAGGCGACAACGCCTCAAGACTGTGTTCGTGCCGGCCGAATCTGTCGTTTCCGTCTCTATGGTTAATCTTGAACTACACGATCGCGTGCAGCTGCGATTCGTGATACGGCTCATTGTTGTTGCGTGGCAATTCCATCCTTGCCGCACATTTACTCCGCTTCGGGCTTCGAACACTCCTCTGTGTGAGTCTCTAGGCGGACTGCGAACAACTTTGCGTTAACTTCCACTTACTTCACTACGTTACATGCCGACTCAAGTATGCATCAGGATTAGAATATGTATACTGGAAGGTAGGGAAGGGCGAAGTTTAACCAATGAATCAATTCGTTCTTTGTTAAAGAATCGACTGACCGAACTGAATCGATGTTTTCAAATTCGTTCAATCGCTACATCAATAGCTTTTTATCAATTAAACTTTACTGGCTTTTATTAACGTTTTGTTACAATTTAAAGCTTATAATGCATATAACAAACTCTGCTCGTTTCGTGCTAGATCGCATGCGATCTAGTAATATACTAGATACTATGTAACGCGTTTTGTATGGTGCATTTTTAGTAATTGACTAGTTCGTATTTAAGCGATCTAAAGCTCCGTTTACATAGCTTGCAGGACGTAGAAATTGACCAATCACAGTCGATCGTTTTCCTCATATTCGACTGTAATTGGTCAATTTCTGCGCCTGTGATCTGCGTTTGTGTGTGTAACCAATTGTTGCGTCCCGACATTCACTGCCGGTACTGAAAATACATGGTTTATGTCACGTATACTATAGATTTTCAACTGGCAGTGAATATTGAAACGCAGCCAATGGCCGCGTTCAGCAGAAATGCTGAACTGCTTACTAAGCGCTTAGTGATTATCGCTCCTGATTGGTTCATTCCCTTGGATTCGTTAAAGATCTAAAAGAACACTCCGATCATAGTTAACAATCACTAAGCGCTTAAAGGCTCGTCTACATTAGCTGTACGAGTAAGGCTGTAAGGCTGTAACGTAAGCTGTCAGCGAATGAAAATATTTCATTTCGTGTCTTGCAACCTTACAGCCTTAAGCCCCTTGCACAACGCCAGGCAACAGGCAATAAGAATAAAAATATACCAATCACAATAGATTATTCTTGCAATAGTCGATTGTGATTGGTCTATTTTTATTCTTATTGCTTGTTGCCTGGCATTGTGCAAGGGGCCTTACTCTTACAGCTAATGTAGACGAGCCTTGATAAGCAGCTTTGTCTGCTAAACGCGGCCATTGTAGACGGGCCGTAACATGTCCGCGTCATATGTATCACATCATCGATGATACTCGTTAAACTTTTCACTTAAACCGCGTATACCACTGTTAGTATGCGATATTGTAATTAATTTATACAAATTGCTTACGTATCGATCAATGAATCAATGAATATAATGAAATATTTTATGATGACATCTGTTTCTACTCAAAATATCAAATGGCCCGAATAGAAAAACGGCTCGGCACGGAACGTGTTAAACACATCTTCAGTTTTAACATTTCGTAAATTTATATTAACACAATCGTTCATTACGTGCATGAATAGTAGTAAAGTAACAAATATGATATATCTCGTTACCCTTTGACAATCATGTGCAGTCCATAGCGTTTTGAGCATTCATAGAACTTACAAACGCTAACGCTACCAATGTATCATCACGGAAGGAATAGCACTTAGGGCCGGTTTTTCCATTTTTCAAATAAGCTATCTCGTAATTTAGCTAATGGTTAAATTGCTAACTTGCGTCTTTCCATCTTTCGATAAAAATTATGTCTCTGATAAATGACTAGTTTTGAATGATGACGTTACCATTAATGACGTCATGATTGCGTTCGTAGCGCTATTTAGCTCCGCGAACAATTTTTATGCTGAATAGCATTAATAACGTCTTCCTAAGTGTACTTAATAACTTTTCGATACTACAGTGTTAGTAATTAATGTCAGAATACATCTGCAAAATATTCTCAATTAAAAATTTTTTATTCACTATCTCGAATAGATATATACCTTTTGCACTTTGATCTTTGTATAACGCTCATGTTATAAGTAGCTCGTTTTTGTGCGTCGTCATTCAGTTTATATCCGTACCGTGTACAGTAACAACATTGAGATAACATTGTCTTCACTGATAAAAAATCAATATGATGTTCAAGAAGGTACATGAGAGTTTAAAATTCGTTAGACTTATTTTATTTCTTACCATATAATCTTTATACTTACACTATGGTTATTAAGAAAGGAAGTTTGTGACAGTCAATGTAATTGACTGCTGAATGAACAGCTGTTCATATACAAGAATTCAGAATCTTGTGAAAATTAATACAAGCAAATTCTTCAGTATATAATTCATCATATGTCAATTTCCAGATGTTCAATCCTAGAATGTGCTTAAATATAATACGACCATTCTCAGCAGCTGCGGAAACAGTTAAAGGATTTAATTTAGGTTTGTACATATGTATTTCATGTATTTTATAAAGAGATATCATAAAAATATAATATGGAAATATATATATATATATATAATATGTAGAAATATTTATAGATTTTTAAAATTTCTTGAAATAAGAAGGCACATGATATAAATATAAACATATTTGTAAAAACCATTGATTCTCTATCCATAATTGATTTAAACACTTTGATGAATGATGTAAACTCAGATTTATTCTTTATATCCGCATTATTCCAAAGATATATTGCTGATAGTATTATGTAAGAAAATCTGCATCTTTTTTTGTATGAAAATTAAATAATTCAGAAATTATATAATTATACAATTATAAATATATCAATTTATATGTATATGTTGTAAAATATTTTTATCATATTTCTGGGCTAATCTGATTGTTTTAGAATTGTCTGATACTCAGAAAGAAATTCAAGAACTAGGACGAAAATTTACCAGAGAAGAGATTATACCAGTAGCTGCAGAGTATGATAAAAGTGGAAAATATCCATGGGATATTATTAAAAAAGCATGGAATGTTGGTCTTTTAAATCTACATATTCCACAAGATTATGGTATGTTTGTGGATTTATAATGTATAAAAAATATGAAATTTTATTACACATGAAACATGTATTAACTAGGAATGGAGATAATACTATCAATATTAAAATAAAATTCAAAATCAAAATTTGTCATAGGTGGTATAGAAAATGGTGTTTTTGATGGTTGCTTATTAGTAGAAGAACTTGGTTACGGCTGCACAGGAATAACAACTGCAATAGCAACAACAAATCTTGGAGTAAATTTTATTATACAAAATACTTCATATTTTTGCATCATAAAATTTTAATAACAATTTTTTTTTTAAAGAACTAATTCATTTTATTTTAGTAAAAATTTTGAATTATTATCTTTCAATTTTTACAAGACTGAGTATTTTAATTAAATGAATACGTAATATATTAATAAGATGTATTGAAATTCTTCTATTTAGCAAACTCCGGTTATCATTGCCGGAAACAAAGAACAACAAAAAAAATATCTTGGGAGATTAATAGAAGAGCCACATGTTACGGTAAACCTAAATATAAATTTGTGTAATACTTGAATTTATAATATAATAAATTATATTACATGATGTTACTTCTGTAGGCATATTGTGTTACTGAACCTGGTACAGGATCTGATGTAGCAGGTGTTAAAACTAAAGCTGAAAAGAAAGGGAAAGAATGGATACTCAATGGAACCAAGATGTGGATTACGAATGGTGGTGTTGCCAACTGGTATTGTAATAAATTTTGATTTTTGATGCACACACACACACAAACACACACACACATATATATATACACACTCTTCCTAACTATATTTTGCACATACATAAATGTACAAGTTTTAATTTTTGTAGACTTCTCAATCCCCTTTCTCTTCTCTTTTATATAATTATTTGTTACATAGGTATTTTGTTCTGGCAAGAACAAATCCTGATCCAAAAGCACCAGCTAGTAAAGCTTTTACAGGTTTCATTGTGGAACGTGATTGGCCTGGTGTGACTCCTGGTCGTAAGGTAATATCTGTTATCAAGTTCTGTTAAAAATTTAGTAAATATTCGCATTTTTTTCTTAATTTATATCGTTTGTCTTTTCATACAATTTCTCAAGGAAATAAACATGGGACAACGAGCATCCGACACACGAATGATAACGTTTGAAGACGTCCGCGTTCCTGAGGAGAATGTATTGTTTGGTGAAGGACAAGGTTTCACTATAGCTATGAAAACTTTTGACAGAACACGGCCAAGTGTAAATTTCCATTATCGACATTAAATGATGAATAAATATTGTATGAGATTTGATCTTCATTTTTCATACTGTAGGTTGCTGCAGCGTCAATTGGCTTAGCTCAGAGAGCTCTAGACGAAGCAATGAAATATGCGATGGAACGCAAAACTTTCGGCAAACCGATAGCGGAACATCAAGCTGTAGCTTTTATGTTAGCTGATATGGCTATTGGCGTCGAAACTGCCAGAATGGCGACAATGAAAGCAGCCTGGGCCACTGACAAAAATCTACCGAATGCCACTCCGCTTGCTAGTGTTGCAAAATGTTACGCTGCTGATGTAGCTAATAAATGTGCTACTGATGCTGTACAGGTAAATATACAGTAATGGCTTCAATGAAATTTATCTTTCTATGTATTCTTTTTGTGACATGTATATGGCAATATTTTCCTTCTCAGATTTATGGTGGTGCTGGTTTTAATACTGAATATCCAGTGGAAAAACTAATGCGCGATGCTAAAATTTTCCAAATATATGAAGGTACTGCACAAATACAAAGACTGATCATATCGCGCTACATTTTAGCTCAAAACAAACAAGCAAATAATTGAAGAAAAACGTGTATATTAAACTGATTTATACTCTATACACTTATGGTTTGTCACAAATGGTTTTATTACGTACAACATATGTATCAATATATAACATGATGCAAAGTGTTACATGATAATTTATCTGAATAATCTGAATAGTCTAGAATAATCTGATAATCTGAAAAGTATAGCATACAATTCATCAGTATCATGAATCAAAATCAAAATGAAGCAAATTTTTCCTTGTTGTATAATTATTACATTAGTAAAATGTTATTGTATAAAAAATTAAGATGATTTAATTTGATGATCGATGATTTTTTTTAATTTCCTAATAAGGTTTAATCTCAATAAGAAACAATTGCAATAATATATATTGGATGTTATGGATAGAATCATGGTGTGTACTTTGTACATATTTATTATGAAACATATTGTGTATCTATTATGTATAGTCGCAATGATATATAAATTATATATGGTTTTTCTAGTATTTTAAAATCTAAAATCTATTTTTTATATATAAATGTTAATATATATATATCCATATATTTTTGTATATTTAGATCGATTATAAATATACAAGTTGAAATATATTCTAATTTTGTAAGATTATACTGTACTTTTGTAAAACTATAACACAAGCTACTGAAAATAGTAAGAAAAATATAATTCTTTACAAGTTTTACTTTTAATTTTTCCATCATGATCATGAGTTTTCGTTTCCTACATGCGTAGATAAAATATTTAAGATGCATCTCAAGTTTTATGCAACTTCATTTAGAAAGCATTCGAATTAAAAATGCAATAAGATCAGAAATCGTAAAAGGTGTAGGAACGATCGCAAAGAACAGTACAAAGTACACTGAGAATCTATATAGAATTACACATCTAACTTTAATCAATATATCTCTATATCGCCTCAGTGAATATTTTACCGCACACTATTTTCATTCGTACTCTCATTTTGCCTTTCACCTTACTTTAGAATTAAATGAATGAAAAGTATATGAAAAATATTTGGAGCAATATCGTCTTTTTGTGAATCCTTGATACAATCTTAACTTCAATAATACGTGTAGTTGTTATCTACGAAGCAACAAAGATTGAAAAAGTACCTTAATCGATTCTCCGTCGCGAAAATTGCGTAACCATGGCTAATCGAGCTCTAACTCGCCGGTCAAAGGGTTAATCGTCGTTCGTATGTTTCCTCGTGCATCGCCGAGAATGCGTGGCTGAGGCGTTTGAACGTAGTCGACCGTTTCGAATCGAGCGCGCCCGTTAGCGAGAGGTGGCGCTGGCAGCGCCAAACGGGAGAGCGTTAGTCAAGTGCATTGTTCATTGAATACGGATTACCGCCGCATTATGTCCGTCAAGCCGTAGTTTTTTGCGCGGTTATATTTGGTGAAGTCGCGCGTGACGAGTTATGCAACGTACGCCGCGAAAGGGCGGCCCGCGCGGGGCGATCGGACGCCGCGGCAGCTGACCTACTTAAAGCGGCCAGCTATCGTCGTATCCGACGCGGCGGCAAATCGGCAGCAGCGACTCAGGAGGAGGTTCGTTGACAGATCTAGGCGAAAGAACGGCGAAAGGTCGCGTAACGACGTTTCGGTCGGCTGACCGGTCGATCGGTCGGTCGGCTCGCGAAATCGCGAATCGATGCTGACGACGGCTTACGACGAGGAGAGGGGGAGGACACATTTTGGAAATTGCGTCTTTCCGCGACAGCTCGCCGACGAGCCCAGTGCCGTAATCGGTGTGCAGCAGCACCCGTAACAAGGTGGTCGAGCAAACATTCGTTCGTTCGTTGGTTCCCTACCTAGACGAGAACTTTTTGTGATGTTTGACGACTCACTCTCTCTCTCTCTCTCTCTCTCTCTTTCTTTCTCTCTCTCTCTCTCTCTCTATCTTTCCATCTCTCTTTCCTTCTTTCACTCTCTCTTTATCTCTTTCACTCTTTCTCCCTTCCTCTATCATCTTTTTCTATTGATGATGTAGGACAACTTGTGCCGCGACAGCGTGTTGTCTGGAACGACGTGCACGAGCGAGTGATCAAGCGCCAGCATTCGCAAGATTACGTTCGCGCTTACGTTTTCCCTTTCGTTTGCCACTGCCGTACCTGTGCAGCGTAATGCCAGGCGCATGCAGCGCTCTCTTTCCCTCTCTTGTGTACACACACACACACACATACACACGTCGTAATCGTCAAAATGACACGCCAAGATGGTAATTCCGCGTGATGCAAATTGGTGTGTGGCGATGCGCGCGTACAGCTGAGAATTATCACGCTCACGTGACTCCGTCTTCGGTTATCGCGACCGATACTACAGTCGCGGTTGGCACGCGGACGATCTTCGAACCTGTCGCCTCTCCGCGTCTCGAATCCGCATAAAAAACGCGCTCACAGCGCCGGTTCCCGATCGCGAGGCTAAAATCACTCGTCCTTCACCGTGAGCACAGCGTCGGCTCGAGAACGAACGGAGAATCCGGTTGGCAATATTTCTCCCTAGTGAGAAGTACGCGGCATGCGGGCGTGCGGTACGCGTGGCGACCACGTACGCGAAGTACTACGGCCCTGCGGTTCTCGCGCTGTCAGAGCGCGACAGTGCGCCGGACGCTCGCTTGACTAAGGGAGTGTCCGTGCCGATGCAAAGTGTAAGTGAAGTGGCCTACAGACCTACATTTGTCTAACGTTCCATTTTTTTACGGGCCGGACTGACAGGAGGTTAACAATCCGCGTGCGAGGTACCTCTTTTCCGTAAGCGTGGCGTGTGCGTGCGCGTGCGATGTCGTCGTCTTACGACGATATACCGTCGTTCGGCTGAAGGCAAGACAGAGAAAGAGAAAGCGAAGAGTGAACGAGCGAGCAAGTAAGCGAGGCAGTGGTGCAGTTTTGGTACGCTGTTGTCGGACACGGCGCTCTGACCGGCGCGCGGGGTGGTAGTAGTAAAAAAGGGAGAGCGAGGGAGAGACAGAGAGAGAGAGAGAGAGAGAGAGAGACAGCTCGGACGTGCGCGAGCGTGGTAGAGAAGACGGGGACCGGTGGCGCGAGAGAGAGAGAGAGAGAGAGAGAGAGAGAGAGAGAGAGAGAGAGAGAGAGAGAGAGAGAAGAGGAGAACGATAGGAAGACGTGCGAGCGAGACATCGAAGGTGAGAGTGAGAGAGAGGGAGAAAAAGAGAGCGAGCGAGCGAGCGAATGAGTGAGTGAGTGAGTGAGTGAGTGAGTGAGTGAGTGAGTGAGTGAGTGAGTGAGTGAATGAGTGAGAGAGAAAGGGAGAGGAGGTACGTGAACGGAACGAGACGGAATCGCGTGAGGAGAGAAAGAGAGTGAGAGTGAGAACAAGAGAAAGGGGGAAAGAGAAAGAGAGAGAGAGAGAGAGAAGGAGCGCGTAAAAGAGTGTAGGTGTTCTCTTCCGAGGAGAAGAGAGAGCGCGTGTGCTCGTCGTGACGACGTACAGGAGGAGGGACTCGTGTCTGTCTATCCGTCTGTCTGTCCGTCTGCTGGAATGCACGAGGGCCGAATGGCTACGGGTACGGGGGAGAGCGGGGAAGAGCCCGCGACGGTCCTCGACAACAACAGCACCGGCATCGCGACGACAGCCCCTATCACGGAATCGTCCACGTCGTCCTCCTCCTCTGCCGCGACTGTGCCGACGATCCTGACGGAGAGTACCGCTACGAGCGCCGGTAACCTGCCCTTGACGGGATCCCAACAACAGAGCCTGCATCAGGTGCATCCGCAGCATCAACAGACGCAACAACAGCAACTGCGACCGAGGGTCAGCTTGATTAGCGACGTGGCCGCCAGTGATGTCGCAGGTAACCTCAATGGCTCAATGCTCTATGCTCTTTGATGCCTTTGTGTTGCTAATGTGCCGCTTGCCAAATTTCCTTCTTCTGCCTTCTCTCTGGCTCTCTTTCTCGCTCTGTTTCCTCGATCTGCCGTTTCGTCTCTCTCTCTCTCTCTCTCTCTCTTTCTCTCTCTCTCTCTCTCTCTCTCTCTCTCTCTCTCTCCCCCTCTCTCCCTCTCTCTCCCCCCTCCCCCTCTCTCTCTATCTATCTCTCCTCTCTTTCGTCCTCCCTCCCTCTTTGCCCCCCTCTCATTCTCGTTTTTCCCTTTTTTACCGGTCTGCCACTCTCCTTTCCGCCTCGCGTATTTTCTGTCTCACATCCTCCGTTCAGCAGTCGTTCCCTCTCTATATTCTGCCTCCTCTTCCATCTCCTGCTTCTCTTTCTCTTTCCCCACTTGGATCCCCGACGTTTGTTGCATCGCGCACGCTCTTCCTCGAGCTGATTCGATAAACGTATAACCTACTTCCGAGTCTACAGGTACTCGGCCAGATACGCGCGTTATTTTGCGTTAGACAAAAGTAACCGTGTTCCACTTTGATATCTCGAACCGTCAATGTTGTCTAAACTACGCGCGGATAGCAGAGAAAACGCTACTAAGAGACGTCCAAAGTATATCTAACCTCGAAATTAAAACGTCTCGTGTGTGTGTGTGTGTGTGTGTGAGATATTCTTTGACTTTCTCGCGTTACATTTGTGGAGAAACGAATTGAATTTTACCTCAATATTATAATTTTTTTTATTTATTTATTTTTTTTATTAGAAAACCACGCTAGTAATTTATTTTATATATTTTATATATTTTTATATATTTCATGTAACGATTAAGAATCTCCATAACATGTCGGTTGTTTTTGATATCGAAGCATGCACTGTAATTTGCGTGTTGTATATCACACCCAAATCGCGCGCAGATTTTCCGTTCTTTGTTCCGTTCTGCGCGCGCGCGGACAAGAGGAAACGATCTCTCGGATGTCGAAGTGGCATATCGTCGAAGCCATGCAACGCTCGTCACTCGTCGATACGGATTCAACGTCCGCGATAAATTCGCTTAACGCGTTCGAGCGATTCGATTCCCTCCGAGCGAGCATCTGCTCGCGATTAGCCGCGAACGTTACATCGTATGCCGCGCAGATAGAGCAGCGACACGATCTCTCGTAATCCACGAGAGCCGCGTGCGTGTTTCGAGTCAGAGTTGCTCCGTGCAACGTCGTAGGGCAACGCTGAACGAGACGTCTCGGCGAGAATTCCAAAGTCAAGCGGCGAAACTTCGCGAGCTCGCCCGTTCCGCCTGCCTGTCTGTCCATCCGTCGTTTCGAATTTAGAACAGACAGCGTTCAAACGGTTCTTTATGGTTGCTGTTGTTGCCGGTGCCGGTGCCGCTGCGCCGACCCTTCGTGGATAAAATAGCGGTTCGTCGAAACGAGACTCTCGCGGCTGTCTTTATTTACATCGCTCCTTCTCTCCACTCAATTTAGTCTTTATATCTTTCCCGCGTTCTACCTTTGCCCCCCCCCTCCCTCCTCTGCGACGGAAGAGACGAATGTTTCTTTTCTGAATCGATATCGTGTCGGTTTAATTGTCCTTCCCACATAACCGTTTCTCTTGCTACCTTTTTTCTTATCTCTCTTTTTTCTCCCCCCCCCCCCCTCTCTCTCTCTCTCTCTCTCTCTCTCTCTCTCTCTCTCTCTCTCTTGTTCTCCTGCTACCATTTTCCCGACATATATTATTTCTTTGTTATCTCGTTTTGTTTATTCATTAAGACGAAATGAGGCAGTGTTCCGCGACATTCGTCTGCAAAAGTGTTTAACGAACGTAACGACTAAATATTGTACTAAATATTTCAAGTAGGGTAGACCGAGACATTTTCTCGAGAAGAGAGTTGAAGGCGGTACCGGGGGATGCGTAGAGCAGAGCAATAAGTATGCGAAGTCGATCATTTTGGCATATGGGTTAGCAAAAAAAGAAAGAAAAGAAAGAAAGGTCTCTTGACTAATAACCGAAATTTCCGACATGTTTGTTAAATGTGTGCATTTGTGAGAATGAAAAATAAATCGATCAGCTTTATCTTTGCGACTTTTTCTTACACTCGCTTCGCTTTTCCATTCGTTCCAGCCAAGCCTGCTCCAGTCCGCCTAAATGTCTCCTGTCCGCTCCATTTTAGCCAAGTCTAACGGATATTACGCTATTCTAAGAGGAAATGCTTCTAAGACGCTTTCTAAGCGAGACACCTTGTGCTTTTCTATTTGTCGCGTGAGGAAAAATATTCCCCTACGAGGGGTTGGGAATTTGCAAATATTGAGCGTCTCGCCCACAGAGCGCATATTCGACACTCGTCTCGGTGCATACATCGGTATGCGATGAATTGTGTGCGATCTACTGATACGGTATTAATGCGTAATTAGGGTAGCATCGATCGCCTCCGCACGTTCGATCGCACATGTTTAGGTAATTCCTCGCCGGTCTATATCTCACCATTGCGATCTCACCATTGCGATGCTCGAGAGAGCTACGTTACCGCACCGTATTTCCGCGATTATTAACGACGATAGGCGATATATATCTCATCGTTATTAGTAACTTGTTACGCGGGTAATGAAGATCCCACGAATAATGAGAGGAAGTATCACTCGGCGTTGCTCTCCAGCGCTAAACACTGTTTGGAAAAAAAAAAAGGAAGAGCAACCCGAGTCGAAGTTGCGTACGTTAACGTAAGTAAGCTCCACTGAGAGAGAGAGAGAGAGAGAGAGAGAGAGAGAGAGAGAGAGAGAGAGAGAGAGAGAGAGAGAGAGAGAGAGAGAGAGAGAGCGAGAGCTTAAAGGATCAATGAAGAATCTCGACATATATAACATTGTGCAAGTTGTCGTCGTTCTATTCTGACACCACGAATGTTTGTTGTGGTGTTGTGACACCACGGCCGTTTTCTCCACGTTAAAGTTCGAAGAAAGACGCTCTTTCATATAATATTTATTCATCTCAACATGCTACCTGCATTCCATCTGTGCTGTTAATTTCAATGAGCAATATATTGTGTGTCTTTCTTAACTGCAGATGGAGCAGGGATATGAGCGAATGATAATAAATGAATACGCGACGAAATTAACGGGTAAACAGGGTCAACTCTTATTCCTAATATACTCTTATCAATTTTTTTCATCACGTTAAGAAATTTCGATCGGATTTAGAGGTTCTGAAAGAGTGAAAGGGGAAATGGTCAAGGCGAAGCTAACACTTTTCTCTGTCCTCTGAATAAAGGTACGCGCTAATAGAAATTGACATTAAATTCCAAGGCCAGTGTTTATAATCGCGTATATTATTTACGATTATTTTGAAAGCGATTATTTTGAAATTAATTGAATATTCAAAGACTGTTGTTCGGTTTGTTTGGTCCGACGTTTCTTGCTATCTTAAATAACTATGTGTATAAATAGACGAATAGTCCGAGATTCGTAACGCCGTGTCTATCGAATAATGTGACCCAGTTTTAATTCCGGTCCAAATTTCGACACGACCATCTCTCCTCACTCTCGCTGCGTCCGCTCATAATCAACGATTTCGCATACCTGGAGATACACGTTGCGTCAGTAGCGGCGTCCGACGTCCTGCGTCCACCTGGCTTCCCGGCGCAGCATCCTGGCTCCCGGTTGCTCCGTTGCGACATTCGGGACGCTTCCTCGTGGCACTGACACTGACACTGGCATTGACACTCGCACAGACCCGACCCGGCCGCCTCGATCGGAGGAACACGTGTTAATTAGCGCGGCGCCGGCGAGAGTCCGATAAGACGTCGCAAGAACCGGCGAGATATTCCGATCGGCCGTGCGCGCGCGCGCCGATCAAATTGTCGCGTTCGCCGGCCCGGGACACAATAACATACCTTCGCGAAAAAGCACGCGACGCAGAAGTACGAAAACATAGAAGAAAGAGAAAAAGATGGGCCGAAGATCACAACAGTCATCGCTATCAAAACAATCCGGACCTTCATAGCGGTCAATGTTACTTTCATTAAGTTTCGAGGCGGCGAGCGACGCGCACATATCGCGCGCGTATCGTGCGGCGTACGTGAGTTATTACGCATTTGCCGAGGCGGGATTTCGTCGTCTCGTGAAACGTTTAATCGAGCCCTCGCGTTCATCGGCATTATGTTCATCAACGCGCATCATTAGCATTATCGATCGCATCTATCTAACGCCCAGTGTCAGTGCCGTGACAGAGCAGTCGGCCAGCCAGGATGCCAGAATCAGGAAGGCCGTAGGACTGCGGAACGCGGCCAGCGCTGCCTTACGTATTCCCAGGTGAGTGGAATTATTTGTCACACGGAGATCTGTCACTTTAGCGAGCGTTTCAGCGAGGCACCCGACTCGAAATTTCGGCAATTCGGCATTCATGTCCTGTCGTCATTAGACAAAGATATTCTAGCTCGAGCAAATTTCTGATCGCTCGGCAATCTATACGTATACTCATATTTCTCAGAAAGAAGAAACATTGATCTCTGAATGATCAGATAACGTTCCGCGTATATAAACCTGTAGTTAAAAATCGCGCTTTTGATGAGAAGCAGCAAATAATTTGTGGCTGTGAATGTTGCTTTTAGAATCTAGCATTCACAGATTCACAAGCGTTGATATCTAGGACTGGATAACGCCCCTTCAGTCGCATCGCAGATACGCACGCTGATTATTGCACACAAGTGCTCATTTTTGCCGTAACGACTCTTTCCTTTCGGTCCTCTCGAACATCCAAGTCCCATCGAAATTTTCAACATTGATAAAAAATGATAAATCATAAATCAAGAAAATTTGTCGTCCTGCTTACCCTCCCCCCCCCATTAGTCCCATTGTTTATTTTCATGTTAATTATTTAACGTTTGCTTTCCTCTTATCCGCGGCTCAACGGAGAAAAAAGTTATGTAATTCAATACACTGCCAACTGAAGTGAAGGAAAACGGAGAGAGAGAGAGCATTGTAGAA